GCCCCGCGCCGCCTGCCGCCCCAACGCCACCACCAGCGACACCCCCTGCCGACCTGCACCCCGCCGCGCCCCCAGCCCCCCGCCTCCCACTTTCCCTGGTGCCTGCTCCTCGTTTTCCCCCGTGCTGAGCGCTCCCTCCAGCCCCTCCGGCAGGCGAGCTAGTGCTATCTCCACCTCGCAGAGTGCGGGGGAGGTGGTCGAGTCGCGGAGTGAGACCGACTCCACGTCGTCTGGGAGAGGGAAAGGAGGAGAGCAGGTTAAGAGGAAAGATGGGGCAAAAGGAGTTGAGGGCAAAGGAAAGGAAGAAGACGTGAAACACCGAAAATTAATGCACGGTTAGGCGACGGGGCGGACGGGGAAGTGGATGACCTGCTGGGCAGCTTGCAAAGTACGCTAGCGCTAACAGGCCATGTATGCCTACGCGTGAGATGGGATGCCGATGCACCGTGGACTCTTCACGTACCGTATTTCACGGTGAGCGCCTCGGCTGACGGTTCGTCTTCCCCAGCCGCGTCCGGCACCAGCACGGTGACGGTGAAGTGCCCGCCGCCCGGGTCCGTTCCAACCGCCACGTCGACCCATGGGTCAGCCGGCTCCACTCCGGGCACCCCAACCACCCGCAACGACTCGCTCTCGTAGGAGAAGACGCTTGATGTGAGCACACGGCATGCGATGTGCGGAGGGGGCAGGCGAAAGCGGGTCAGTTCCAGCTAGTGCCAAGAGAACGCCAAGAGAACGCCGAAACATGAAATGCAACCCACTCGCACCCCCCCCACCCACCCCTCACCTCGCCTTGTCCCCCAGCAGCCTGTTATACTCCACCACCACGGGTCGCAGCAGCGCCACCAAATCCACATCCGCTGCGCCCCCCTGCTCCCGCGCGGCGGCAGTGAAGCTCTCCACCGCCGCCTCCAGCCGGGGGGCTGCGGGACCCAGGTAGCGGCGGGGCAGGTCGGGGCCGCAGGAGCGGGAGACGCGGAAGAGCGTCTCCATGAGGTCCAGCTGGGGGGGGGCCAAAGATATACCGGAACCAGGGGTTAGGTCATAGTTGGGATGAAGTAAAGCAATGAGTGGAGCTGGGGGCCGAAAAGGAGGGGGGGAAAAAAGAAATTCCAAAGGGGGGGAGGGAGGGGTGGAAGGTTGGGAGGGAGAGAGGGGGAAAGGATGGGAGGAGGGAGGAGAGCAGCATGGATGCAGGCAGGCTTGCAGGAAACGCAGACAGGCAGGCAGAGGATGGACAAGGATTGCGTTGATTTTGCAGGTGGCGTTGGTAAGAAGTCTGGCTTAAAGACGGTGTCAGTTGGAACCAACCCCTCAAACCCCGCAAAACCTACAAACCCACCCCCCACCTGCGTTACAAAGTCCGCTGCAGTCGGCAGCAGCTGCCGGAACACCTTGTCAGTTGCGGGCTGCGAGTCGGGTGCCAGCAGCAGCCGCTGGTTGTGCTTGGAGAGGGTGAGCAGGTCCAGCAGCGTGGCGGCAGCCTGGCGCCGCACGTGGAGCGGGAAGTAGCTGGGCGGGGGGGGGAGGTGGGGGGGAGGCGGGAGAGGGGGGTGAGCGGGAGAGGGTGCATGCATGGTGCGGCATAGCAGTCGAACCACAGTACACATGGGAGTCATTCTACGCATGGGTAGCCACGCTAGCACGGGTGCAGCCAACACCCATACCACCCAGAGTGCGGGTACGGGTGCTTCTTCGGTGGTCCTGCTAGTGCCGGTTACCGACTCCTGACTTGCTACTGCCAGTTGCCGCCCCACCCAACTACCCCACCCACCCGCCCCCCCTCACCGCGCAGTGGGCAGGAACTGCAACACGGGCCGCACGAACAGCTCCCCCAGCCGGTCGCGAGCGGGGCGCCCCTTCACACCTAGAGCTGCAGGGGGGTGGTGCAACAGGCGGCGAGCAGCAGGAGGGGGAGGAAGCACAAGCGGATAGCAAGTTACGTTTCAATAAGCGTAAAGTGGGGATGTGAAAGGCGGGTTTCATTTAGTGCACGTGCACGTGAGTGCTAGCATGAGCGAATGACCGTTATCAGTAAGCCCAATCCGGAAGGCAAGGCAAAGCGGTCGATACCCAGCCCTACACTGCAGTTGCAGCAGCGTCATCGCACCCTCTCCCTCCCCCGCTTCATACCACACATTGGATTTCCTTCTTCTCCCCCGCCTCACCTGCCCCCGGCGGCGGCGGCAGTCGGTAGTCGCTGCCCGCCACGTCCTGCACCGTCTGCATCAGCGCCGCCAGCAGCATGTGCGCAGCGGGCGCATGCAGCTGCTCGGGGCTGCCGGACAGCGCCTCGAACACGCCCGCCAGCAGCGAGGGCAGCTCGTGGGACCAGAGGGAGGCGGCGGCGGCGGGGCTGGATGGAGGGGGCAGAGGCGGGGGCGGGGGATGGGGGATGAGGATTGGGGATGATGGGCATGTCATAAGCTCATAACCCTATTTTTCAAGGGCTGCGGTGTACCGATAGCCAGCTAGCACCGTTACCCCGTACGCAGCCCCATCCCCGCTGTTTCCCATCGAGGTGGTACCGGACTGCCGGTGCATTACCCGCCCCACCCGATCTGGGTCGGGGCGCCGTACGTCCCATCCTGGGGTGCTGCTGCTGCTGTGAACACTTCAGCGCCGCTTGGTCCCAGTCCTACCCAGGTTAGCTGCTCTTCTCTTCACCCCACCCTCTACCCTACCCTCTACCCTTCGCTAACCCACCCAACCCTAGTACCCTCTACCCTACCCAATGCGCGGCGGCAGCAGGTGCAGCAGCGACTGAATGAGCGCCATCTCTACCCCCGCGTCGTTGTCCGCACCCGACATCAGCTGACAGCGAGCAGCAGGAGCAGGAGCAGGGGTAGGAGCAGCAGGCGGTGAAGTGGGGTGGAGGAGGACGGGTAAGCGGCGAGTTGGGTGTGTTTAAGTGGGTCAGCAGAACGCATTGCGCCAACAAGCTGTACATGCAATCACAGGCACTGTTATAGGAATGACATAACTTGTCCCACACACGCGAAGGCGAAGGGAGACTGAGGACCACACACACGCTACCATTTCCACGCTGCAAAAGCCCGTCAAGCCACCGAGCTCCCCGCTGTGAGACTCCCAACGACCCGCGGGTCGTTCCCGCAGCCTTTCAACCCAGAATTTCTCTTCTTTTCCTTCTCTTCCTACCCCTGCTGCGGTACCCACTCACCAGCTGCATGCGCTCGCAGGCAGCCGCGATGAGGTCCGCCTGCTCGGGTCCATCTCGATCCCCGTGCAGTACATGCGGATCCACGTTGTCGTACGGCTCGAGTCGCGAAACCAGCTCCGCGGGGTCGATGTGGGGGTCCCGCAGCAGTGCCTGCGCGGGGTGTAAGTATACGAGTGGGGGTTAAAGAGGGCAGCGTGTTGGGTTTCGGTGCGATGTGAGATAGGTGCTGAGGTGGGGAGGTGGAGGAGAAGGGAGCAGGATGTGGGTCGGGTTGGAAGTGGAGAGTGAGTAGTGATGCGGGTGTTGAGGCCATGGGTGTGAGGTGTTGGACGGGTTTGCTGGGTTGTTAAGCTAGGAGTGGAATGCAAAATTCCATTCCAGTCTTAGCTCAACAACCCAGCAAACCCGTCCAACACCTCACACCCATGGCCTCAACACCCGCATCATTACTCACTCTCCACTTCCAACCCGACCCACATCCTGGAATGCAATAATTCCGGATAAGGGACAGCATCGCATACCGTATACACGTACGTATGCAAAAGGTGGAAAGGGAAACAGGACACAAGGCGTAAGCGCGCGCAAAGGAAAGGCTTTCTTCACGCACCCTCCTTATCAACAAAACAACCAGATCCCTGGGTGAATTGCAGAAACTAAAGGTCTCTGCAAACAGCAACCAACCTAGTTGCAACATATATAGCTTGCTGGCGTTGCTGCCAACCCAAGAGAACCTAACCCGAAAGCTGACCACAAGCACCGCAAAGAGACAAGCCGCCCCCATAACAGCCGGTACCCGAAAACAGCAACGCCTTACCGTCAGGGTTGGCAGCTTGCTGCGAGACATGGCGTGACCCCTTTGCGAAAGCTGGGAAAGTAGACCTTGGACGCCTCAAGCAAGGCGCTGCTAAGAGCTGCTCGTAGAAGCCCGCTCGGCTGAACTAAGATGCTGCTAGATTTAAACAACTGCTGGCTGGTTCACTGTTGCCAAGCTGGGACTGCTTAGCTGGAGTTGGGATCGCAGCTGCTTATCGTTTCGTTGCTGACACGCGTTGCCTTTGCAGCCGCTCACAGTTAACACGGCTGCATGCACAAGGCAGGACTGACTTCAGTCATCCTAAGCTATCAGCCCAGATGCTGGCCAAGGGCAAAGGGCAAGGGCAACGCGCGGCGCGTCACGAAATTTCTACTTTGTATGTTGGTCAAAATTATGTCCTGTATGTATATGTTTGTATGTCACGCGCGTGCTTGCAGGTTGAGAAAAACAGTATGTTAGAGCGGCGGCGTGAGTATACGCGGCAAAGTGCTCGACCAGGGTGAAAGGCCAATCGCCGCCGCATGCAGCGGATCCGTGCAGTTTGCGCGGGCTTTGTCTGTCCTTTCCGGCCAGCTGCTAGGAGATAGTAAGTAAAATAGCATATCGGTCCGTCGTCTCCCTTTATGCAGTTCATAGGACTGTTCCGTTTGACGCCGCACATCGATCGCTTGGACTGACCCACGGTTCCGACAGGAAGACCGCAAGCTAACAAGCAGCGCATGAGCTTTAGGAATGGCCCCGAATCGAAAGACCCGGCTGTGCTGCGTTGAATTGCTTTCATTCAAACCGTCCAATGCTGCAAAACAGCTGTGTCTGGAGCTTTTAACTCTGAAGCGCGGGCTGAACACGACTGATCTCACTTATGACGTGCGGCTATCCTGTACGAGAGAGCCTGCTAAGCAGCGTAAACAACTGCAGCTTACATGCAGCATGGGTACATGGCCTACCCAGCCCGACCCACATCTTAAACAACCACCAGGGGGGCGTCTTCGCAGGTCGAGTCACGCCATGTCGTACCTGGATGCTCCACAGCTACCGTTAACCGTTATCAGTACCGGTATCTGTGCGCTGCCCTGGCTGCCGATGCCCAACCCCAGCCCGTCCATGTACCCGCGGACAGCACAAGTGTATGTTATAGTGTAAGCAACTGTATGTATAAGCACAGACCCAGCTCCCCCAGTACCGCTGTTGCCGCGGCGCTGCTCTAATGTCATGTCAAGACTATTCTCCATTGTAGTCAACCCCGCCCTGTTGCAGCGGCGGTCCCGTTCTTCTTCCGTAACAACCCGTACACGATATTCGTACAAGAGTACATCCAACCAACCAAACGCAACCAGCATGCACATGTCTGAATTCTTCCAACGGCAGCTTCAAACCTCTCGCCGTCCTACTCCCCGTGCCCCACACTCACTCCCCCTGCACTACCCTCGCCCTATTCCTCCTCATCGTCCCCGAAGTCGTACTCTTGCTGCTGCACCTGCTGCTGCCGCCGATGCGGCTGTTGCTGCCGTTGCTTGGGCCCCTTGGGCGCCGCCGCTACTGCTGCTGCTGCTGCTCGTCCATTAGCCGCTGCACCCCTTCGAGCTGGCTGGTTCCCCACTGCCGCTGCTGCTGCCGACGGCGCCCTCCCGGCCCCCGCCCGCCCTCCACCTGCTCGCGGCTCCTCCTCCTCCCTTTCCTCTTCCCCATCATCATCATCATTATCGAACCCGTACCCGCCATCCCTCGCAGATCGAAGTCCCCTGTTAAGGCTAACACCGCCGCCGCCGCCACCGTTGCCGTACACACCACCATCCGCACCCGCGCCGTCCGCGTCGTCCTCTTCCGGAGGTGACGCTTGCGGTGGCGGCGGTGGCAGTCGCTGCGGCTGCTGCTGCTGTCTCGCAGCCGCCGCTTTCCTGCCTCCGCCGCCAGCAGCCCCAGTCGTACCACCGACCCCCTTGGCGGCCTCCCTCTGCTGGTCCCGAGGCAGCTTCTGATCACCTCGCTGCTGTGCCTGCGGCTGTTGCTGCTGCTGCCGCTGCTGCAGCGGTTTCCTGCCGCTCCCCGCCCTTCCTCCTCCGCCCCCTGCTGCCCCTCCCTCTTCCTCGTCATGAGGTATGTCGTACACATCCTCCGCATCGCTCACACGCCGCCGCTGCCGGGGAGGCTGGTGCTGCTGCTGCTGCTGAGGCTGCGGATGTGATTTGGGTTGTGCTGCTGCGGGCTGCTGTTGCTGCCGTTGCCGTTGCGGCTGCTGTTGACGAGCCCCGCCCCGCTGCTGCTGCTGCTTGTCTTCCTCTTCCTCCTCCGCTTGCTGCTCCTCCTCCTCCTCTTCCTCACTCTCCGAGCTGGGTTCCCCTTCACTCAGGCTCTCATAGCCCCCACGAGACCGCTTCTTCCTAGTTGACACCGCCGCCGCCGCACCACCACCACGAGACTTGTCCCCCGCCTTACCGCCACGACCCTTCCTCCCACTGCCTTCCCCAGCCTCCCCATCCTCCACCCCAACCCCGCTGCGCCGCTGCTTCTTCCCAGCTGATTCAGGCGACGGCGCCGCCGCCGCCGACCTTCCTTTCCTCCCCTTGGCAGCTGCTGGCGAAGCAGCGGCACGCTTCGCCCCTCCCTGGACTCCCTTTGTGCCCCTTCCTCCGCCGGCTCCGGCCTCCGTGACCTTCCCACCCTTTGCTCCCCGGCCCTGCTGCCTGCCCGCCCCCTCCTTCGCCTCCTCCTCATCCACCTCCTGATCCACTGCATCTCCAGGGGTGGCGGCGGCGCCGTCACCATCACCGTCGGCGTTCGTACTAGCTCCGCTGTCGCTGCCGCCGCCTCCGCTACTAGGCTGCTGTCGTACAGGCTTACCGCCGCCGCCGGTACCTCCGCCACGTCCGCTAGCGGTGGCGGGAGGTCCTGCAGCAGCGGCGGCGAGCTGTCTACCCGGCGGGGCTGCGGCTCGGCGGCTGGTTTCGGTGATGGCGGGGTTGAGGATGCAGTTGTAGCTGGGGGGGAGGCAGGCGCCGTCCGCCTTGTAGGCTGGGGTGGGGGAACGGAGTGGGGGGGTGGAAGGAGGGCTTAAAGGGTGAGGATGCAATAGCCGCATGGTGCAAGGCAGGGGCCAGCATGTGGTGAGTGACAAACCGCGTGGGTAAAGCGCGCTCGCAGGATGCAGGTGCGCTGGTAATACCATAGCTTGCTTTCAACCCTTCTCTTTCCCATGCGCCAACGCACAAACGCCCCACAAGCGCCCTGACCCAGTTTCCTTCCTTGGACTTCCAAACGCAACCCGTCCCTCCCCGCCCCTTCCCCGTAACATAGGGTAAACCTACCTTTGGCCTCCCCCAACTTAACCAGCTTGTACAGTCGCACAGGCACCAGCGCTTGCCCCGGGTGTTCCCGCCCAGCCAGCTCAGCAACCGCAGCAACCACCGCCGCCTCCGTCGCCGCCGCGGCCGCAGCTGAGCCCTGCTTTCCTGCTCGGGATCGCTGGCCGGGTGCAGCGGCGGCGGCGGCGACGAGGGCTCCTGGGTTGGCTCGCATCTCGCGTTCCACGATGCCACGCGCGACGACCAGACCCAGGTCGGCGAGTAGGCGCATGGTTTGCGTGACGGGCGGTTCAAACTGCGTTGGGGGGTTGCGGCGAAGGAGTCGATAAGATTGAGAGGCAGGAATGGCATGTAATGTGCGCGGGAATCGGCCCCTTTCTTGGCCTCACCCCAATCTCTCGCATGGCCATCGAGAGATCTCTCCCAGTCTCACCCCCTCTCTCTCTAACCCGCTCTGCATGCCACACACCCTATCCACCCTGTGTCCTTCCTATCCCACCCACCGTCTCATCCGCGTCCTGCATCTGCAGCTTCACACTCCGAAGCACCTTGCACACCGCAGGAAGCGCCTCACCCACCATCCCCGCTGCCGCACCACCTCCACCTCCTCCACCACCTCCACCGCTGCTGCTTCTTGAGGCTGTAAGCAGCGGCTCCAGGGCGAACTGCAGCATGTCCTGGAAGGGGCGGAACTCCTCCGGGTCAGGCAGCTCCTGCTCCTGCTCCTCGTCAGCCTGGGCTTGGGCAGCTTGGGAGTCTTTGCTGCGGGGCCAGCCGGTGGCGGGGACCTGCCCGAATCACACGGGAGGAGCGGGACGGGCGGGGTTACACCATGCAAGGGGCCTTCTAGTCGGCCCCCTTATCATCTCCCCTCTAACCCCTAACTGTACCGCAGCCGCCACCCCAACCCCTAACCCCGCACACCCCACCCCTCCCGCCCTCCTCCCCACCGGCGGGCAGTCCGGATGGTGCCCCAGCACATACACCAGGAAGGGCAGCAGGAACTCCGGGTGGTCAGCCAGGGAGGGCCGACCACCTCCACCTGCTGCTGTTGCACCTCCACCTGCTGCTGCACCTGCTCCACCACTGGTGCCGCCGCCGCCGTCGCCTGCTGCCGCTGCTGTCGCCTGCTGCTGCGCCCTGGCTCGCTGCAACAGCACCACCTCGAGTAGGGTGCGCGCGGCGGCGTCGCGGTGGTGCGGGATGGGGTCCATGGCTGGGGGTTGGTTGCAAGGAGGAGGTGCGAGGGGTGGTGGTGGCGGTGGTGAGAGGAGCGAGCTGGTGAGGGGGATGAGGTGCTTTGGGAAAGTGAGGTGCTTTAGTCACAACGACGTGCAGAGGAGCTCCGAGGAATGGAAGCTCCGGGCCTCCCTCCCTCCTGGTGCCTTTCCTCCCCAAGCCCACTCCCTCGCTCCCCCTCCCGTCCCGCCCCATCCCCACCCTCCCTCACCCGCAAGCGGCAGCAGCGCGGCGAACTTGGCGGTCACGTGCGCCCGCCGGCCGAGCTGCAGCGAGGAGTGCAGGAACAGCCGCACCTGGAGGGTGAGGTGGGGAGGCGGGAGAGGTGGAGAGGGAGGTGAGGGTAGGGGAGAGGGACTGGCTTTCCTACATGCACCCACAGCAACACACAGCCTCACACAGTCAGGCTAATCCCATGTTGGGCCCCCCATCCCACCCCCAAAAGGCCAAAACACACCCCACCGCCGCCTACCTCCTCCCCAAACGCCCTCCGCACTTCCATCACCGGGTCCTGCATCACCAGCGCCAGCGACACGTACGTCCCGGGCGCCAGCCTGGAGTCATGCCGGGTAGCCAGCCGCAGCAGCCCCGCAGCAGCAGCCTGCCGCAGGTGGGCCCTATCCGTCTCAACACGGACACCACCGCCACCGTTTCCACCGCCATTTCCACCACCATCGCCGCCGCCGCCGCCAATGATGTATTCATCAAGGTCTTCCTCAATGGACAACAGCCGTACAAGCAGATCCTCTACAGGCCCCGACACGACGTCAACGGTTGCGGTTGGTACGGCAACGGCCAACGCCGCGGGAGCCTCGGCGTCGGGGGTGCAGCCGCGGCAGACGGCGCGCAGGGCTGCGCATTTGAGGAGGATGCCGGCGGAGGGACGGGGCGGGCCGCCGGGGCTGCCGTCCACGTCGGTTTCAGAGGTGGGGGGCGAGAGGAGGTTGGGCGAGGCGAGGTACTGGGAGGACGGGGGGCGGTGGCGCAGGGCTGCGGTCATGTAGTGCTCGCAGATGAAGGCGGCGAAGGACTCCGCGTGCTCTGGTAGGGTGTGGGGCAGAGCGGGGCGGAGGAGGGGAAAAGGGGGGAGAGGAGAGGAGTTGAGTAGGGCGGTTGCTGGCTGGTAGCCCAGGAAGAGGCCAGCGCGTTTCAAGAAAGGTATCGTTAGTAATAAACATACCCACGTGGTATGGACGGCAAACATCGCACGCCCAAATCCAGAAGCAGCGGTCGCAGCAGCGGTCGCCTACAACCTCAATGTCACCTGCAAATACCAGCGGCGCCACCTCTCCCACGCTTCCCATCGCCTGCACCACCGCCGGCGTCGCCTCCTCCTCCTCGCACCCCTGCCGTAGACCCGCTGCCAGCCTTTCCGCAACCCGCCGTACCAGCCCCTCGCCCTCCTGCGCCCCCGCCACCGCCCAAAGTGCATGTACGGCAGCCTTGGCGGCTTTGCCGTACGGTCCCTGGCAAAGCGCCGTCAGCGCACGAAGCACCGCGGTACGTGTCTCGGCGGCGGTTGCGGCCTGACGATCACGCTGCGATTTGGGTTGGTGCTGCTGCTGCTTGTGTCTGGAGGCAGCTGCAGTCTTTCCGGTTGGCTTCTTCATCTTAGCCGCTGGTGACCCCTCCTCCTCCTCTTCTCCTCCTTCCTCCTCTTCCTCCCCTCCTCCTTCCTCCTCTTCCCGCTCTTCCGCGTCTTCCTGTCCAGCCGCCCTCCTCCTTCCACCTCCCTCTCCAGCACCCACCGCCTTCTCCGCAGCACCAGCAGCAGCACCCGGCACCAGGGGGCAGTACCGAGCCGCATGCCGCAACACCCGTACCGCCGTCGTACACGCCAGCTCCCCTCGCGGCGGGTTCGCCGTAACCATTGACACCACCAGGGGCATGGCAGAGCAGCACAGCGAGGGAGCCGACTTGGCCGCCGCCACCGCCAGATTTGCCGCCGCAGCGACGGCGCCGTCGAAGTGGGCGGCGGCGGAGGTTGAGTCGAGAGCCGCCAGCAGGCCCATGATGTGGCTGGGCGCGAGCAGGGTGGGCTGTGCGGCGGCGCTGATGCGGGTGATGAGGTCGGCTGCGGGGGACTTGGAGCCGCCGTTGGGCAGGCGGGAGAGGGCGTCCTTGCGGGCGGCTGCCAGGGCCTGGAAGGGGGCAGAGGGGCGGAAAGGGGGGACGTGCTTGGGAACGCGATAGCGTGCAGTGGGTACCGTACAAAGATGCAGGAAGGAATGCACTGGGTTAAACCAACTGGATCGCGTAACAGTACGGCCTACCTACAGCCTACCTCTGGAGATGCTCCCGGTGCCGCCAACGTCGCCAGTCGCTCCCACAGGAAGTTGTCCCGGCCCGCATCCACCAGCGCCCGCAGCTGCTCCGACCCACGGGTCACTGCGTCCGCCGGACCGCCCACGTCGCGAGCCAGATACCGGCACAGCGGCACCAGCCGGCGCTGAGAGGGATGGGTAGCATGGTGGGCATGGTACCGGTAAGTAGGCAGTCGCAGGGAGCACCGCATGTCGTGCATGTCGTGCATGTCATGCATGTTGTGCATGTCATGCATGAAGAGCAGTGTCGCTATACCACCCACCGCAGGGCCCACACAAGCACATCCACCGTACAGTACAGCACCACACGAAAACCACATCACGACGGATGGCTTACAGCGAACACACATCCGCGAAGACACGCATGGGTAACCGTACATGGGGAGGCAACAGTAACGTGACTGCCGTACATCCCCATGCAGACGGCCCTGCCGCTTCGCCAGCGCTCACCTGCAATCGCTCCAGGCCCCTCTGCGACCCCGAGGGCGCCTGCGACCCCTCCTCCTCCCCGCTCACGACCGCCCCCGCCGCCGCAGCTCGCAGCAGCCCCCTTAGCTCTACCAGCTGCTGTAGCTCCAGGGCGACCTGCGCCTTGAGAGCTAGCAGCTTCCGTACTGCCGTACGATCTGCTGTGTCGTATGATTGCCATAGCGCGGCCTGTGATGGCCGGGATGGAGGAGAAGTGAGAAGATGGGAAGAAAAGGAGAAGAGTGATGCGTTAAGGAGTGAGAAGGGACGCGACAGCAGCAGCAACAACAACCCCCGGGAACTGACAGGAAAAGGTGCAGTGACTCGTGATGCATTCTCTTTGAATACCATCCCCAACCACACACTCACCCAAACCGCCGCACCCAGCTGTTGCCCCATCGCAGACGGCAGCAGCCCCGCACCGCCCCTCACCCCCCCAGCTGCTCCTCCTGCCGCCCCCTGCTGCTGCTGTGCTGCGCCGCCTGCTGCTGCCAGTGCCGCCATCACATGCGGCCTCAGCTCCACATCCTTCACCGCCTCGGAACACAGCCGGGCGGGAACCCAGCCCACGCTGCGAACCAGGCCGGGCAGCGAGAGGCAGCCTGGGTGGCAGGGGGCAGAGGAACACAAGGAGGAAGAGAAGAGGGTTGTACCGAAGGTCGATGTTGGCAACAGGACGGATCGAGTAAAGGAAGAGGAGAGGAAGGCAAACGGTGGTCCGGCAGCCTCCTCTAGGTCATGCACGCCCTCGCCGCCCTCGTCTGGTATGGGGCATCCCTCAGCGAACAGGTCTTACCCTGCACCAGCGCCATGCAGGCGTCCCGCCAAGCCGCCAGCAGCCCCACCACCGCCTCCCGCCGTACGGCAATCTTCCTGTCCCGCAGCCTCGCAGCTACATCCTGCCGTACAACCGCCACCAGTTCATTGTCGTACAGCGCAGGGCCGCCCAGCTGCTGCGAATGTGGTTGCTGCGATGACATGGGGAGGCCTGCTGGCGCCTCTTCCAGGCTGCGGCGCCGGTGATGGCTGCGGACGCCGCCTGCAGCGGCGCCTGCAGCGGCGGCGGCGGCGGCGCCTGCGGCGCCGATACCAGTGGCGGCTGCCGCCGCCAGCACACATATGGCCCTGCATGCCGCCGCTCTTACACGCTCATCGATGTCCTGCAGGCGGTCTCGAGCGGCGGAGAGGACCTGATGCTCCAGGGAGCCATCTGGGTTGGCGATTGCGGCCGCTTCTGCTAGCTGTGCCGTACGGGCGAGCATCTGCTGCCGTATAACGGGCGATTGGTCTGTAAAGCGTTGCAGCAGGTCCTGTGTGGGGGTGCGAGGGGATGGGAAGGAGTGGATGGGAAGCGCAGGTAAGCGCTCGGAAATGCATTCAGACTCGGGCATCCCCAGCTGCCACCTCCCTTCAACCACCGCGTCCCACGGGTCACTTGCCCATTCCCACTCCCACCTCACCTGCATCAGCTCCGGATACTGCGCCGCCAGCGGAACCACCGCCGCCCCACCACCCGCAGCACCAACACCTGCATGCGCCGGCGTCGACCCGCCTCCCATCGACGACACCGGAAGCGAGTGCGACTGTGGCGGCGGCGGCGGGTGCTGGTGCGCCTCCGCAGCGGCCACCGGCGGTGCCGCCAGCAGGCGGGTCAGCAGCGCGGCGGCGGCGGCCCGGCGGTGCTCGTCGTCCTGCCGCAGCTGCGCCTTGAGCTCCGGGATGACGGGGAGCAGCAGCTGGGGCGCGGAGGTGTGGAGCTGCATGGGGGGGGGGGGTGAGGGGAGAGGAGGGGGGGAATGCGGGGTAAGTGGGTGGGGTGCGGAGGAGAGAGGGGTGTGTGAGGGTGCGTGTGGCGGGGAACTGGGGACGCGTCGACACAACAACTCCGGCACAAGCGTGGCGGAGTGCGGAACCTGGGAGCTACGGTAGTCAAGGACGCCGCCCTCAGGCGCCACCCATGGCCTCCTTCCTGGCCACACTCCACACGCATGGCCGCCCTCAAGCGCTACCCCTTTCTGCTACTCCCAACCACCGGTAGAAACACTGCAGATGACATCAACGTGACAAAGGCGACCCCGGCCCCCTGTCTTACCCCATGCAGCAGCGTAAACAGGTCGTACGGACAGCTCCCAGCCGCTGCCGCCTTGCTAGGCGACGCCTTCTTGCCGCCCCCTCGCGCCGCCCCGCCGCCACCACCCACCTCGCCCGGCTGCAGCCCCTCCCGCGCGTACGACAGCACCTGTCGCTGAATGGCGCCTCGCAGCGTGCTGCCGCGGACGGGGAGCAGCTGCACGGCTAGCCTGCGTGTCGAGTGTACGGACGGACGTACAAGTGGCCACGGGAGGTCACGGGGGAGGTCCCGGTACGGATAATGTGCTGGAGAAGGTGCTAGTCGGTAGCACCGGCCGCCGCCGCAGGCTACAGCTGTCCAGAGGCTGGAGACACCGAGTTACTATGATGACAGAAGGTACCTCGCTAAGACCTGGCGCAATGTATACTACGCCCTACGCATGTCGCTTCCCTTCCGCTCCCTCCCCCTTCCCCCTCCCCCGCCTCCTCCTCCTCTTCCCCCTCCCCCGCCGCCTCCTCCTCCTCACCTCTGCGCCGCTGACGAGTACAACGCTGTCCCACCCTTACCCCCTCCCCCCGCCGCTCCTCCTGTTCCTGCTCCTCCTCCCGCTCCCCCCACCAGCGCCGCCAGCACGATGTCCACCACCTGCTGCGGCGGCGCCTCCCCCTCCTCCTCCAGCATGCCACCCAGCACCTCCAGCACGGGGCGCTGGAGCGCCTCCAGGCTCTCAGGCCTGGGGAGCCGGAGGCGGGGACGGCCCGGGGGGTCAGCGCGGCACCAACCCCTTCCAAAGGAACCCACCCACAGGTTAGGGCAAGCTAAGGTGAGAACGAATGGAAGACCGTCCAGCCCAGTCCCCTCTTCCCTTCTGCCTTCTTCCTCCTCATCCCCTACCTTGCCGCCTGCAGCAGGGTGGCGAAGGTGCGTGTGAGCAGCTGCGGGTCGCCCAGGTCCAACAGCGGCACGTAGAACTTGACCTGGAGGGGGCGGGGAGGGTGGGGATCGAGGGTCCGGGATGGGCGGTGGGGAAATAGCCGTGGAATGCGTAGCGGTCTAAGCAGACAGGGAGGGACTCAGGCCCGCTTAGCGGTCTAAGGGAGATCGCAGGGCCGGCTAGCCTAGGGCGTGGCGCGCCCACTCACATCCGCAAAGACCTGCAGTGTGGTGCAGCACAGGTCGAAGGTGGCCGCATCCGTATCCGCCAGCCGGGACCAGCAGTCCAGCAGCACTCCGAACAAAACCTGGAGGAGTGGGGGAACAGGTAAACGGAGCCGCGGGAAACACTGACCATGGCTATACCGGAGGAGGATGTCGTCTCATCAGCAGCATTTGGATGCCTAACGCGGGAGCTTCAAACCCCTTTACCTCTGCCCTTAGGGCTTGACCGTCCATGGCGTGCAAGCGTCCCCCGCTCCGACAGCCCACACGTCCGGCATTACGGTCATTCATTCATTAATTAGCTTTGGCCTCCTCCTCCCCCCCCCCTTACCTTAAGCTCCTCGTCGTCGTAGGGAATGTCCGGCGCGAAGACCCGCATGAGGTGCACCAGGCAGGCCGCGCTGTACAGCCGTACATCCTGTACGGCGGGTAACGGGGAGACAGCGTGAGCACAGCTGGAGTGGAACGGGAAACAACCTGCCACCCATGCGCAGCGATGGACAGGGGCCGCACCAACAACCCCCACCGACCCGTCGTCTATCCGCCGCAAGGCGATGCTCGGCCCCCGTTGCATGTGTATACCACGTCCCTAGCGGCAACCCTTTTGCTTTTTCCTGCCGAACTGTGCCGTACCTTGTCTGCCCGCTCGTGCGTTGCGTGCTGGTACAGCTGTTGTGGAAGGATTTCCTTCGCGGCACCCAGCGCTTCTACGTCCTGCGGCAGCGCCTCCAGCGCAGTCCGCAATTGCTGTAGGGGGGAACAGGGTGAGCAAGCCGGCAGAAGTGGGCGGGAAGCAGGCTAGGGAAATTGGGCCTTGCTACCGAGCAGTCTGACTGAGGGGCGAAGGCTGCGGTTTCTACTGGGGTTGTTGCTTAACTTCAATGTTATTACCATGAAGCGTTGATCGCAAGCACTTAGAAGGACATCTCGCATGGTTATAAGCTCACCTTCAACAGCTTAACGAGCGCATCCTTTCCCTTGTTTGGCGACTTCAGCTTGTTCGCGAGCTGCATCAGCTCTGAGCGTTCATCATTTCCCGAGAACTCGTAGCCATCATTTGCAGGCGCCCGCTGCGCTTTGGCAGCGGGAGGCTGGGGCTGTTTCTTCGGCGCCATGGCTAACGACACGACTGCATACGCCTGAAGCCCTTCCGTCAAGTCCGGCCAAGTGAGCTCACGCTTTTTTAAAATTGTAGGCACAAGTATAGCAACAGCTTCAGCGCAAGGATAGTACTGGCTCAGAACTCTTCCGACCGGGAACCGTCAAGTTGGCGCGTGCTGGAGTCATGCGGACTTTGGACATCAATGCGCCATAGCTCTATATTTAGATGTTGCTGCTTTGCTTATGTTTTGCCTTACGCGCATCAAAGCAATGCTTCCGAGTCGGCTCCCGCGCTTCTGGCAATTGTGTACGTAACCAAAGGGTTGGAGAGGATTGCAGCCCTATCCGCACCATTATCGAACAGCAATGGTTATTAGCACGTAATAAACCTAGTCTAGCTAGCTATTCAGCAGGCGTGCATAGGCAGTACAGCATGACCAGTCATCGTACAGAGGTTAACTCGCTGCTTCCCGCAAACAGACGCAGAAAAACGGAGTGTGGCCTTTCCTCTGCCGTATCATTTGCGCAGCAGGCGGACATTTTGTTCACCACGTATGGCCCACGGGTGTGCCTGTGTGTAGTTGAGTAGGACAAGAGCAAGCAGTTGGGAGTTGCCTGTGTGTTTGTGCATGCCTTTGTGTTTGCCGACCAAGGATACGATAGGTATTTGCTGCATGAATGTGCCCCATGCGGGCTACAAACCGTGCTTTAGAGGCATCCGTGTCAGCGGTGGTGTTTGACTTCCATATCGATGGCGTGTGAGGGCAATAGCTTTTCAGTGTACAGTGTACGAGCTCACCTGGTCAGGCCTGTTATCTGGGTGGTAAGTCTGTATCCAATGCCTATGACACCGGTAGGCATCACTCCTGCCCTATCCAGGGGATTCCCTGAAGGTTCAGCTACAACGGCACCAATTGCAAGCTTCGCCAAACGCTTTAGGGAAGAGATCAGGGTCGCACGTATGCGCAAGGAAATTTCAAAAGCCCCAAGAAAGCCATGCGAAGTAACCGGAACGAAAAGGATGGCGAGTCAACGGCAGAAATCGCTCGTACGGCAAGCTGGATTGGCATTATGGCTTTACTCAAAAAGTTTTGTCCAGCTTGTGTATAGTCTAGTAGTCTAATAGGAAACCGTGATCAAATATATATTAGGTTCCACAATTCGACAGTTCGGCCCCGACCGGGTCTGAAACGTTCGGGGGAGGTTGGCTACTCACGCCTCTTACTGCAAAGGGCTGACCTACAGTAGTATCCAGGTGCCTTGTATCTTTGAGGGTGTCTCATAGGCTGGTAATAGCAATGCCTCGCAACTTTTCTTGAGACGATCAATACAGTAGCACCCAAGATGGCCAGCTCTACGCGGGTCATCGTTGTGGCAGTGGCCTTCACGGTCGTAGCAACCTTTTACTCACTGAGCGAGCTCCATCGTATGAGCGCGCTGCACACTTCCTCGGATGTTGGCAAGTTCGCAACACACGCAGCGGGCAGCACCAACCAGGCAGCAGGCAAGGGGTAATAGTATAAAGCGCTTTCATGGTTATGGTATGCTTGGGCTTTAACTTGGACGAGAAAGCAGCCTTTCACAGCTCTTGGACTGCTATGGATCAGTGGACATGATTCCTATGCTTCTCGCTTTCATGAATTTGTTCAGGTTCGGTAGTCGCAACTGCAAGCCCTGCCAGCACGGCGACAAAGGCGTCCTCGTCTGTTACCAGCAGTTCAAGCGCAAAGAGCGCAAGCTCGGGTAGCAGTAGTACAGCCTCTACAGCCGTGGCAACCAGCGGGGGTAACAATGGGGCCCACAAGTGCTATACCTACGAGCACACAGAGTAAGTCTCCCTAGACGCTCTCCCGGGGTTGCCTTCCCCGTCCCCAAAGGGTACCAAACCCCTTCGTACTACCTTATACCACAGGCTCTGGGGCGACGTCGTTACTTGGGGCACTCTGAACAAGAAGAAGACGGCTGGCGAATGCTGTGATGCATGCCTCAACTACAAGCCCTCTGGTCCTGATGAGCCTGCTTGCAACGGTGCGGCTGCCGTCGTCCTGTGAAATTGGCCGCCAACTCTCTAACAGCTACCTTATGTACTTTTGATTGCAGTTTGGGTTTTCTGCGGAAACGAGCAGGCTTGCGGCTCCCAGTACCAGCAGTGTTGGCTCAAGCACCTGGTAAGCCGGGTGCTCTCACTGTGGGGCGCTCTTCACGGGAAAGAAAGGGGGTGTGTACTTCGCGGCGGGAAACCTTAAAAGCTTGTCATAAGACCCTTGCAAAACCAAGGGTATTGGGCTGCTTTGCAGGCTCATCCGGAGGCCAGCAAGCCTGCCAAGCAGGGCCCAACCACACCCTGGACATCTGGCACGATCGATGTGGACATCAACGCCGACCCATCCGCTGAGTTGGCAAAGGTCCGGTGATTTGTATACTTTTTCAGGGGGCTGGTAGCAGCGTCGGGGCTGGTAGCAGTGTTGGCTTATTGACTCAACCCAGTTACACAATACAATCTTTCTTCTGTATCACCGATTTACGTATTGCTTAGGCATAACTTGGCATAACCCACATGCCCTCTTGCACTTTACTCACCTTCGCCTCCCTTGCCTTTCTCCCTCTCTCCTGGCCTTCCCGACACGCTTGCGACAAGAGAGTACAGGGCTCTGCGGCGCCCCGCATGTTCCATACCGTTACCTCGGCGCAAGGCGCTGCTGTGCACTGGCAGGTTCGCATCCACTACTACTGGTGAGCGCTGCCGCGTGGTTCTTTGGGTTTGGGTTGCTAGCGAAAGGCCCTTGGCCCTTGTCAACTGCGCTTCATCGCTGGGATTACGTTACTACGCAGTTGCTTATATGCATGGGGGCGGTGTAAGCTGCATGGCTGCAGGGTAATCGTAATGCCGATGTTGACATGTCTGCAGGTGGAAGAAGCGGAAGGCTGAGTGCCAGAAGGCCGGCAACTGCGAGATGGGCGGCTTCACTCGTCTGCTGCACAGCGGCTCCGCCGATGATCTGATGGACGAGCTGCCCACGGTGGTCGTGGACCCGCTGCCGCAGAGCATGGTTGAGCACTCGTGGTATGTGGTGCTTAACCGGCCCTACGCGTTCGTCCAGTGGACGCAGAAGGTTAAGATTCCCGAGAAGTACGTGCTCATGAGCGAGCCCGACCACGTCTTCCTGCGCCCCATGCCCAACTTCATGCGGGGCGATGCACCAGGTGAGCTCGCTGGGGGCTTGCTGGTGATGGGAGGTCGCCTTCGCTCCCTGGCCCGCCTTTTCCTATATGATAAAGCCTGTCCTTCAGCATCAGACATCAGCAAAGCTCTGACCTCGCCATTTGTCCCCTGTCGCAGCTGCCTTCCCCTTCTTCTACATCGAGCCCGCCAAGGCCGAGAACACCCACATTACGCGCAAGTTCACGGGCAACATCAGCCAGAAGCAACTGGAGGAGATTGCGCCCATCGGCAACAGCCCCACCTTCATGACCTTTGACGACATGAAGCGCGTCATGCCCACCTGGATGAACGTCTCCATCGCGGTGTTCAAGGACCAGGAGGCCAACTCCGTGTGGGGCTGGGTGCAGGAGATGTACGGCTTCACGATTGCCCTGTGGCTGAACGGCATCAAGCATGTCGACCTGTTCCTGCATATGATGGCACAGCCTCCTTGGGACCAGGACATGCAGATGGCCAACGGCAAGCCCTTCTACATCCTTCACTACACGTACGGCATGGACTACAAGCTGACCGGCGAGTTCACCCCCGGCAAGTTCGGCGAGTGGCGCTTTGACAAGCGCACATACGGTGCCCGCCCGCCGCCGCGCCACCTGGGCGATCCTCCCAAGAACATGAAGAACGAACTTGTCCGCGCACTCATTAACTCCATTAACGAGGCGACGGCTGCACTGCCGTGCTGGGACACGTACGCCGAGAGTGGCAAGGCGTCGTACGACTGCGCGGAGATGAAGACGCTGACAGACCCGCGCTTCAAGCAGGACGGCCGGGCAATTGCCTAAGCTTTTCTGAGCAAGAGGAGTGGATGTTAGTGGCGATGCGTATGATGGTAGTGGCGATTAGTGTGAGGATAGATGGGGTTGCGGGCAGGTGGACATCTAGTTCTCAGGTGAAAGACAGCCTCGACACGACGTGCGATGGGGGGGCCGTACATGGTGCCAATTGGCGCAATCGAAGGGACGCTTGCTGTGATTGGACGCGTACACGTGTTAATGTAGGGCTACGTGACCTTATAGGATATCCAACGCCGGAAGCATTAATGACCTCGACAGATTGTTGTATATGAAGCGTTTCCGCATGTGTATGTAATGATCTCTACGAGTAGATGCGGTTACATACATAATTGGGTCTTCTCAACGGCAGGCTGTAGCGGTGACGTCGCGTTGCATTTGCGCCCACAGATCTTTGTAACGAATTGACGGCGCAAATAAGGACTTCGGATAACGTCTGCTCCTGCTTCATGCAAGTTGAAAACTGTACGCCGTAGTCTGTTACAAGCTCGGGCAGGGTCCCCTGCGCTTCAACAGCGCTTTCTGCGGAAGGTGTATCTTCCACGGTCATCACCAAGCTACTAAACATACAACACAAGATCCCGAGCTAAATGGCTATGCATGCCCACAAGGGCAACGGGTCTGCGGCAAGCCAATGCGGCATCAAGCAGTCCCAACCGCTTCATCAAGGTGAAGCTGTCGTGATTAACAAGGTCCGAAAAGAAGCGCGGATTTGTACACACTTGAATAAATTGGGATCAAAGGGCACAAAGCCTACCAAAAACAAAACCACCGAAAACATCCTGGGTTCACCAGTAAAGGTTCCGCGTCTAAGCACAGGACTAGACAAACAAATAACGAAGCACTGTAACACGAGCACACTAGTCATGCATCAGAACACGTGACCCAGCCGGGGGCTCATGTTCAAGTCTTCAGTTTACTGCTTGCCGGCAGCAATGCTGGCCAGCAGGTCCTCCAGCTTCTTCTGGTCCGCAGCGAAGGAGTCAATGCCGTGCTTGAGCTTCTCAACCGCCATCTGCAGTCCATGGCAGGAACGCATGCACAGTCAGCTTACAAAGCGTGCTGTAGCGCTCACGTCTAGTGCAAGTGCATGAATGCGGGTTGCGCGACAGTGAACCTATTCGCTGGCATTCCAAAGCCCTGCTCTTCCAGAGACTAACGTTTCCCCTGTTTCCTCCAAGCCCCCTAACCCCCCACCTACCGGGTCCGCTCCGTGCAGCTCGTTGAACAGGGCCGCGGTCATGTTGGATAGCTTGCCCGACTCGGTCTTGGCACTGTGGAACGCAAGCAAACCAGTTGGCACCAATCGGATAAGAGTATTGCATGGGGTAGCGGGTGAGAGAACACCGTCTGGCAAGCACGGGTGCTGGATACCCCTAACAACTCGCAGCGGGCCACCAGACAGGACATCGTGCATTTTCCAACGAGCCAGGCTTATCCGTACGGTATTAAGTCCCAACCCCACCCAGCTCCTAAACGCCGCTGCACACGCCACTTACGCCTCCTTGCTGAGCTTGCGCTCCAGCGGCTCGGTGCTGTTCTCCAGCTCGCCCAGCAGCTGCGGCGAAATGGTGATGTTGTCGCAGCTGCGCAGTCGGGGCAGGGGAGGGGGCGGGCGGCAGGGGAGGGCGGGCGGCAACGCTCAGAATAGAAGAGAGGAATGACCTGTACCCGACTGCATGTGTGCTCCGTCAGCAAGGCTCCTGAACAACTCGACAAGCGGCGACAGCTCTTGCGAAGTCATGACTCATGACGTCATGAGGCATAGAAGGAAAGCGCAACAGCAGCTGAGAGGCGGTGATACCCAGCCACATCCACTCATCACACCACAGCAAGGTGGTGTCGCCCCGCCACCTACCCTGCAAGCTCACGGATCTCGCCCACGTTGCGGAACGAGGCAGCCATGACAATGGTCTTGTAGCCGTGCGCCTTGTAGTAGTTGTAGATGCGGCGCACCGACAGCACGCCGGGGTCCTGCGCGACACAACACGCAGCAAAAGGGGCGGCACAGCAGCAACTGGTAAGCAATTGACCAAGTATGATGAATACCGATATGGAATTGTTAGACAAGCATTCCTTGGCATGCATGGGATACGTGCCGCTAGCATGCGAGGGATGGCGAGGAGGCGCATGTCCCAGAATGGCGCTTACCTCGTGGGGGGCGAAGTCCCGGCCTTCCTTGGCCTTGTACCAGTCGAGGATGCGGCCAACGAAGGGAGAGATGAGCGTCGCACCAGCGTCGGCGCAAGCGGCAGCCTAAACAGGACACCCCGAGGAAGGGGGTTAGGAAAGAAGATGGTTGTATGGTTGACCAACATCACATAAGCATTTGCGTTTCCAGCTGCGATCTCTGTGGCCTACTCAAGCCGTCGGCCTTCCAACTAGCCCTGCCTTCCTTGACCGTCCCTCCTCGCTACTTCTCTCCACCATCATCTCCCTACCTCGCACTCCATTCCCTTTCCCCTCCTCACCCCGACCCCCTACATGTCCCCCTACCAAACCCCTAAACCTCCCTCCCACCCACCTGCGCGAACGAGAACAGCAGCGTCATGTTGCAGTTAATGCCCTGGCGCTCCAGCACGCGGCACGCCTCGATGCCCTCCCAGGTGGAGGCCAGCTTGATGTAGATGCGCGAGGGGTCAATGCCGTTGGCGGCGTACATGTCCATCAGGTGCAGCGCCTTGTCGATGGTGGGCTGCGTTGCGCGGAGAGGAGGTGGAGCGCAGGAGGAGGAGGGGGGTTAGCAGAAGTGCATGGAAAGAAGCACGTCGGAAAGATGCAAAGGAGCGAGGAGGGGCGTGGAGGATGCAGAGACAAGGGCATGCAGCAGTAGCTGGCGCGTGCGCCATCACGGTACGTCCACGTACAACATGTGTGTTCAAATAACTGGCCGCTGTTAACGTCTCTTGTAAAGCGTACGACGTGCGGCCTTACCTGGGTGCTGTACGACAGGTTGGCATCCACCTCGGTGGACACGCGGCCGGGCACGATCTTGAGCAGCTCGCAGCCCAGGTCCACGGACAGCTGGTCAGCAACACCCGCGTACGGCCGAGCAGGGTTCTCGGGGGCCTTGGTCTGCGCCTTCAGAGCCTTCTCCAGGAAGTGGCGGTTCTCGGGCATCGACAGGGCCTTGTACACCAGGCTGCGTTGGGTTAAGGGATGTCGGGATGTACCAAGTCAGTAAGGGGAAAACACTTGTTACGGTTCAGAGGGGGAAGGCAAGTGGATTACGTAGTTTCAGGGAAAGAGGGCATGAGGAAAGAAGTAAGGCATGCGTGATGCAAGCCCGGGTTCATGGTCGTCAAGGGGTAGCATAACGTGGCTGTTTTCCGCGCGCACGGACGTTACAAAAATAAGCCCTTCGCCCAACACAACGGACCGCTGTGTGCCTTGGAGTCCGCTGTGTATGCTGTTCGATATATGACGTTTGGTTTGTCATAAATAGGATTTGGTGCAGTGACGCGGTCCTTGCCTGGGGTTGGTGGTGCAATCGACGGGAGTGTACTTCTTAACGAGGTCCAGCTCGCCCGTGTCGGCAACAACAACCGACATGCTCTTCAACGCCTCAAGCTGGTTCTTGAAGGTTTGGCGAGCGAACGGTCCAGCGGGAGCGGCCTTCTCGTCGACGTATGCACGTGCGATGACGCGCCTGGAACTTGGGCGGACCGCAACCGACGGAGCTTCACCCCGCATAGGCACACGGCCCGTGGCCGGTTGCTTGTGCAGCAAGGCCATGTTACAAGCTTGTGCTACGTGCCTAGTGGGAAGTTGGTCTACGTAGGCTACGTATTACAAGCGTGTGCTCTTCACAGGAAGCAACACAAATGACTTCCCTGCGCAGGTAGACAAGTTATATGTGGTATCTTCCTTGCTGAAGAGAATCGTCGGTCGGGATTGCGATGGATTGCGATGTCGTAAATCCGCCCGAAAGCGCCTTTTTCCGAAAGGACCTGGACCTCGTCAACCGACAGGCCGCTTCGCCACCGAACAGGCCAAATGTTCCTGAATGCTTAGGATACAGCTGAAGTCGCGTTAACGTAACTCCACTAGGCTTTAGGCTGTCGTCACCTAACCGACGGTTACCAGCAAGGACCTGGTTTCCATGTGGCGCCTGAAATTCTACCTTCTAGCGCGATTTTGTTCACGAAGATTGACATTCCTGCGCACAACGCATTACACAGCGCTTGTCGTCACCCAAGGTCGTTTTTAGGCGCTTCTCGCCAGGCTTTATGGCCTATCCTCGAACATCGGTCGGAACGTTAGGAAAAATAGCCCTGTCCCAAAAGTATCCGAAGCTTGTCCATAACCATTGCGATCTCATGGCCTCGTCGGATGCGCTTGCAAACAACGCAAGCCCCCCTAAATAGATTGGCTGTCATCGTAAGTGGACAGGAAAATTGTACTGGTCAAAGTCTGCTATACTAGGTTTCTATGGGCTTGTCGGTCCCTTGGGTCGCCGTCTTTGCACCTCTGCAACATCACGGAACATCTGCCATTCCCTCAGAAGTGACCATAGTGTTAATGAGTCCGATATCACGCTGCCTCCGTCATCAGCAGCAACCGCGGCGGCACGACTGGACCACAATCCTCTTCGCGTTCCATGTAGTACGGTATAGCAACGGCCCCGCCCTTTCAAAAGTCCAAGTCACGGCAAGGCCGGCACATGCGGCTCCGCTGGCAACCTCTGCCCTGTCAGTCTGTCCAACAAATCCTGTGCTTTCCGCTCCTCCTGAGGTTGGGAGGGTTAGGGCACAACAAATATCAAAGCACTTTTCAAAATCCCGGCATGCGGCGTGCCGTGCATGGCAGATCAGTAACGAGGGGTGGCTTTAGGAAAGCGGGGAAGGCCGATGGGGCGTAACCCTGGTGCATCATGGAATCCATGGAAGGCATGGATCCGGGATCCCCCTGGGAAAGTCTCCACCGCGCGCCATATAGCGCCAAAGGCTGCGCTCTCACCTGCAGCTGGTGTATCTTCCACAGGTCTCGAAGGTCCTCCACCACCGGTACAGCGGAGTGGGCCTTGATAGGTGCGGGTGAGGAAGGGAAATGAAGGAGGAGGAGAGGGTCAAGGCATGCTACTGGTGTTGGCAAGTAGGGTTGGGTTTGAACCTGGCACACTGCCAAGACCCAAAGTCAACGTACAGCAGGTAAACATACAAAGCCCTGTGTAAGTACAACCCCCAAGAACTTCCGTCTTTGCGTCGTACCAGCCCGACAGCCACCCCTGCCCCTGCCCCTGCTCTCACCATGACGTACTCCCGCTCCGCCTCGCTAATGCCCGCCTCTGCAGCTGCAGCCTCCATGGCAGCTGCTGCCGCCGTCTTCACCACAGCTAACCCCTGCTGCCCTGCTGCTGACAATCCCCCTGCCGCCACACCGGCGACAGACGCGTCGCGTTGGCCCTCCGTCCCTCCCTCTTCCGCCCTACCTCCAGCACCCATCGGCGCTGACTTGGCGCTACCAACTGCTGCCTCCTGCCTGTCCTGTTGCCCCCCTTGTCGCTGCTGCTGTCGCCTGCCATCCCCCTCCTGCTCCTCTTCCTCGCCTTCCTCGGCGCCATCAGCCTCCGCCAGGGCGGCTTCTGCACGACGGCCCCACTCGCTGACCCAGTCCCTGTGCGCATCAGCAGGAACTGCGGCGGCTGGGGCTCCGGCTGTCAAGGCCTGCGCACCGCCCTGCCCGGTGTCTTCCTGCTGAGGCCCGACCGCAGCTGCAGCCCCACGGCAACCTGCCGCTCCCAGCTCTGAGGATTGCTGCTGGCTTCCAGCCATGGGTGCTGCTGTTGCCGCAGTCGAGGCGCCGACGCCTGCAGTCGTAGCATCCCTGCTAGCGGATTTGCTGATAGCCTTGGTACTGTGGGGTGCTGTGGAATCGTGTTGTTGGGGGGTGTAAGGGTCGACCTGCAAGTGAATATGGAGCAGGGGAAACCAAGGGTAAACCGTTGCGGAGTCAGCGGGTGACTGCTCTTTGCGCCCAGCGCGTCAGGTTTCAGGCCTCAGGTTGCTGACCGTCGGAATGGCAACGTCATGTGGCACACGCGTGGAGAGCCCTACCGCATGAAGTAGGAAGTTATGGCCGAGGTCAGGTTGCCGTACGAGAGCTAAGGGGATTGAGGACGGGGTAGGTGTACGTACATGCCCCGTGCGACCCCTGGGTCACGGTCTAGCAAAAGGTCCCCTCCCCAGCCGGGCTAGCGTCCCCAACCGGAAGCCCGGGTACCCACCCTGACTGAGAAGGGGCTTCCTCCCACGTGGCGTCCAGAGGCTGCGTCCACCACCTGGCATACAGCAACAGCGTTGTGTGTTATGTTTGTTAAAACCGGAACGTGAGTAGGAACGAGTAGGAACGTACTGAAGTGTCTGATAAGATGTTTGTGTTTTTCCAGTTATCACAATATTCACAAGTCTACAATTGTCTCATCCTCGTCCTGCTGGACCCTTGGCGGATGGTCGCCATCCAGTTACAGGATCTGGACTCCCTCCAGCGTTGACGCTCTTCCCGGACCCCAGCCGACCCGCGGGTCCACACCTGCAGGCGGTATAGTCCAGGTACGGCAGGTGCGGTGTACGATACGCGGTACTCGGCGTGCCCCGCCTCCGCCAGCTGCACCTGCAGCGGCACCTCCGCCACACCGTTACCCAGCTCCAACTGCACCGGGGAGGGAGCAGGGTAGGGAAGGGAGGGGCAGGGGTAAACCTCCAGGATATGGAGATTATAGAGTATCATGCTGGTATAAATTGGCCCAGGAAGGTTGTCAGCTACAGCTGCTGTTGTTCAAACTACCGGTTGAAAATACATGCGTGGGAAGCAAGGTCAGAGGCTCTAACTCTGTTGTGTTACCAAGACGATAAAAACATAGCAGAGATGGACGTTGCTATGAGCGCACGTAGCTATGAAGGCACGCGCATTTCAGTAAACTCACGCATGCACGCACGTACCAGCAGCGGCAAGCCCCTGGGCAACCGGTCTCGAGCCACACGGTTGCCCCAACGGTCTCGGGGCTGTACGACAAAGCTGGCCAACTGCCCTGCCGCCGCCACTCGCCGCCCCAGACCCTCGACGGTGCTGTTGCGGGCGGTGGGTTTGCCGCCCGCCACTCGCACAATGTACGGCGAATCAGCTACGTGACGTGGCGTCACTGGTAGCTGATCAGCAGTTACGTCGTTATCGTCTGGAATGCCACCTGCGGAGAGGTTAGAAAAACCATGAGATTACGTTGTTGGAACTCGCAGCATCGATGATTCCGTGGCCATAGCCGGTTAGCGACTCTCCTCTCCTAACTTTGGTGTCCTGTACACCTGCTGCTGAAGCTCACAGCAGTCGGACAAGTTTGAACCCAAGCAATGTGCTAAGCCCCCTCAAGCCTACCCTTATGCCCATATCTCTTTGTTTTCTCACCCTCCGCAATCAGTAGCACATGCAGCTCCATGATGCCAGCTGTCGTACACGTGTACGACACATCGTACGTTCCGTCGTCACGGTCAACCACCTCACCAACCGCCACAACGGCCATCTCGGGGTGCGGCAAAGCAGCAGCGCTACCGCCGTTGAAAGCAACTGCGCCGCCCTCTGCTGCTGTCCCCTGCGTTCCCCGCATTAGCAACCCCAGTGCTCGGAGGGCCTCGGGTGAGGAGGGAAGTCTCAGCTCCACACGGAAATGTTCGCCGCCTGACAGGCGCCTGTTGCCCAGGTCGTCCCGAGCCTGCCGTGGTAGTTGCGGTGGAGTGCACCCCATGTGTGCAGATGTCTTATTTGTGCGTAAACTGTGAAAGACACGCTCATGCAATCCAAATATACGAAGGGAGTTGACACCAGCCACGCTCCGCTGTTGCTAAGTACCCTGAAATAGCGGTACCCTAAAGCGCCTCCGACACTTCTCCCAAGCCACGTCTCCCCCTCCCCACCTCAATCACCAGCCGCGCCACCTCTCCTGCCACCGCCCGACTCACGCCTGGCCCCGACACGCGGCATGCTTCAGGGTCGGCAGTGCTCTGCACGAACACAGGGTGCACCCATTTAGCGGGTGGGGACAGCAAAGAGACCGCTATATGGGAGCAACGGGTGGGATACTGTAGCAGTTAACGTGCACAAAGTGAGCTTAACGCTTAACTGCCATACTATCGTTGGCAGGACTCGAGTTGGCAAGACTCGAGAGCATGCTCGGTAGGCTTCATCCAATGTGCGGCACAACGGCTTACGTCGCATGCAGGATGGGCCTTATTACCTGCACCCAGCAGTCCTCCTCCCAGCGGCCCCGAAACCGCACACCATCCGCGAACACCGCGACGCCGTACCCGTGTCGCTGGTCCTGGCGCCACTCCCCTGCGCGTGTGAAGAGGGCAGTGAAGAAGGTGGGGCAACGGCTTAATGACTGGGTCTTGGCACTCTGCTTCTCAGCTAGGGTGAGTCGGTGAGGCACGGCGGAGGAACAAAGGATTGGCAGAAAGGGTCTTGTCCATTGGCCCTCGCATACCCCATGACCCAAGGGTCCGCAGGCCAACGCAAGTGTGGATTAATTATCAGCGAAACCTCTTAGCACAAAGAGCATCTTTTAATCTTTTAATCTTTACATCACATACAATCGGTCGCAGAGAAGGAACCTATCCTCCTGACTTGAGCTGCCTACCTTCATACTTGTCGCCATTAGCATACACGCACATGCCCTTGCCGTGCCGTACACCGTTCGCCCACTCGCCCACGTACTTGTCGCCGCAAGCGTACGAGCATGTGCCGGTACCCTGCCGTACGTTGTCCTTCCAGTAACCCGTGTACATGTTGCCGTACACATCGCGCCCAGTGCCTAGCCAAGTAGTGAAGCAAGTAAGGTGGTGTTATGATATTAGCTTACCGTCGTACCGGTAGTGCTCTTCGCGCCATACCCATGTCTCATAAGCCAAAGCCAAAGCAATGTTGCCGTACGAGCACAGCACAAGGCGGGCTGCATGATAGACGGCCACAGTGTGCAAACCCTTTTCCGTACCTTTCCCTTGGCGCTTGCCGTAGCAAAACTCTCCTCGGTACCAGGCCCCGTCGCTGGGCCCGTTTGCTGCGCTTCCACTGCCCTTGGCACTTCCGCTGCTGCTGTTCACTCCCGCAGCCCCTGCCACCTCATTGACCGCTGACGGCGAACCACCTCCTCGCTCGCGCCACTCGCCCTGCCCATGCCACTGACCCGCGGACCACCCCCCGCTGTACCAGCTGCCATCGCCGTACTGGCACTCCCCGCTGCCGTACTGCTCGTCCTCGACCCAACCGCCACGGTAACGGAGCTGACCCGCCACGACGAGCAGCCCCTGACCATGCCGCTTGGTACCCTTGAAGCTGTGAGAGTTGAGTGGTACAGGCATTGGTGAACAGAGAATGCAGGTTAAGGTGGTAGCTGGTGGGGCTGCATTTGTCTAACTCTTTGACCCAGGGGTACATGCATGGGGGATATCGTATGCAATACGGCACCAGGAATCATGCCGCGATAAGGAGACGCGGTGGCTGGGAAAGAGCCATGGGCCCCATGGCTGATCTCCATGCAATCATGCGGGGTGACATGCATGTCTGCTCAAAGTACCCGTACTTAGCATGCGCATTGCAGGGAAAGCCCAATGAGTGACTCCTTGTCGCCCTGCTCCTGTGTTAACGCCACATACGGCATACCTGCCGGTGTAAGTGGTGTTGCCATCGGCTGAGACCAGCGTGCCCTCCACACGCGAACCCCGCTCGTAGCGGCCCTCAAAGTAGGAGCCATCGCTCATGGTGAAGCGACCAAGACCTGTCAAGCAGAGCATGAAGCGGCAAGAACCGTACATGAAGCAGATACGGTATGCTAGACTTGAAGCTGCCATGTGCCCAGGACAGCGCTTTACCCCGTGCTATCTACCGTATGAGCCCCGCTTGACAGTTAACTGTACGACAACGCCCTCACGCCGTTTATCCCTTATCCCTTTCAAAGCCGTGTCGTACCGTGCACGACGTCGTCGTCCCACTGGCCTTCGTACACGGCGCCTCCCACGGCTTTCAGCAGCCCCCAGCCGCAGCGCTTGCCTGCTCGCCACTCTCCCTCGAACTGCCCACCGTTGGCGAAGCGAGCCCAGCCCAGCCTGCGTGTGCGTGCATAGTTGCATGGTTGCAAACACGCGCGTTTGGAGTATCGGTACGTAGGGTAGTGCATGCAACTCCGCGCCAGTGGCCATGCGTCTGGCGCACCATCAGCAGTACTTTATCGTGTTCTTTTTCATCTTTTTTTACTCCCCTGGTACAGTATCGGCTCATCACTCACCCGTCCGCTTTATCGTCCACCCAGCCGCCCCTGTAACGGAAGCCATCTGGGTTACTATAGGAGCCCTGTCCATGACGCCTGCCCTGCCGCCACTGCCCGTCGTACACCTCTCCACTGCCGTACAGCATCCTGCCGTACCCATGCGGCCTCCCACGGGCGTCCGTGTCACCCTGTGTACGGTTTAAACGGAAACAAAGGTGCGCTGTATTCGTTATGCACCACCTCATGAGCACGCGTGTCCATGTGGCGGTTATAATGACGGATGCAGCAACCACCGGGCTGGTGCTTCCTAGTGTGTACCGGTAAGGTTGGCGGGTGACGAAGATAGGTCGCTCCTTTCGTTCCTGTAAAGGAATGCAGTACACAGGAATTTGCTGCCGCGCCCTCGCACCTCGTATCTGTCATTGCTGCTGGGGACTACGGCTGCTGGGTCGGACTCCGACTCCGCTCCCGCCACTGCCAGCGCTGCAACCGCAGTCACTGCCGCCAGCGTGGCTGCCGCAGAAGGCGCCATGGGGCCGTTTGGAAGCCCCCTTTCTGCGTCGAACTGTCGTTACAGAACAGCTGCTGGCAAGGACGATGAGCTACAGGTGTAATGCCTGGCAACCGTCGGTTAGCTCTATGTACATTGGCAAGTTTCAGAAATGACCTCTGTACGCAAAGATGTGTGAAAAGGCGGGCAAGTTTACGCGGTGGATGGAAGGAGCGACAGAGGGTGATCGACGTAGCCCTAGCGTCGCTACCGGCTGTCGCCGTTGTGCTCACTGGCTAGCTATGCAGTACGATTGGCGAAGGGGGTCGAGAGGAAGGAAGGAGGACTGCAGAGAAGTCTGGAAAGCGGTTCGATCGATCGCTCCAAGTCCTGTCCTCGTTAGCTGCTTGCCTCGAAACCGTCAGCAACGCCCTTCCCAGAAACTGAGGATTGAAGGCGTGTTGCTGACGCATAAATCCTTTATACGAGTTACTTAACCCTACACCAGTCGCTGAAACGAGTCAGGTCCTTGCGCTTGACAACCGTGGGCGTAGAGGCAGTTGTCGCCCGTTAACTCCCAGTCGAAATATTTTGTTGAAATCCTCATTTATACATAGCAAGGCCGCTGTTTTGGCTCAATATTCCTATTGATAGCACGATATATCATGCCACATGTTAGCCAAAGGGACAGGCATTAAAATGCATTCCGGTTGTGGGTTGCGGCATTATTTAGGCTGTGCGGAGGACCTGCAGTTGTGCTCCAAACGGACAACGCAACTGCACACAGCTCCTCATGCACGGGGGGGGGCTGCACTGACAGCTAAGGGATAGGCGGATCCAACCCGGTCTTGTAATGAAGGCAACAAGGCGCCAAGCAGTGAATACATTGCAACGTACACCACCTTACGCTCTGAGCGCATAAACCAAAATGTCACAGGGGTTGCCATGTGAACCATGGGTCACTTCTCCTGGTAGCAGCCAGAACCCTTCATCATGCTCATGCACCCGTCCTCAATCACGATGCTACCACCCCAAACTCGTGCCGTTGTTGGCAGTCTCCAAACGTACACACAAACGACACTTCTGTGCACATATGCCACATACATGTAGCAACGGTATCGCTACCGCCGCCACCCCCATTACCATGCCTTCTTCAAGTTCTTATTTATGTTCCAAGATATCCCTGAATGTCCTTAACTTATTTATCCTACACCGCTTTCCATCAATGTATCATTGTGAGCAGTGCCGTCATCGATACCATGAATAATGATGAACCGCTGCATCATTATACTCGTTAACTCATAAGCCATAACCATACGTACCAGTCGTTAATCACCCGTGTACGCATATTAGTCGTTAGGTCATCCGTGCAAACGCAACAGCGCTGAACCCCAAAGCCAGGACACGTCAAGCATTCCAACATCCAAGTGCGCAGCCGCTCACGCCAAGCATTTCAGCCACATGCATCCAACAACTAACCCAGCACCGGCCATGTTCATACATCCTCCGATGTTCCAACGTGCATGCACATTGAGGTTCAGGCTAGACATCAGCAACAGCTACTGCCCATCCCTAGCTGCTGACAGCAGGCGGTTCAGCGGCCTTGTCAGGTCTAATAACCCACGGGAGTACATGGGCTGTCAATGTTCCGGTCCGCCCAACCGCCCCGCCGACCTATGGCCGACATTCCACCATCTCGGTTTCAAAATTCAATAATGCACCTCAAAGCAGCGTTGCTGCCCTTTACATGAAGGAAACCGCAGCGGTAGGCAGCAGCAGCACACTCACCGTTCGAGGCACATACCTTTTAGTTACCGGTATTGCATTCCCAGCCGTCCAGTGGCCGCCGACAAGCGCTTCCCCAGGCGGCGCTACCGTCCTCAATCGGCCCCATCGTAAAACTCCACACAGCACATCCATCCATCACGCACTCACTCATCTCACAGCAGCATTACATCCGTCACATGCACAGCCTCCAGAGACTCTCTGCTGCCAGCACCCGTAACCCTCAGCTGCTGCTGCACCAGCACCAACGTCTTCACCACATCCGCCGCCGCCGGCCGCCGCGCCGGGCAGTGCTCCCAGCAGCCCTCGATGAGCGCTCGCAGCTTGGGCGGGCAGCGGGCGGGGGGCAGCAAGTCCAGGGGCGGACGGCGGCGGTGCAGCGAGACGTTGAGGGCGATCTGCACCATGCTGTCACCCGCCCAGGGACGTCGGCAGGCCAGCATCTCCCATAGGAGAACTCCGAATGCGTAAATGTCCTGCAGGAAGGTAATAAGGTATGTGTGCAGCAGGTATGTAAGGGTACAGTTGGTGGCTGTTGGCACATGGATTGGTGGATGAGTGGGGAGCCAGCAGGTACCGTAAGCAGGGCGAGGTGGGCTCATCAGGACAGTAGTACCGTAGGTGGGACACCAGCCCAGGAAAAGCAACTCTAGTCGCAACGTAGTCACCTAAACACCTTACCGCGCGATCGGTAATTTTGTAGTTGTCCACGTCGAAGAGCTCGGGTGCCATGTAGGGAGCCTGCACAAGCGAGTAGTGCGGCACGGTTAGTTCGGTCATTTGAAGACCCAGCCAAGTGCGCCGGAGGAACACGTAAACATGGTTTCATACCACAATAATGGATAGACATAGCCAGCTATCTAGCCCCGCTCACCGTTCCAACCTCCGGATTGCGTGTCACGAGCACGGTATTTCTCAGACGGGCCAACCCAAAGTCCTGCGGGGCAGCAGCAGCAGCAGCAGCAGCAGCAGCAGCAGCAGCAGCAGCAGCAGCAAACCAACCATCAGCCCCAGCCTGCTGCTGTAATAACTCTAATAAGCGCTGGGTACAGGCAGGCATGAACCATGCTTCGCCGCCGGACAGCAGTGGCTGGCTGGCCCCAATATATGAGTGGACTTGAAACAGCAACTGTCAACCGCTAGTACCGACCGCCAGTGCCAACCGCCTCCAACCGTCACCTACCGCCAGTTTTGCCACCGGCTGGTCGCTGTCAGGATGCGAGATGAGGACGTTGGCTGGCTTCAAGTCTGCATAGGTAGGTAGACAGGGTAGGCGGGGTAAGTCGCCATGCATCAGGGTCGTGTACAGGCACTAACGGTAAACACATTTAGGACGCATGACACTGCAAGGCAAGGGTACATTCTCCAGCAGGCAAGGTACCGGCACCCTGACGAGGCAAAGCACCTTGAACCATGAGCACTGCCGCCAGCAGACGAAGGAACCGGACTCGTGGCAAAGCAAACAGAACGCAGGGCACTTAAACCACTCATGTCCCCGCGCAGGCACCCACCTCTGTGCAGTACTGTTGGGTGCAGGTATGCCAGGCCATTTGCAATCTGGAGCGCAATGTGCAGTACCTTGTCCAGCGGCAACCTGCCGTCATCATCAGGTTTGTACGGCAGCTGTTGGTTATGGCTGCTGCTGCCGCTGCCGCCGTACATCAGGCGTTCGAGGGAGGTCTCCATCAACTCCATCACCAAACATAGCCGGGGACGCCTGTGGAGGAGGAGGGAGAGGGAGCAAGCGGCCTCTGTGCATTAACAATGGGTGCATCAACAATGGGTGCTAGGCAGCAACTCCCACGCATGCCACTAGGCAGCTTGTTTCCCGTGGTGGCTGATGACATCCGCCGCATCAGTACCCTTCCCTGCGGCTTGCCCCCCACACAGGTTTGCCATGCATGGCACCCTGGCACGCAATGACTCACCTGAGGCAGGCAGCCAGCAGCCGCACGATGTTCGGGTGGTTGCATCTGCAGGGTACGGAGGGTGCGTGAGAATGAGGGTGGGACAAGGAAGAGGTGGGGCTTGCGATGCAGGCTTGCGTGGTTGGCCAGCGGAGGGTATATGGGCTAGTGGCGTCAGGGCAACAGGGTAAATGGTTGTGTCTAGCCCTGCAGTGACCCATGGGTCGTACTCACCTAGCCAACACTTCCACTTCATGCAGTATGGCTGACTGCCCTTGGAGAGAATGTACGTCATCGGAAACGCACGCTCTGTGTGACGCAGCCGCCTTTTGAGCAGGCTGCTGCAACGCCGTGTCTCCCAGCGTCACTGCTGCTGCTTCCTGTTCCGCCGTCGCAGCTGCCACTGCCACTGCCGGAACCCTACCTTTCCCAGGTTGCGCTTCATCACAGTCCTTCGTCATGTGATTGCTGCTGCCGTTAATAAGCACCTGCCCCAAAGATGCCGTAGACACCGCTGAAGCAAAGTTTGTTGCAGTTGCAAGCTGCTGCTGGCATGATGATCCCTTCGACATAATCCCTTCGACATGCCAGCCCTTGCCGTTCGCTGTTTGGACGTGCTTGCCGGGGCTGCTACGATCCGTTGCAGGTAGAGGGAAACCCTGGTCCGGTAGCTGCGGCTCTGGTGAACGCCCCTTCACATGCTGCTGTTGCAGCTCCTGCTGCTGTTGCAGCTCCTGCTGCGGTGCCAGCAGCTTCTGCTGCTGCGTTTCTGGCTGCGCAACAATTCCAGGCGCGGCCACAGCAGGTGCGTCCATTGCAGCAGCATTTGCCAGTCCAAAGTCAATCAGTTTGACCGCAACCTTTACGCCGCCGTACATCCCTTGCACGACCCGCCCTGACGCGCCCTTGCCCAACGTGACACGGGTCAACTGTACTTCCATTCCGTCTGGGGACAGGTCAAGCCGAACGTCGGGCAGCATCGGAGTGAGTGGGGTGACTGGCACGAGGGACAGATCATCCAGAGAAGCTGCTGCTACAGTGTTGCTCCTTGTGTCAGGGCAACTACCGATACTGCACGCTCCCGCGCCCTCGAACCCTGCAGCGGCCGCTTCTTCCCGTTGGCGCTGGTCCGCTGGCTCCTTGTTTGCACGGAGCTGGGTCTTCAGGGCAAGGTCGCTGCTAAAAGCCGTTGCCCCTGAGGCTGCTGTAGCTGCTGTCAAGGGTGGAGCACCATAAGCAGAAGCGGCGCTAGCGCTTTTGCTATGGTGGTGAGCATTAGCACCTTTATCGGCGTACTTTCCCTCCTTGCCAGCCTCCTCGTCGGTATCATGATGGTGGCGAGGTTTACAATGCCGGCGTGCTGCCGCGGTTGCTGCTACAGCCAACCCCACCAACAGGGCTACCACAGCAACGCCTGCAGCGTGGAAAACGATAGCGGGAAGCTTCGTGCTTACCATGGCTTCATTGCGATAGGCTTGCTTGCATAGTGTGAACTCATCAGACAGGTTCATAGCCCGCTGCCCGGACATGCGACCTTGCTCCTTTTCATGAATACAAGCTGCAGCACCAAAACCCCCCTCAAAACCCACCTAACCTTAGTACTGCTACATGTCCCGTAACAACACTACGTAGCCAGCCCAGCTTCTTCCTCACAGACTAAACACCTCTCCTATCCCGCACTGCACCCACCCATAACGCACCTCCCAACACGCCTCCCAGGATAGCCCCAAGCGTGCCGCGACTGCTGCTGCTGCCGCCGCCTCCACCTCCACCGCTACCACCCAACAGCCCGGCACTGCTGCCGTCGCCCGGCACTGCAGCAGCTGACGACGTCGGGCCAGGCATCGGATCCTGCTGCTGCCGCTGGTTCGGCGGCGATTGCTGCTGCTCTGACGTGGGTTGGAGCTGCCTCGCTGACGAGGAGCCTACTCCAGTTGATGTTACCATGCTTGTACCCGACATCGCGTCATCTTCACTCGTACCACCGGTACTGCTCGCGTCAGTGCTGCTGCTGCTGCTACTACCTGGAGGAAACATCTCGTAGAAGCAGCCCACAGTCGACCCCGCGGCAGCAACACACTCAGCAGTCATGACAGTGGAACACTGCAGCAACAGCAGCAGCAGCAGCAGTAGTATTAACAGGTTGTAAGGAAGAAGGGATGAGGTAAACATTAAAGTATGGGCGGCGTGGGTTACCGGTAAGACAGGCAAGGGCACGTTATTAAATAGTGTTTTGCCGTACTAGTTAACACGCATCCTTAGGACGTACCAAGTATTTGATCCTCTTTCCGAGGATGTAGTAGCCCGCCTCAACTACATTCCAGCCATCAAAGTTGTAGCCGACAACATGCATGTCATCGTAAACTCCGACCATGGGCCAGCAGCGTTTGGTGGGAGGTACAGCTGAGCTGTTGTCGTTGATGCATCCCGCTTGGGAGATGTTAGGCGTGGCACTTGACTTTAATGGCCCCACACTCGTGCAATTAGGTCTTTTAATTGTGGCAACTGAAGCAATGCCGACGAGGGAAGGAAGGCAGGTGCCTGATGCGGTTGGAGAAAGCGGCAAGATAAAAGGCAAAAGGCGGAACGATTCAATTGCCGGGTTGAAGACTTCTGGTAGAGGCAGGCAGATCTTTGCAGGACGACAAGGGGGAAAGCTCTGGACAGGTAAAGGCACATACGCGTGCGCATGGGTATGCTGCCCCTTGTCTAGTTATTGCAATAAGCCAATACCACGCACAGCGGCATCAACGGCGCAAACTAGAGCAGCCCAGCCACCCTGCACCACTAAACATGCATGTGTTCCGTACATACAGCAGCATCCATGCATGACATCAGGCTCATGACTCACGCTGTATCAGCGCAATGTCAAAAAGGTAGCCGTACGGCACTTCAGAGCACGTGTCGTTGCCGCTGGGGTAGTCCTGCGTGGCTACCCAGTCCGGTCCCGGTGCCTGCACACATGACATCCAGGAAGCCGCACACCACGTACATTCACGCGTGTGTTGGACAAGGCACAGGACAAGGAATGGGCTGTGTTGTTGTACTGTGTAGTGCTACTTGTTTGACTACAGAACCTGGGGCAAATACCCACGAGATCTGTTTAGCTTCACCGTATGTTCCCTACCTGGAAATGCGGCCCCTCCCGCCAGCGGTCCAAAACCATGTATTGCCAGGTGACAACCACTCTAGGCCACAGTTCAATCTTCGGGCAGGCAAGAGAGCGGGGAAAGGTGCCATGGCAGATGTACACTTAGCGATTACATTATTGAGGGGGTGAGAGGCAGGCAGGTCGTGGGTAACCGTGTGCTAAGGAGAGGGGTTGAGCAACTCCCATGAAAGGGATTCTAGAACACATAACTTGTCTTTCATTCGTTGAAGAGGAAGTCACAGAACATGGATGCATAAATACGTTGTAGAAACAGTGAGTAGTGAACAGCTCATCCGTGCATTCCCAGAAGTAAACCCCTTCACGCTGGCGGCCATCCTTTAAAGACGGAGTTGCTTGGGTAGCATACCTTGTTCTTTAGGTACCCAAAATCCAGGGTAACCCACAAGGATTCCTCTTCATAGTAGCCTCGAATGGTGACATTTCGGGTGATGTCAACCGGAGGTTGCATCCAATCGCTCTCCCTGACCTCAATATTATTCATCACGTAAATGAGATGCACCGACTGGTCTGCTATGGCCGCAGTCAACTGCGAACCGGTGTAGACAGGTGTGGCCGCATCGTCGAATACCGTTAGGCGACGGCCTGCATTCGCTTTTTCATCACCGCTACTCTTCCCAGTCACAAAAGTCAAAAGGAGAAACTTGATAGAAATGTGAAGAAAACACTTTAGCGAACGGCTCATTTCAGACGCTTGTGTTCTGACGCACATCAGTTTGACAGCAATGCAGTATCACTCCCTAATGAAATACTGTTAAGGTGCCATAAGCTCGGCTGCGCACCACTCCTCAACTGTACGTAAAAGTAGATTCGCAACCGTCGGCAGAGCTCTAGTCTGCTGTACGCCCCTCAGCACACTTCGGTGTGAATTTTCCATTTAGCCTTCTTGCTATCGATGCATGTTACGCCATAGAGTGCCCGAATACCCGAAACCTCCCAGAAAACGGTTAGTGTCAAGAGGTCAAGGGGCTCTGAGCTCGTCTAGCCATGCAACGAGCACTAAAACTACAGTAAACAAGGGGGTTCAGCGTCCGTATAACAAGATGTGTTAGGTCAACTGGTGCAGTGGAGTCACAGGAGCGCATTCGGCATTCCAGGTCTATAAGGCCCATAGGGTTGTGCGTCGCACTTGAGTCGTTCCACTCCCCTGTAATAATTGCATTCATTCCAGTGGTAATAATACGCTCCTGTACTGATGAGGAGGGGCTCCGCCCTTTTCCAGCTTTGAGGAAGCTGAAACCCCCTTGTCGGCTTTGCAGCGTATCGTTCATTCCCGAGCGAGTTACATCTCGCGTGTCCGATTCACTGCCTATGTACGTCAGGTACGAACCCACTAGCACCCCAGCGGCCCCCTATCCGTCGCCATATAACAGCATCCGTCCTGAGCAACAATCTTTCAGCGCCTCTTTTGTCCGCTTCTCCCTCCCGATTGCACTCTTTAACCGCCAGTGTCAGCAAACAGCAAGCCTGCACGTTAGCAACAACCCTTCTGACAAATTCCCCTACAACCGGCGCTACCAACAGTTTATTTCAGGAGCCCAATTTCACCGGAAACATCACAAAGCCTGCATCACCACATCCACCATGCGCAAGACTGCGAAACAACCCACCCACCCTGAACCCCTTGCATCGCTTTCATCCCCGGTCAGTAACACCGTCAAAGGCTTCCGCTCCTCTCCCGCCTACATTCGACCTCCTCGCCTTCTCAAGGCGAAAACGGCTTCCCCTTCATGCCCTATGTACCCCTGCCGACGCTGCCTACCAAACACAGGCCGAAAGGCCCAAATGGCGCAGAACAAATGGCGCAGAACCCACTTGCCCTTTTCCCTCTACTTCCGGCGGCTCTTGCGCTGCGGCTTAGCCTCGTTGGGGTTATGCCTCCACGAGGTCTGCAGCACCGGCAAGCCCTGTGCGAAGGAAGGAGCATCGGAGGAAGGAGGGTAAGGAAGCGGAGGGCAGAAGAGGAACGAAAGGGGTGGCGCAGTCCTCATTCGGAGGAAAGTGGGGACATGCGGATATGTACAAGGGCGGTGGGAGGTGAAGCTGAGGACGTGGCGAGGATGACGGGGAGTTGGGGACACGAAAAAGGTCCAGGAATTGCAGCAGCATGACTTGTACAGTCTCCTGGGCTAAACCAGGTCGCTGTGGTGCACCAGGGATGCCCCTACTGCCGCCAGCAACCCACAACTCCCAAAACAGCAGACGCATTCAAGCCTGCCGTTTGAGCTCTCCCTAAACCCGCCAACTGCCCATTACCATACCCAGCCTACGCCCAGCCCAGCCCCTAACCGCTGTCATATCTCGCCCCACCCTGCCCTCCCTCCGCACCCGTCCGCCACCCCTGCCGCCGCCTCCTGCCGCATGCCACGTCTCACTGCCGTACTCGGGCGCAAAGGGGTCCACCTCGCCACTAGCTGCTGCTGCCGATTTCTGCCGCATGCGACCGCCGGTTCGCGCCAGCAGCACATCCTCGCGCAGGATGGGGTTCTTGCGGGCGCCGCGACCGCCCCTGGGCTTGGGCAGCGAGAAGCGTGTGCCCCTCAGGATAAACTTCTTGCGCACGCCAAAGAATTCCGCGCCGTCGGGGCCCACCGTTACCTCCACCTTATCCAGCGTCATGTTGCCACAGCGCGGGCAGAACAGCCGCCCCGCCTCCTTGGTGACGAAGAAGCAGGCGGAGCAGCGAAGAGCCCACCGGCTCACCCTGCGGGGGGGAGGGAGGGAAAGCGGAGGAGGAGGAGGAAGGCACAGAGGGTTGGTGACAATAGTGGCCGCGTGTTGGGGTGGAATGGGGTCGGTTCTGTTGGTTGACTGATTGGTTCCTTGGTTAGGGAAGCGGAGCCATTGGATACCGGCAAAGCGCATTGCTGCATCCGCTCCCCTTCCACCGGCAATACCAGTAAAGCGCCTGCCAAGGAGCGTTTCCGCATGCAAACCGCTGCCCACCCGATAACACATGCACCCCGCACTCGCCAGCCACCCCCCCCCTCACCTGCACTTATTTAGGATTTCCCCCCCCTCACCTGGTGATCTGCTTGCCGTCGCGTGTGACCAGCCGCAGCCCCATCTGCAGCATCACGTTCTGCATCGCAAAGTCCGCAGTCACGCAAAACACGTTGGAGGTGGTGTTGGGCAGTAGCTCGTCCACCAGCTCCGAGGCAGTGCCCGCTGCATCCGTCGCGCCAGCCTCTGTCGCCCCCGCATCCGTCATGGTGGTCGCCACCTCCGCTGCCGTACCCGCCTCACTTTCCTCGCCCTCCTCGTCGTCATCATCACCCTCCTCGGTGATTAGTTCGTAGCCCTCCACCTCCTCCATCTCTCCCGTCTCCTCGTCCTCATCTTCCTCCTCGCCTTCCTCGTCGTCCTGCTCGCTTTGGGACCCGTCCTGCTGCTGCTCCTGCCCCTGCTGCTGCTGCCGACCTGCCGCCGCCGCCTCCTTATCCTGCTTGGCTGCTGCCGCAGGCATCTCAGACGCCTTACCGCAGCAGCCGCTGCCCTCTTCCCCTTTCGGCTGCTGTGCTGGCTGCTGCTGCTGCTGTGCCGGTGCCGGCTGTTGTTGTTGCTGCTGCTCCTGCCACGCCTGGCGGCGCCGGTCTTTCCGCTGCCGCCGCCGAGCCGCATTCCGGCTCTTGCTCACCGTCTCCCAGCCATCTCCATCCTCCTCATCACCCTCCTCATCACCCTCCTCCGTACCCTTGTCTGCAGCAGCAGCAGCAGCAGCGCCCTCGCCAACAGCCTGCTGTTGCACCTGCTCCTGTCCCGCAGCTGCCGCCACTGCAGCCTGAGCCGGCTGCTCCTCTGCTGGCTGCTGCTGCTGCTGCCGAGGCGGCGGCAACGGCAGAGCAGGCAGGCTGCCTCCCCAGCCGGCTGCCTGCTGCTGCTGCTCCTGCTGCACCTGTCCCTCCTGCTGTTGCGGCGGTGCTGTCGCTGCGGGCTCCGATTCCTCCTCCCCGAGTGTCAGGGACTGTACGGCGGCGATGATGCGGCTCTGGCCACCTGCAGGCAGCAGCACATGCAGCGCCAGGGGCGAACGGCAGCAGCGAGATGAGGAAAGTCCTGACATTCTCAGCCTTCAGGACACCCATGGTAAGCCATGCTGAGGCCGTACCACACGGAGTACGGCACCTCAAGAAGCGACTCCCTGTCACCTTCCGTCCAAAACCCCTTCTCTTCACCCCTCGCCCTTCCCCACTTGGTGCCAACCAACACTTGCTTTGTGGCACCCTGCCGCTTCCCGTCCCCATTGTTATGCCCCAACCTGTGGTTTCCTATGGTTTGGACTGGTCTCGGCCCCCACCTGGTGCGTTACTGAGCAGCTCCTGCGGCGCCTCGTCCACCACGCGCCAGTCCTCAGGGTTGGTCACCTGGCCCCAGCCGGGCAGCACGCGCGGGCGCGTCTTGTGACGCTGACGGGTGCGGACCTGGGCGGATGCAAAGGGTTGTTGAGAAAGGCAGTTTAGGAAAGAGAACGGGAAGGAATGGTGTACAGCCAAAGTGGTCCCGTCATAGACTCATTGTGGGGACGCAACCATCGCCACATCGGCGTGCGTATCCGGCCTAATGGCGTAAGGCCCACGGCCCACGGGGCCGCCTCACCTGTACTGGGTGCTCGCGCAGGTTAGCGCTGCCGTGCGCGGCAATTTCCAGGGTGTGAGCCAGCGCTAGAAGCTTTAAGTCCACAGCAGACAGCGAATGGATGTCGCCAGTCTCACGAGCGAAGCGCTGAACTGTTGGGCCGAAAAGATTTGTTCCAGTTGTAATTGTCAATGCAAGACACCTTTTGATTCCTATGAGGTGTTGGGCGGGACCGCCGGCTTGCATGCATGTTTGTAGAACATGGCCATACCTGCTTTAACTGAGTCATCACTAGGCTCACGTACATCCAAGGAGAAAGGTAGTGTTGATAGGAACGTGCGGGCCTGCTTATCGCGGACTTCAGCAAGGACCTCGGGGATGGTGCAGAAGCGGTCTGCGAGCTGCTCAAGACGCAAGCCGCTAATAATTGCGTTTGTATCTACTACAGCCACACGCTCGTCGGCAGTAGGAGCCGGCACCCCTGTCGGGGCAGCCGGCGCCGTCGCCGTCTTAGCGATGGCAGCCCAAGACATTTTCCTTTAGACGCTATCAAGCACGTTCCTCGTAGATTACAGATAATATACTCGAACCAATATTACAGCTAGTCGCAAAACCCTGGTCGTCGTTGTTAGGTGTTGTGCACTGCACAAGTAAGACAAGGCATAAGCAGCTCCTATGAATGCCTCTATTTAGTATCGGGATATTTACCAAGTGTTTCAAGCTGTAGTTGGCATCGTAGTTGTACGCAACATGAAGTACCATTAGGAACGGCAGTTGTTCGCGACATCCCAGATCCCCATTCCTCAACGTCTCCAAACTACACAAAGCCCCGTTTGCAACTGTCTTTATGCACCCATCAATATGCGAGTATTAATGAAGTCAATGTGCCGAGCCCTGCTCAACCACCGAATAGCGTGACCGCCCAATCGTCCTGAGACAGTCCACCGGCACACCATGAAAGCAGAGACAGTAGGCGCCTTAATCTGTGCAACGGTCGCAGCTCTTGTTTACCTCAACACTCTACCCGCCAACTTCGCCTTTGACGATAACTTTGCTGTGGTAAGCGCCTGCGTTCCTCTTACACGCGGCTATCGACATTGACATGACTTTCTGCAAGCGAAGAGCAGCTAGTGTCGTTCATAAGACGGAAGTGAAATCGGCGCGGAGGAGTTCTATTCGTAATGGGCTGCCTCTCTGCCGCTGCGTTCTGGAGGAAAGGCTGCCGTATAGCGCGTTCCGTCGATACTGCCGTCGCGTTCCTTTAAGCACACGTAGCCTTTGGCATTGTCGCTTTCGCTCTGGCCATCCTCTGACGTGCGTCACCTTGCTGGATTCCTCGGTCCACCTAAAACCTCATGATACTTTGATACCACACCTTAGGAGCCATATTCGCATGCAACCATGCCTAAGCCGCACGGCTTTAAGCCAGATGTCGAGCGATGCTTCATGCACGGCTCCTGCCCTGCTAGCGACCTAAAACGCCCCCGCCAAACTCGCCTTAGTTACCTTCCAACACCGTGCTATGGATGCTGCCAGTGCTACTTCCCGAGCAGTGTGACAAGAGCAGTGTGTGCATCCAGTTCCTCCTGACCCATGGGTCATGCCTCCCCTGCCGCACCCAAACCGCCATGCTTTGCAGGTTCGTAATGCCGATGTGGTCCGTGACGACAGCCCGCTGTGGGGCCTGCTGGAGCATGACTTCTGGTAACCCTGAAAATAACAGTCCTCTTCGGTGCCTGGTTGGGGAGGGCAGAGGATTGGGGAGGGAAGGTTCCTGTAAAAGCCTGTAAAAAGGGCATGCATCATCCCCGCTGGCATCCGTGGTCCTGACTCCGTCGTCTGGTTGTGCTTGCGCCCCTTTCCTGCACCGAACGACCCAGGGGTCAGCGTATCTCCTCGGCGCAAAGCCACAAGTCCTTTCGCCCCCTCACGGTGCTGGCCTTCCGCCTCATTCGCCGGTCCTGGGATGCGCTGCCAGGGGGGTGGAGGCAGGCGGCAGCGGGTAGGAGGAACCAAGGAGGAGTGGAAGCGGGGTGAAGGACTTGCAAAGGAACTAAGGGTTAGGTTCATTTTCTTGAGTCGAGATTAATATCCACCATAAATAACAGTCAAGTGACGGGGCCACTCCCCGGCATAGTCCTCTGTAAAGCTCCCTTGTGTCATGCGCCGGCTGCATTCTGACCGCACGGCAACACGCCTCTCTCCAACTGCCCTCCTTTACCTTCGTAATGCGCTCTTCTCCCTCCCACTCCTCCTTCCCCCTCTCAGACTTCCGCCGTCGCATGCTGTCGGCCTACCCGGGTGCTGGTTCCGAGGGAGGCGAGGGGGCAGCAGCAGCGGGCGGTGCGGTGGACCCGCTGCCCTTCCACGCGGCCAACCTGATCGCACATGCGGTCGTGAGCGCTGCTGTGTGCAGGTGGGGTGTTAGTAAGTCATGTACGGCACATTATTGCTACCCGTGTACATGTATATGTCACCAAGTACGGCGGCCTAGGCACGATGTCGTATACGGTAATCATGTTCCGATGTACCGGCACTCGTAGGCTGTCGTACTTTTTCCTGCGGCGGCGCTGGAGGCCTTGCAGCCTGGTGCTGTGGGCGCCGGCGCAGCAGCTGCAGCGGCGAAGATGTAGGCAAAGAACGCTCCCTCAGCAGCAGCAGCAGCACGAGAAGCAGCACGAGAAGCAGCGGCAGCGGCAGGGGCGCAAAGGAAGTTACACGCCAATGGCGCCAGCAGCATGCGACCAGGCGGGAGCAGCCCAGTTGACGGAGAGGTTGCTTCCGGGCGAGGAACGGCAACGCGAGGCGCGTGAGGAAGGTCCTGCTACTGCAGTGGCTGCCCCTGCTGCTGCTGCTGCCGCTGATTCCTGTGGCGCTGATGCTGTCGTGGGCGCAAGCGGCGGCAGCGGCAGCGGCAGCGGCCTCCGGAAACGTCCAGTCTGGCGCCCTGGGGAAGGCAGAAGCCCTTCTACGACTCTTCTTCCTCCTTCCCAGAAACCGCCTTCGCTGCCGTCCCCGCCTTCGCCGCGGCTGCCGGTACATTCCTCAGACCCACAGCGTCTGTCCCAGTCGTCACCACCATCACCAATACCACCACCAGCGCCGCAACAGCCGCCGCTGCAGCCCATCAAGCACCCCCAACCACCACTCCGCACTCCGCCACTGCTGCTGCCGTACCGCCACCAATTACTACCGCACCCGCCGCCGTACGACACTTCGCCGCCGTACCCGCTGCATCAGCTGCACCTGCCCGCATGGTTCAGCGGCCTGGCCTTTGCTCTGCACCCAGTCCACACCGAGGCGGTGGCGGGGGTGGTAGGGCTAGCGGAACTGCTGTCGGCGGCGCTGGCGTTACCCGCTGTCGTACTGTACCTGACGGCAGCGGAACGCGCAGCGGCGTTGCGCTGGCGGGGTGTCAGCGGCGGCGGCGGCGACGGCGGTTGGAGCGCTTGGGAGGTGGTACGGCACTGGTTGACGGTGGCGGCGGCGGCGGTGTTGGCGCTGGCGGCGGCGCTGGCGAAGGAAATTGGCATCACGGTGCTGGGGTGCATGCTGGTGGCGGATTTACTGCTCGTACCCGTTGTCGTACGAGGGCTGCCGTACGACAACGGCGGCGGCGGTGGTTGCGGTTATAGGCCTAGGACGGCCATGAAGGCAGAGACCGTTCATAACAAGCACGTAGAAGGCAAAAGTAAGGCATCAGATTACAGTGGAAGGAACGGCGGTGGCGGCGGAGGGGGTGCCGTACCGGCGGTGTGGCGGTTTGTACGGCATGCGTTACGGTTAGCGCAGGCCGTTACAGCCGACCCCAAGCTGCCCCGTCTGGTGTTTCTGGCGGTGGTGGGGTGGGGCTACGTGGGGCTGCGGAGGCGGGTGGCGGTGGAGCAGCTGGTGCGGATATACCGCAAGGTGAGTGGGGTAGAGAGGAAGAAGTTGGGGTAGAGGAGCTGTTCCAAGGTGGGGTTGGAAGGAGGACAAGAAGCTGGGGTTAGTGGAAGGAAGACATGCGATTCAGAATAGAATCGCAAGCGTGAGGCCAGGCCAGGGGCAGCACGGGACTTGCAAGGACAGCAAGGGGCCTGAGCCTAGGATTCTTGTCGGCTTGGAAAGACTTCCTTCCCTGCTTCCATGATCGCCTTTTTGCGCTCTTCCTCCTCAGTTTCTTTCCCTCCCTCCACCCGCCTCACTTCGGATTCGCAGGTCGAGAACCCCATTCCCTTCTCACCCTCCCGTCTGGAACGAGCCCTCTCCACCGCCCACCTACACGCCCGCTACGCGCGCCTGCTGCTGCTGCCGTACCCGCTCTCCGCCGACTGGTCCTTCAACTGCCTGCCGTTGGTTCGGAAGCTAACTGACAACCGAAACCTGTTGTCTGTCGTACTGTACGGTTACTTGCTGTGGGTGGTGCTGGAGGCGCGGCCCTGGGGGTTGCTGTCGGAGTGGTGGCGGGCGGTGAGGGGGGTGATGGCGGCCGCGACTGATGGGGATGGCACGCTCCATGCGGCAGGGGGTGCGGAGGATGGTGGCGAGGAGGAGGAGGGGGCAGAGGTGGGGGGCATTGAGGATGAGGGAGACGAGGCCGAAGATGAAGAGGAAGAAGAAGAGGTGGAACTCCGTGGTTGCTCGGTCCAGCGGGAGCGAGGTGATCAGGAGCGGCGGTGTCGTCAGCGGCAGCAGGGGCAAGTTCAGCAGCGGCGGCAGGGCAAAATGCAACAGCTAGAGCAGGCGCCGTTGCTTTCCGTCCCCTTCTCGTCCCCCTCATGCTGCTCCTGCTGCTCCTGCTGCCCGTTGTGGGGTGCCCGGTGGCGGCTGGCGGTGCTGTGCGGGCTGACAGTGGGGCCCTTCCTGCCCGCCGCCAACCTGTTCTTCTACGTGGGAACATTCATAGGTGGGTGGGGAAGGATGTAGGGGGGGGAGGGGTAAGGAGGAAACACCACTGTTCCCCCATGTGACCATTTTGCAACTTTACCCCACCCCACCGCCATTGTCAATCAACACAATGGGTATCCTTCTTCCCCCCTTGTGTCCCCCGTGATCCCCCAGGTGAGCGGCTGTTGTACCTACCCTCGGTTGGCTTCTGCCTGCTGCTGGGAGAGCGGCTGGGCTGGGTGCTGGGTGGGAGGAGAGTGGAGGAGGAGGAGGAGGAGGGACAGCGGTATGCGGGGTCAGGGAGTCAGCGGGAGGACAAGGAGGAGGAGGAGGAGGTGGGGCGGCAAGGGGAGTGTCAGAATGGGTGTCAGGATCAGGCAAGGGAGGGGAGGCCTGAAGGGGTGCTGCGGCGAGAGGGCCTGCACTGCGAAATTCCGGAAGCAGGAGCAGGAGCAAGGCAGAGCAGCAGCTGCAAGACCACGGCAGGCCGCCTGAAGAAGCCGCCAGGGAGGCAGGAGTCACGGAACGCGGTGTTGCGGTACGACAGCAGGCGGCTTGTACGGGTGCTGCTGTACGGCATGATGGTTGTCGTACTGGTGCTGTATGCCGTACACACCTGGCGCCGTAACTACGACTGGTGGAGCGAGGAGACGCTGTTCGAGTCGGCGGGCAAGGTGGGGTGAGAGGGTGGGGGTCGGGTAATGGGGGGCTCTGGCAAAAAAATGGTGTCGGGTGGGCAGTTGTTGTGATGCCGCGTTAGGTCAGGGCGTGTGCTTCCGGACAAGTAGCAGGCTACAGTCCAGGGTGGCGCCCTGTCACATGGCTGAGTACGGTAGTTTCTCCCCTTTACCCATCCCCCTTCCTGTACTCCAGCCTATTGCGGAATATGTATCCCTGTTAATCCCCCTTCCTGCCCCCGCCCGCCCCCGTCCCCGCCCCCCCAGGTCTGCCCCGACAGTGCCAAGGTGCAGCTCAACCTGGGTATCCTGCAGCGCCGGCGCGGGCAGCAGCGGGCAGCCCTGGGCCACTTCCGGCGGGCGAGGGAGATAGAGGCGGGCTACTGCGAGCCGGGGTACTGGATCGGGGTGTCACTGGTGAATGCGGGTGCGTGGGTGGCGGGAGGTGGGGGGGGCGGGTAAAGAGGAAACGACTAACAAACCGTGCGGGTGACGGGGTTGGGGTGGCGGGTTGGGGTTGGGTTGGGGTACTGGATTGGGGCGTGGCATGGAAGACGGGATGGGATAGCGAGGAGGAGGAGGGAGGACAGTCTGACAGTTAAGGCGGCGTCACAACAGAGCTGGCAAGGAACACCACAACCTGTGTTGCGGGACCTGTGTTGAGGTGAGTGTGTGGCTTGCAGCGGCGGTACGGCGGCGCCATGTCGACCTACTCCACATACCCCTGCAGTCCCCGCCATCAGTCCCCACCCACCTGCCATCGCCCCTCACTTTCCCCTCCCCTCCCATTGACTACACGCAATCCGAAAATCCAGCCTAATGCGGAATATGTATCCCTGTGCATCTCCTCCCAACCCTCATCACCCATCTGCCAGGTGAGCCCCAAGCGGGTCTGCGGGAGCTGGAGGCCGCCCTGAGCTGCAAGTACGTGGCGGCGGAGGCGCTGCGGGCGCTGCATGCCGTCTACCGCACCCTGCATGCGGCCGACCCACGGGACGGCACACCGCTGCTGGTGCGTGGGTGCGTGCGTGCGGGTGCATGGCGTGGTTGTGGGGCTAGGCTGGTGTGGTTGTGGGCTGGAGGAGGAAGCTGGGCTTTGAATGCTTCAGGGCTTGACGGCGGTGGGAGCGAGTAAATCATGCGTTTTTTCCCGATGAACCCGTCTCACCCTTGCTCTCCTCCATTTCACCGCATCCATCGGCGTCTTACCCTGCCGCTCTTGCCCTCCCCCTCCGCCTCCTCCCCTCTTCGCCCCCCTCCCATGCACCCAGCGCTGGGGCTCGGTGCTGCTGCGTCCCGAGCTGGGCCAGCTGGCGGAGGGGTGTGACGCGCTGGAGAAGGCTGCCCTGTTGTTCGCAGGGGCGGGGGCGGTGCAGGTGTGTCGGGGGGGGGGGGGCTAGGGGCGAGGGGAGGGGGCTACAAGTGAGGGAGGCGGAGTGCGGGTTGGCGATGAGTTGCTGATAGTGCCCTTGCTGAAACGGCTGACGCTGTCGATGACGACCGGCAACCATCAGGACATGGAGGCAGCGCTGGAATCGTGCGTGGAAGCGGCGAGGAGGGCGGCGGCGGCGGTGGGGGAGCTGTCGTACGGGGGCGATGCGAGGAACGCAACTACAATGCCCGCAGGCAGCTTTGCGGCTTCACCCCCCTCTGACTCCCACACCGCCGCCGCAGCAGCGGCAGCGGAGGTTGCGGCGGAGGTCTTTGGCGTAATGGCGGGGAAAGCTGGCAAGACGGGTGAGATGACTGGGGCCATGACAATGCCCAAGGACGCCAAGGTACCGTCAAACAGCCGAATCACGCCGGCTCCAGGAAAGCTACCCGCTTATATCCCCCATGTCCCATTCCGCACACTCACATTTCCCCACCAGGTCCCCAACCCCAGCAGCTGCTACGCTGCTTGGAGGCTCGTACCCCCGTCTACCGGGCCCTGGCCGCAGCAGGACCAGCAGCTCTGAATCCGCGCCTTATCTCACCGTCCTCACGCCGCCGGCGGCTCTTGGCGGCGGTTTACCGTTACATAGGGCAGTTGGAGGGGATGCCGTACTGTCGCCTCGCCTTTGCGGACAGTGCCGTGATGGCAGCGCAGGAGGGAGGAGGGGAAAGAGGAAGTGCGGGGGCTGGGGCAGCGGCGGTGATGGGAATGCAGGTTGCTGGTGGCGGAAGCTCTCCACACACGGAGCTGATTCATGTGTGAGTGGGGCTCACCTCCCTCACCATTCCACAGTTTCCTGCCGCTTTGCGCGTCGACCTTTGTCGCATTGTCGTGTTGCCCTGCTGCGTGCCTGAGTGACTGTTGTTGTTGCTGCACCCACTTTTTGCCTAGTTGCCTTGCACCTATACATGCGGTTTCTTTCGGAACGTTTTGGGCCTCTCCTCTCTGACACGTGACACCCCACCACACGCCACCCACCTTCCTGCATGTCTGGCAGCATCCAAGCCTCCGACGCGGAGGACCCCTGGCTGCAAGCCGAGTGGGGCCGCACGCTGCGACCCACGGGTCGTTCCCGGGAGGCCGCCCTGCACCTCAGTGTGGCGGCGGCGCTGCTGCAGCGGCACCTGCAGGCAATGCAGGTACATGCACACATGCAGCAGACAGGTGGAGAGAAACACATGCAGCAGGCAGATACGCAGCAGGTTCACATGCAGGTATCTTCTTCCGCTTCGGCTCCGTCTCCGTCACCCCGGGTATACAGCCTAGCGGCGGCTGCCGCGGTGGCGGCACCGGGTGAAACCGGGGCGGCGAATGGGGTTGGAAAGAGGGCGGCGGCGGCGGCGGGTGCCTCCACATTGCGGTCGCTAGGCCTGCGTGAGGCGCTGGAGGGGTTTGCACGCGCGGTGGAGGAGGCGGCGGCACTGCGGCCGGGGGGTGAGTGCGAGCTGTGGGGCCAGGCGGTGCAGGCTCGGAGGTTGCTGGCGGCGGGGGTGGGCTGGGAGGAGGGCGGAGAGGGGGGAGCACGTGCGGTTGGAGTGGAGGAGGAAGGAGGAGGAGGGTGGGAGAGGGAGAGGGCGCGGCAGGGGGCGGCATTAGAGGTGGCGGAGAGGGCGTTGCGGGGGTTGCAGCCGCAGTGCGGTGAGGCAGCGCTGCGGGCGGTGCTTGGGGGACGGAGGTAAGGAAGAAGAAATTGAAGTGTGCAAGGAGGGGGAGGAGACGGTTAGGGTGGAAGGCCTGGCTGGGTTGTAAGGGTAGCGTGGTGGCGGAGAGGGAGCCAACTGGTAAGGGAACGGTACGCATGCAAGGAGGTACTTGGTGAATAGGCTTACAGTGCTGCTCTAGTCCTGGCAAAGGGCATGGCAAAACTGGCCTCGCGGCATGATTCAGGTGCCATCCTGGTGCTTCACGCTTTATGTTACACCTTCAGCTTTTTAAACTGGTGTGGCAGGGAACAGCTAGAACGCGTCCGGAAAGCGCTGAGCCAGGCCGTGCAGACCCAACACACCGCCGCCGTGAAGCATCACGACTCGCGGAGTGGCGGTTAAATTTGCAGGGGATACTTTCGTGACCCGTGGGTCAGTCCCACCAGCTGTTGACATGGCAACATGCCCACTCGAGCAGCGAACTTCACATCCTTCACTGTCGGCGGTGGAGGGAGGCAGGTTAGAATAGGATGAAGACGAGGCCGAGAAGGACGAAGTACAAGAAGAACCGGACGAGGAGAAAGAGGAGGAGGATGCGTCTACTGTCGCCTGCCTGCACGCCATTTCCCATGCTGCCAGGCTGTAGATCGGATCCAGACCGATGCCGTACGACTGGGCAATCTGAATGACGAAACAAGGGGTGTACGGTGTTAGAAGCAACAATCTCGTCGCGGGGGACCCATTACGGCAACATGTACGGCAACAGTAAACAGGCAGTACGGCAATACGATTTCATTCGTGAGGCCAGCCCCGGCCCGTACAACCGCGCACCTGCTTGCATGCCGCTATGTCTCCCTCGAGCACCCGCCCGAACTTGCGCGGCACACACCGGGGAACCCACGTCAGAGGCAGCCTGGCTGCCACTGCCTCCGCTTGCGCTGCCACGGTTGCTGCCTCTGTCTCGGCCATCTCTGCTGCTGCTGCTGCCGCTGTCTCCCCCATCTCTGCTGCTGCTGCCGGTGTTGCCTTCATGCTCCCTTTACCATCTTGTATTGTTGTCAGGGTGTCGCTATCAAGCCGTGTGGGCCCCGACTGGCATGCTTGACAGGTATCTTCTCCCGCCACCGGCACTGCGTCGGGTGCTGGGGGCGTAGCGTGTTGGTTGAAGCTGCTCCTTCTTACTATACCGGCTCGAGAAGTACAGCTGCTCTTGCTCCTCTCGCCGCTGCTACTGAAGGTGCTGTACAGCTCATCTCCGTACACTTCTAAGAAACTGCGTACGAGCTGTTCTTGTTGGGATTGGTAGTACGGCAGATCGCCTGCGAGCGTTACAGCCAGGACGCTCCAGGGCAGGCCAAGCAATGCAATTCCCAGAGCCAGACCTGCAGGTTGCAAGATGGGGCGTTATGAGAGCAAAGCCGAAGACGCAAATCTCTCCATGCTCTTAATCAGCCGTTGTGAGTCTGGCTTATGGCGGCATGCCTTGCGCGAGCTCCCGCATCACAACCACCACAACCACCCACCTATCGCAGTGGTTCCAGTTCCAGAATCCACCACGAGGGTGTACGGCGTCGTTAGTGCGTCCGGCAGCCCTGGCTGCCGTACAACAGGAGTCATCACCGGATCCCTCGACGACGATGATACTGACACTGTCGTACCACAACCACCGTTATCGGGAAGAGGAGGAGGCGCCGTAGGGGATAGGGAGGAGGAGGGGGCAGCGGTGGCGGTGGCGCCACTGCCGTACGCCAGCCAGTGCACCAGCCGCATGAGGCCCAATAGTGCTGCCGGCTCACCACCTCCCTCCGCCACCACAGATACCTGCAAGTGTACGACAGCGGGTACACTGGACCGGACGAGTAGTGGACAGAGGACCTTTGAAATGCAGCTCTTTCCCCGTGGTGGTATCAGCACCAGCACCAGCACCATGAATGCAGCACGCCAGCCGTGATACGGATAACACCGTGTAGCTAAGCAGGTAAGGAAATCTCTCGAGTATCTACCCACTCTGCTGCTGTGTGTAACTACGATCGAGACAGGCCCTTGCTCCCTATGTACCGTAAACGAATGACATCGGCAGCAGCCGGCTCCTCCTCCTCCTTCCTCTCACACTGCCCTACCCGCACTGACGGATCCTGCTGCCGAAGCTCCTCCGCCCGCCTGCTCAACATTGCCGTACGGTCCGCGTACTCGGATCTTGATATGTACGACACATTGCTGCCGTACAGCCGGGTGAGCAGGTGGTAGCCGGTGGGGATCTGCATGGGGGGTCCGGGGCGGGGGGGGGGAAGTCCCGGGGCGGGGCGGGGGAGCGGGAGCGGGTACGGGAGGATGACCCCTGAGTGGGCAACGCAGGCAGCAGCGGTATGCTCATGCTGTCAGCTGCTGCAGCTGCCTTGCGCAGCATCCCTCACCATAGATAGGACCATGTCGTACATACCACGGCCCCCCCACCCCGCCCTACCTTGGGCCGCTCCCCCCGCACCAGCAGGTGGCTCCGCAGCCCCCCTAGCTCCGCGCAGCCCACCGCCACCGCCGCCGTGTGGGCGCTCTGGACACCCCCGCACGTCACCTGGACGGAGGCAGGTAGGGAAGGCAGAGAAAGAGGGAGAAGTGTAGGAGACCGAGTGGCTAGCAACAGTGGAAAGGGCCCTATCCTCCACCCTGAACCCCCAGCGGCCCGGAGTGCGGCTCACCACGTCGGTTACTCCGCTGGCCCGCAGCTCCGGCAGCAGCGCGTCTAGCTTGCGAATCTGCGGGGGTTGGGTGTGTTATGCTTGGGTTAGGTTGAGTATGTGATTGCTGTGTGCCTTGACGTACTACTAGTACCATATCAAAGGACATCTGCAGCTTGGCGGGTCAGGCATATTTAGCGTAGTGGACGGAAAGGGATTGGTTGCAAAGACACGTGCAGCCCTTGTCCACACGCACACGCACACACACACACACACCTTGTTTCCGCCCAGGACAGGATGAAGTAGGTCATCACGCAACACGTAGAAGCAGCAGGAGCCAGCAGTGCTTCCAGGGTTGCCACTGCCACCGTCTGAGTCAGGAAGGCTGACGACAGGTTGGGGCTGTGTCGGTTGGGTCGGTGGGGCTAGCGGCACATGGACTAGCTGTATTGGCGTGTCGGGGTTGGGTCTTAGCCAGGGTCTTCGAGCAAGGAAAGCGCCAAGCTTGCTTGCAGCTTCAGCCTGCGGGGATTCGGTGAGTCGGCCTGCGGTCATGGCTCTAAAATTGCGGCTGCTGCTACTGCGGGGGCTCCTTATAGCTGTTGCGCTTTTTAAGTGTCTACAGCTTGATGACGTGTGAATATATGAGTGCGGTTTGGAGCCCAGCCCGGCCATTTGGTCCACCAATCAATGGAAATCGATGAGAATGAGACTACACCTAACAACGTTGACTTGACGACATGGCAATTCTGACTTTAAATAAGCCAAAGATAATGCCAATTCAGCAGAAAAAATGTGTGACACTGATACGCGGTGTCGCGGTTGATTGGTTATTGGCCCCGAAGGTGGTCTCGGAGCGCAGCATCACCGCGAGATCACCGCGGCTCCGCGAGTCCGCGAGTCCGGACTCTGGTACCAGGACTTCGCACTGCAAGCCAAACTAGGCTCTGCTGTTATCTGCACATGTGTGAGCGGTAGATACATGCTATTGCAATGCGCATGGACATGTAAGTGGCTAACCAAGACATTGTATAACAATGTTCACCTCTGGACACCACCACACGTACCGGTACCGTGCCATACGCGTTCATTTGACTCGCACGGTAGAGTAGAGTATAGACTAATCGGTTGAAGGGACGGTGGGATGACATGCACGCCGTACCCTGCATCCTAACCCTGTACTGGGACTGCCTGCATGCGGAAGATGCGGACGTCTTGTCCGCATGTGCACACTCCAGCACCCAAGTAGGAAACACCTGCCTCTAATCTTGCGCAGTAACAAGAGTATTTTCATTCGTTAAATGGTTTGGCATGCGTCCCCGAACCCTCCCACTGGGGTTGAACCCTTAATTGCAAACAGCTCAATGGTCAGGGCGCTCCCAGTGTCATACCATCGACCCAGGCGTTGAAAAGAAGTCATAAGGGCGCACAAGACCCTAAAGGGAGCAAAACATGCCGCAGCCCGGGTTCGAACCAGGGACCTTTTGTTAATCTTGTGTGGTACAAGACAAACGCTCTACCACTGAGCTACAACGGCATGCCGGCTGGGGCCCAAAGACCTATGTAGCCCATGCCGATCATGAATGCGTCGCATACGGGAGGGCCCGCTGTCTCGAGCAGCTGCGCCAAATGCGGTTTACAGCACAGCACTGGGAATGCTGTGTTTGCATTGCAAAGTATGCATGCATGGACAGAGCTTGCAGTTGGCATTGCGGAGATAGGTACCGGTAATCAGGACGCCACACTGATCTGATCACCCCTGGCAGCTCAGCAATGTTGTCACCCGTGGGCAAACAATAACATTGTTTGTCGTACCGAGTTGGGTACGGCCCCAAAGGCCCAGCTACCGATGTTAATGCTTGGGCATGTCCTGCGTTTTGGCCTCCCTACCCCCAACCCTCTTCCTGTAGCTCACTTCCACTTGTTGATGAACACTCCCTCCGCGCCCACCATGCAAGCTGTAACCATGGGGCATCTGTTGCGAATTGAGCCTCTGAGCAAAAGGTGAGCGACCCAGACGTAAGGGGCAAAAGGCTGCCGCAGCCCGGGTTCGAACCAGGGACCTTTTGTTGACCTTGTGAGTACAAGACAAACGCTCTACCACTGAGCTACAACGGCATGCCCATGCATGGGGTCCAATTTCTATATATTGGGATGCCCGTACAAAAAAGCATCGGACGCACAGTAGGACCCCGCCTCACGCAGCTGCGCCCAATGCGGCTACAGCTCAAGTATTTTGCAGTGCAATTGCACGCTGCTCACACACGACCCTGAGGGGAAAGTACCGTATGCATGTACTCAGCTTGCAGATGGTGTTGCGGGGATAGGTGATCAGGACACCCCTGATCTGATCACCCCTGATGGCGCATCACCGGTATTCCCTGTGGGCGAACAACGTTTGCCTGTACCGAGGTGGATACAGCCCCGATGGCCGAGCTACCGATGTTCTTAATGCTTGGCATGTCCTGCGCTTTGGTTTCCTCCTTTCCCCACCTCCCAGTAGTTCCTCACACTCTCCGTGACCACCATGCCAGCTTCGCATCTGCCGGAAAATTGAGCCTCCCAACGGGCACGGGCAAAAGTGTGAGGCCACGGGTGAGGCCAATGAGGCGCAAAAGAGTTGCCGCAGCCCGGGTTCGAACCAGGGACCTTTTGTTGTCCTTGAATGTACAAGACAAACGCTCTACCACTGAGCTACAACGGCAGATGCTCAGCACATGCGCCAATCTTTACAAGTGGCTTTGACGCGGGGCGCGCAGGGCTCGGGATGTGCTGGCAATGCGCGGGGTTCAGGGCTCATGGGCGCTAGGAGCGCGTGTTGCGAGGTGATCGGGCTCAAGGGTTGGGGGTGTGAGGGGTGCAGGCGTGAAAGGTGCTGTGCGTCAGAGCAGCGGAGCGCTCGGGGTTAGGGGCGGCGGGCTAGGGGTGCAGACTGCAGAGGTTGGGGCTAGGGCCTAGGGGCTGGGGCCTAGGGGCTAGGGCCTAGGGGCTAGGGCCTAGGGGCTGGGGCCTAGGGGCTGGGGCCTAGGGGCTGGGGCCTAGGGGCTGGGGCCTAGGGGCTGGGGCCTAGGGGCTGGGGCCTAGGGGCTGGGGCCTAGGGGTGTCACGCCCGTGGCTGTAGCAACGGACGTAACACGTGCGCATGGCACAATGCCACACAGCTGTCATTTTGCGATTGCGGCTGATTGCTTCGAGAGCCAAACGACAACTCTAGCGTGCCGTCTTGGCTCCTTATATGCAAAGCAATCAGCCGCAATCGTACATTGGGCCCACTCTCCAGAAGCCCCGATGTCCTGCGGTACCATGGCGCCAACCGCCAGGCCGCGCGCCAGGCCTGGACGAGCGCCCGCGCATGGAAGCGCGGCTGAAGCTCCATTGTCCTAACTGCTACCCAGATGTCCCTCTCGATCAGCCACTCGTCACCACAATAACGGTTAATGCTAGGCAAAACAGCCATGCCGCGAACGAGCGAGCGATCTAACTGCTTTGCGGCTAACACCGTTAAAATCATAACAGCACCGAACTGCTCTTCCAAACGGACCCATAATCATCATACAACCACATTTAAACCGTTTTCAACCGTTCTGCACATTTTATGTCCGTGCCACATGCTAGGGCGTGACAGGGGCTGGGGCCTAGGGGCTGGGGCCTAGGGGCTATAGGGCCTAGGGGCTAGGGCCTAGGGGCTAGGGGCGTGTGGGGCTGGGACCCCTAGGAGCTGTAGGGGCTACCTTCCAATCCATAACCCCATGGTACCGGCTTTCCTCCGACCGCAAATAGCGGTTGCTAGCTGCTGTCATTGATACCGGTACGCTGTCTCAAGTTGCTTGCCGTGTAAGTTTGGTTGACAGCTGCGCAAATGCCATACGGTGTGTCCTTGCAAAGTCGCATGTTCTGTCGCAACGCGACATGAGGATGGGAGATCGGCCAGGGGGCTCCGCTCATTGGCACAAGTTTGAGGCCTTGGAGACCGTTGGTCAACGGTAACCACCGAAGGCAAACCAACCGGTCACATGTGCGCCCTCCCAGTGTAGCGTTGTTGCGCTGTTAAGCATAACTCCTAAAAACATAAAATCGTATTGAAGATCGGAGTCCAAAGAAAGGCCTGATACCCGAAACCAGGAAAGCAGGACTGGGAAGGCAGCGCAAAGACAGTGTACGCAACAGTTACCATATCTATATATTGAGGCAATAAGAATCAAACAGTGTTAACAATGGCGCCCAAGGCCAAGGCTGCAGCTGGGCCTGCCTTGGCAGGAAGCATCCCCGAAGGCGCTGGCCGCACGCTGGCAACAATTGTCACCTTTTCTTTGCTCATGGTATGTTATCCTTGTATGGAAGAAGCATATGTTGTATCCCAACTTACTCTGAAAGCGTCGACTTGCAGGTTACGTGTCCTCTGGCCCTTTACTTCAGCTCTTTCTATGGCTATTTTGACGGTAAGAGCGTTTCATTGCTTCTGCTCCACTTAATCTACCGCCGGTGTCAATCTCCACGGCTCACATGTGCTTCAACGCACAGGACTCTACTCCCTGACGATTGGCATTCCGCCCCCCGAGCAGCGCACGGTAGCAAGCGCTATCCTAGCAGTTGTGGGAGTGAACCTGGTGGGTGGTGGCAGCAGCCATTCCCCCGCTGTTTCTGCTGACCGTGTCTCTCCTTAGCCAGCTCCGCCTAGCACCTTGGTTTCTCGCTAGCTGGTTGCGCGGCGCGGGTCCCCGCACCTGCATTTTCAACCCTGCCTGCCCTCCGACGTATGCGCTGGCAGGTTGTGGGCGGCTTCATCTTCGTGGCATTCCGGGAGGTCAACGACGACGGCGCAAAGGTCAAAGCAAGCGCCAAGAAGAACGATTAAAGGTACCAGAGCATGTGCATGGAGAGAGCGAGAGAGAGAGAGAGGGCTTCCAGCCCCGCCCCTCTAGGCTGCCGTACACTCCTCATTGCCTGTGTGCTCATGCCCTGACGCTGTGGCTCTCTCCCCGGCCGATCCCCGATCCGCAATCCCAGGGCGCAACGCAAGCGACGTACGGAACCGCCGCAATGCATCAACGGCTTCATAGGCATTTGCCGTGCAGGAAGCAGCAGCCTTAATCCACTCGACGCTTCCGCAGCCACACACCCACCCCATGGGAATTGTTTGATTGCATGCGATGGTTCCGGCGGACGGGGTTCAAAGGGGCTTGCATACAGGGCAGCTAGGGGCCACAGCAGCCGCTGTTTGGAAACCGCGTTAACACTTCTTATCGACGACAGGTGCTGCGATTGTTGGGGCTCGGTACATGAGGGTGGTGGACGGTATGACTGACTGGCTGGTCATCAGTTGCTGAGGGAAGGGTGTCTCAGGCGTCCGTGTAGGACATTGTTTCAAGGGTAGGCATTGCACAAGGCAGTACATGCATGTGAAGAATGGAATGGGGGGTGGGAGTTGAAAAAGTTGGAAGAAAGGAAGAGTTGCAGGAAGAATGCTTAGAGGACAGGTTTCTAGATCCTCGTAGGTATGAACTTGGGAGGAGCTTTAAACTGAAGGATACACTGGTGCGGTTTCATGGCGAGGCGGTTTTTGGAGTTCTTCCAGGAAGTTGGGTGCCGTTTCCTGAGCAGGCAATGACCCTTGGGTCGTGAAAAAGAATATGGCTTAGCGCTAGCCTAGGAGTCCTGACTAGGAGTTGCACATCGAGTGCATTGCCTCTTGCGCATTGTGTCCTTATATATGCGGTTGAGGACGTGGCGTGGCGTCTCCACAGCATTCACATCGGCCCTCATTGCCACGGCATGCACCTCAGATAAGGGGGGGCACGCAGCGGCTGCATGGATTGTAGCTCTGCCTGCAAGCAACACGCACTTGTATCGTGTTTGGGGTATACATCGATTGAATGGCAGGTATGGTGTTGCCTCATTTGTGGCCGGGCGGCTGCGGCACTCGCATGAAGGTAGCAACACCCCCTTTTTGTAAGCCAGCCGGACGATGTAAGCCAGCCGCCAAGGCTGTGGAAGACTGGCATGCGACGTTCAAAGCAAGAAGCTACCCTTACAACAACTCAACTCTTAGGGCTGAGGCGGGTATCCTGTTCCTGCAAATCCTCTTCTTAGGTTACCGCCGCTTTCGGCGGCCGGCCGGGACATATGCCATGCTGTCCGCAGATCGCCACTCTCCTTGAACCGCTCCCGCGCGCGAAACGCATCCCAGCAGCATGTGAACGCAACCGCACACAAACCTAAACACACACGCACGCGCGCGCTTGGCTCGAACTTCCTTTCCCCACAAACAAACCCATGGCGCGAAAGTGCCCGCAGTAGGAAGAAACAGCACTGCCGGAATCGATTTTTAACTGAAGGCGCCTCATACCTCCCTCCCGTGGTCTGCCGTTCCAAAATCAGGCATGGAAGCAAGAGGAACAAGTCCTGCCGTTCCTAACAATCGCTTTCGCACACGGCCTACATGGCCCAACAGGCCGTAACCTAACAAGCTGAAAGCAATGCTGGCGCGGCTGCAAAATTTCCGACATCCAAACCATTCAATGTACTCCCAGCGCGAGCCTAGCTCGGATTCAACTACCGGTACCTAACAATCTCAACAGGGAAACCCTCCCAAACAGTTTGCTAAGTGCCATCCTGCCGCGGTGTACCCCCCTGCGTTAATCGCCCCTTTGGGCTTCTGCCCTTACCCCTACCCACTAAACTCCACAGGCGCCGCGTTTTCCAGCGTTCACCCCCTTCCTTGCCCTCTCCTTGTTCCCCACACGACCTTAATGGGTATTACGTTTTACCCCAATGAGCCCAACCCCCAGGCAACGATGCTGCGATGCGCGATCCCTGAATACCGCTTGCCTCGTTGCCATCCGCTGCCCTCCCACCTCCTTGCTCCTCCCTATCCAATCAAGCATGGCTCTCCCGCTTCCCCTCACTCTTTGGCACAAACTTCCACCCCTTCCCCACGAAGCTACGTGATCTTATTTCTTTTAACCCTGCGCGAATCTATCCATCCCACATATCCAACCCCCATCACAACCTCTTCTTCTTTCTCCTCCCCCATCCATACTACAATACCCTATCGTTTCAATCCACAGTCCTGTCAACATCTCCAGCAGCTCCCCTTCACCCTTCTTCAACCCCCACCCTCCTCATTGCTCATTCCCTTCACGCTTCACGCCAGCGCAAAGTGGTTGCCCTCCTCCTGCATCACCCGGTCAACCAGCTGCGCGATGCGGTGCGACCAGGGCACGTTCTCCGGCTCAAACATGGCTTGAACCTGGGGGGGGGGGGTGAAATTAAGTAGACCAAACAGACCAAACAGACTTCAGACCAGACCAGATTAGACCAAACCAGGAAACCACGAAACAGAGGAAGAGTAATGGGGAAATGACAAATGAGGCGGCAGGGTAATTCAAGGCAAAGGGGGGGTTGAGCGGTCCTGGGGGCGGTTGACATGTGCAGTGCGGCAGCAACACAAGAAGGAAGACTTCGGAGGAAGACCCCAAGACTCCGGACGCAAGAGGTTAGGAGGAGGAAGACAGGATTCGCAACGGCCGACCCGGTTGCCGGTGCATGCTAGCACACACACACCAGCTATTTTAACACACCCGCGGCCAGTTCCTACTCGCGGCCAGTTTTCTGAACACACTCGCGGCCAGTTTTCTTAACACACCCGCGGCCAGTTTTCTTAACACACAGGGTTCCCTGCATGCCCGCCTACTAGCCCACTCTTCGACCCAGCCTTCTCCACATACATTCATCCTCTTCCCTTGCCGCCTTCTCCACCTCCCACCCCCTACCCCACCCTTGTAACCTCGCACCCCCCCCCGCACCCCACCTGTGTCAGCACAGAGTGGTCGGGGTCCAGTTTGTTGCTCCACCCCTCCAACACCAGCGTGGTCACCACCACCGCGCAGATGTGGCCGGGAAGGCTCACCTGGGGTGGGGAGGGGGTTTGGGGGGGGGATTTGGGTTGGGGTCGGGGTTGGGGTTAGACGCAACAGTACGGCATCCGGCTTGCATGGTAACGCTGTCAATCTTTCATATGCACTGCGACAGAGCACCGGTCAGGAGTCAGGCGACCCACACCACCAAGACTGCCCGCCTCCATTTTCCCTCCCTCTTCCGCTTCCTCCCCGCCCTCCCCGCCCTCCTTCCCCCACTAACGTATACAAACACACACCTGATGCAGCCGCACCAGCTCCAGCACTGACGCCAGCGCCTCCGCCCCGTTCTTGAAGGCGCATGAGGAGGAGCCGCCCTCGCCGCCACCACCCTGCCCCGCCGCTGCCGCTGCATCCGCCGCTGCCAGGTCCATCTTGTGTAGCTCGTCGAAGGTGGCTTGCATGGCGGCACGGAAGGCCTCGGGGTCGGGACAGGACTGGGAGGCGCCTGCGGGGGAGCGGTGGGGGGTTGATGGGACAGAGCAAAGCCCGGCAGGAATTGGCCGATTGGGGGGTTTCAGATGCTTCCTTCCCTCCCAACCACCCATGCTGGAGCCCTGCCACATAGCTGCGCCCTTTCTTCCCCCCTACCCCCACACACCCACACCCACACCCACTCACCTGAGAAGCGCAGGGTCCAGTCCCCACACGCGCGGCCGTCCATGGCGGCGAAGGAGCGGAACAGCCCCACCATGTTGGTTTGGTCGGTGGGCGACAGCTCCGTAGCCATCCCCACATCCAGCAGCACCAGGGAGGGCTGCAGCCAGCGCTGCTGCAGCAGCTCGATGCGGGCTCGGGTGGCGGCGGCGACGGAGGGGAGGGAGCGCAGCCGGTCCAATCCGCTGTACATGGGGGGGGGGAATAGGGGGGGAGGAAGGAGGTAAAGGAGGGGTCCAGTCATGCTTGCTTGCATGCAAGCTCCAAACACACACACACACACACATCACCAATCACAGTACGTTCCTACTCGCGGCCAGTTTTCTTAACACATCACCAGCCGCCCGGCCACCACCCCCTGTATGGGATTGGGACTTTAGTTGTTTGCATTTCGATATATAATTTTGCCCCCACCCCCTGTCGCACTGGTTGCTTCACTTCTCAACGTCTTCTTCCCCCCTCCACTCTGTCTCCCCGTTCCCCACCCTGTCCCCCCTGTCCCTCCCCCTTGCTTCCCCCTGCCCCCCTTTCCTCACCTGTAGATGAGCCCCAGCAGCCCGGCGGGCGGGTCCAGCCGAACCAGTATGTTGCCCGGGTGCAGGTCGGAGTGGATCAGGTTGTCAACCAGCATCATCTGAAGCATGGTGCCGCTACCCAGCTCGGACAGCCTGGGTGGGGGCGGGGTGGGGGGGATGATGAGGGCGGTGAGGGTGCTGGCGGTGTTGTGGGTGTTCATTCCTCGCATGCACGCTGAACACGCAAAACGCAACACTCCAATAAACTCCTACCTCCGTCCTACGTCACACCCTGTCCCCCCCCTCCTGCCCTCCTCCTGCCCCCCCACCTGTGGTTGTACGGGTTGTGTTCCGACTGGATGTAGCTGGTGATGTGCTCGCCCGTCTCGTACGTCTCCACCAGCACGTCGGGGGTGACCAGCGGGTAGAGCGGCACGGGGAAGGAGACGTGCCGGGTTTTGCGGAAGTTGTGGTTGAAGCGGCGCAGGTTGGCGGCCTCGCGGGATAGGTCCACCTGGGTGGGGGAGTTGGGGGGTTTGGGTGGGTAGGTAGGTAGGGGGACAGGTAGGTAGGGAGGCAGGAGGGCGGATAGGTGGTGGAGCGGGATAGGTCCACATGGGTGGGGAAAAAAGAAATTCCAAAGTGTGGTGTGCTAGGGGTTGGGTGGGTAGGGGGTAGGGGGGAGGAAAATGACGGGGGCCAGGTAGGTTGAGGTAGGCAAGTAGGCAGGGGAGAATTCTGGCCCAGCAAACCTCGGATGTCTACCGTCTAGCGCCGCCCGCGTTTACTGGCGGTGGTGGTGGTGGTTGCTAATCGCTCAGCTTGCTAAAGCCCTAACCCACCACCACTCCCACATCCGTCCCCCTCCCTTCACCTCCCGTTGCCTCCCACCTCCCTTCCCCCCACCTGCTCCCTCAGCGGCGCCGCGAACTGCGACAACGTCTGCTCCAGCCGCAGGTGCTGCAGCGAAGGCAGCAGCGAGGCCAGGTGCGCCACCGCCATCATCACCGCAAAGTCGCGCAGGATGGCGGAGTCAACTCCAGGGTGCCGGACCTTGACGGCGACGGTGGTGCCGGGGGGGATGCCTGGAGGGGTGGGGGTTGGGAGGCGGGAGTGTCACGGGTTGAAGGTGGGAGTGTTGCTCGTGTCGGTATGTGGTGGGGGCTGTATACACGCACGTGCCACGCGCACGTTTTCACCAAGCCCTCCCTCCCTCCGTTATCCTCTTCCCTAACCCCCTCTTCCTCAGTTTCCTCCTTTCAACTCCCCCTCCCGCTCACCTGTCATGGCCCCGCCCTGCTCGCTGAGCACCGCCCGGTGGATCTGTCCAATAGAGCCGCTGGCCACCGGGGCGGTGTCGATGTGGGCGAAGAGCTGGGTCAGCGGCAGGCCGAAGGCGGACTCAATGGCGGCCTGGGTGTGGCGGAACCTGTGGGCGGGGGCCTGGGGGGAGGGGGAGGGTGGAGGGTGGTGAGGTGAGGAGGGGGGTGGGGTGTGAGTTCCGGTCTCTCTCCTAGGGAGCCCAGCGCCGCCTCCGCGCCTATAGCCGGCCCCCTTTTAGACCGCCCCCAGCTGCCTCCCGCCCTCCAACCCACGCATGTGTTTTGTATTCTTCCCCCGCCCCTCCGCCCCCCCCCAGCCCCCATACCTGCGTGTGCAGCCGCTCCAGCTCCGAACACATGTCGGGCGGGAAGAGGTCGTGGCGGGTGGCAGCCCACTGGCCCCACTTGATGAAGGCAGGACCTGGGGAGGAGGGTGGGGAGGGGGGATGAGGGACAGCGACAGGGCAGGGAGTCAAAAGGTTGGTTGAACCTGGTACGGATACGTCCTCTCCATGCCTTCTCGTCACTACCTTCTCCATCCTCCATCTCATCTCTCTCCCAATCCTTCCCCAACTCATCAAGGCCATCACAACCCACCCCCCACAACCCACCCGCCCGCCGCCTCCAGCGTCTTCCTCAGCAGCTCATCACACACCCCACCATCCTATTCGCGGCCAGTTTCCTTTATACACACACACCCTCCACCCACCCCCCACAACCCTCCACCCACCCCCCACAACCCACCCGCCGCCTCCAGCGTCCTCCGCAGCAGCTCGATCCACTCCGCCCTCCTGAACTGCAGCTGCAGTGCCACAGGGGCACTCAGCAGCACCGGGGCGAACAGCAGCAGCAGCCACAGCGAGCGAGCCAGGCTGGACAGCAGACTGGCCATCTGGGTGGGGAGTGGAGGGGGGGGGGGAGCGGGGAAGGCAGGGGCGGGGCGGGAAGAGGAGGGGAGGGGCGCGGTTGGAGAGCGGGGGTCGGGAGGGTTTAGCTAGACCCGCATTCAGGAGCGGAGAGTGGAGAGTGGAGAGTAAAGGGGGAAGAGAAAAGCGGGGGCAAGCGGGATGGAGAGGCATGAAGCAGGCAGTGGTGGGCAGGTGATGGGCGGGGAAGGTGGAGGTGGACAGCAGCAGCACCCGACGAACGTAACGTTCGTACATAACGCCCCTACCTGTAGCGGCAGCGCCTGCCACCAGGGCTGCTGGTCCTCGGGGCTGGAGGGCGGCACCTCCAGGTAGAAGCGGAAGGCGTCGGCATGGGAGCTGAGGAGGAGGGAGAGGAGGGGGAGGAAGGGGAGGTGGGGAAATGGGAGAGATGCAAGCGCAGTGAGAGGGGCCGGTTCACACATAGAGAGTTCGGCCAGTCGTAACTCAACAGGGAGGCCGCCCCATTGAGACAACATACAAAACGGCATAGCAAGATCCAAACCAGCATAGGACCTCTTGATGCACCTCAGACTATACCGGTATGTAAAATAGCAAACTGCGTATAACACTCCGTACTCACGTCCTGGAGCTGCGGTACAGCTCCGCCACCGTCAGCGCCAGCGTCACCGGCAGGTTGTTGGCAAACACGTTGATGGCGCTGAGCAGGAAGAAGTGCAACCGCCGTACACCGGGAAGTAACCCCCAGGAGGCGTACGGCAGCCAAGCGTAGGACTGCTTGTACAGCTTAAACAGCGCACCCCAGCTCATCGTGCTGGAGGAGGAGATCCAATTGTACGGCGCCATGGATTCAAGTACGGATTTTTGTACGGCATGTCGTACATTAGCTAGGTAGGTCTGGGATGCGAGCCAGCCGGTGCGCGTGCAGCGCGCGGCGGCTGCGACAGCGGCGGAAGCGGAGGCTGCGGCTGTGGTAGCTGCAGCGGAGAGGTTGGGGTTTGGCGGTGTAATGCGGACGGCGGAGGCGGCGAATGAGCGGAAGGCGGAAGGGGTGGCTGTTCCAGGTGCAGAAATGCGAGGCCGGAGTGTGGAAGGAAGGTGTGGAGTGGAGGGCACCCATGGAGAGGATGATGTTGCGGGATGTCGAGATGCTGGAGTTGCGCTGTGCGACCAACCAAACACCGAGCTGGGCTTTTGGGGAGATTGGACTACGCCGTTGCAGCTGGGGCTACTTGCAGCGCTGCTGCCCCTGTTTGCGGGGCGGACCGCGGCACTGGCATTGCCGTGGATTGAGGTGTTGTTCTGAGCGGCCCCGCTTCCAGAGGCGCGGCAAGACCATCGATGAAGCGCCTGAGCTTCGCTGCTTGCTGCGCCGGGTGAAGCGCTATTCGCGAGCAATGAGCTGCTGCTCGCGGTTGATGTCGGTAACGACGGCCGGCCATGCGCGCAACACAGCTGCTGTCCGCAACGTTGAGCTAAGCGATTTGTAAAGGATCGTGTCAGAGGTTGTAAGGCTAGATAACCAGCGCCGCGGCATTGCAGCGCAGTAAGAAGCGCCGCCGAGGCGATTAGTCGCGCCTGAGCCTCCGGAACCTGGACCCAGAAGGTTCTGCGACGCACAATGCATGAAGGATTGTTAAGTTGAGCGATAGCAGCACCATGCGGATAATTTGAGCAATGTTGGTTCCGCAAACCGCTCCGCCCTCGCATGCTCCTCAATAGTTACTTTGGCAATTTGCACGTGGACACGTTTTGCGCCAGCGTGTTGGTCCAGCTCACCGCAACTGTTCAGAGCCTGTGCTGGTCATCCTGCCACGTCGACGGCTGAGTAGCCCGATGATGGCCGCACGCCGCTGCCGTTGTCGCCCCGCGAGGGACCGTCGGCGCCACTAAAAGCAAGCACGAAACGGGTTTACAATGATAACCTATTGCAATGTTCCAATGTCGCTACCAATGGTATCTGTTTTCTCCTACACAGTGCCATCAAGCTTGCAAAGCAACGCTGGTATTGTAATAATATGTAAAGTAAGGCGTTGCTGGAGATACTTTTAATGGTAAGATAGTCGCCTCGCCAAGCAAAGAGATGCTGCGCAAAAGATGTTTCATGCACGAACCGTCCTTTGTCATGCATTGCTACTCGCTACCACACAGCCGGCTACCCAATGCACGCCCACAACTTCATATAACAAGAGCAATATTATACAACAACAGCATACAAACGCATCATCCTGGGCATCTTCTTAGGTATGTACCATCTTGCAACCAGCTCCAACCACGTTGTGCTGAATCCGGGCACACACTCACTCCCGCGCCGTCACACTCCTCGTACTTAACTTCCCCATCGTGCAGCCCCAGTGAACTCAACCCATGCCCTCTAAAACACGCTCCACTCTTAACCCCGAGGGGCATCATCACAGCGTTGTTTCCACCCGTCACCATCCACACCCGGCACCCAGGTCCCCAGGGGCCTTGGCCCCAGCACTGCTAGCTAGATCATTGGGTGGGCCCAAGAACATGGCAAGTAGGCGCTACGCAAGAAACGTTCTATGTGCTTGTTGCCTTGTTAGCTCACCACACCCTCCACCTTGGCATGGGAGTGAGACTCCTTTCCATCCTCCCCTTCCAGCGTTCCAAACTGTCAATCAATCTAACCAACCTAACCAGCCACCAACCACCAGCCAATCAACCCAGCAGCTCCAGCCACACATCACCGCCACTCCCATCTGCCTCTTCCCCTCCCTGCCGCAGCCGTACCACTCCATCCGCCCACCTACGACTCAACGCCGTCACCTTCCCATAGCTAACATCTCTTCCCTGCTGTTGCTGCTGCTGTTGCTGCTGTTGTTGCCATGCTAGGTTGTTTTGGTGTGCGAGGTTCAGGGCCGCTAGGAACAACCGGTGCTGTGACATGCCCTTCAAGCCTGCGTGACTCTCCGCAGCTCCTCCTCCTCCACCTCCTCCTAGCCCCTGCTGCTGCCCCTGCCCCTGCTGTGGTCGTACCTGCTGCCCGCCGATACCCACCTCCGCGGCCACTTGCCGTAGCGATAGCGCTGCGGGGGCTGCCGCGGGTGCTGCTGCCGCCGCCGCCGCCACCCTCCTCAGTTTGTCAGCCAGCAGGGTCATGAGGGAGCGAAGGTCCAGCCGGCCCCGCTGCCGAGCAGCCAGGAGCTCCTGAGAGCAAAGAGGAGGTTAGGGGCGGGGTATGAGGACACTGCCGGTAATCGTTTGGGCTCTACACGATGCGTTGTAGGAAGGGAGGGGCGGTTCGGTGCAAGTGAGTTTGGAGCTATGGCTGCTTCCTTTGTGCCCTTACCCTAATATACATGGCCCAGAGCTGCTCTCGTTTCCGCTTCATACCGCCGCCGCCGGACTTGAGCGCATCCTGCCGTGCTGCCGCCGCCGCCGCCGCAGCAGCAGTCAATGCGGCGGCGGAACGCGCATTGGCTCCGACGCCACCGCTGGTGTTGCTTCCTGCCCCGCCGTCGCCGTCATGGACGTACGGCGCGTCCGCCGATGTCGCCGCCGCTGCCGCCTTGGTTGCGGCATCAAGCGCCGCCACCGCCTCGGCGCCCTCCGCCGCCGTCACGGCGCCACGCTGTACGGCATCATGTACGGCCTCTTGTACGGCAGTACGGATCTGGTTAACTTCCTCTCCCGGCAACGCTGCCAGCTCGTCCAGCAGCAGCACGTTGTCATCGTACGCTCCGAGATTGTGATCCGTATCAAACACGAGCGAGCAACATGACACGTTATCATCTTCATCCTCATCAACGTAACCGTTGACGTTAGCAACAGTGACGCAATTGTCGTACTCATTGTACAAGTCGTCATGTCGTACATCTTCTTTAAGGAAATTGCCGTCGACGCCGCCGTCCCGGTTCGTTACTTCGTCGTCTTCAAATGCGCCGCCGCCAGCGCCCCGCCGCGGAGAGTCCCAGAATTCTAATGCGCCCAGCGTCAAGTCGTCCGTACCGCCGGGACCGTTTCCGTACGGCATGTCCATCGTGAGTACGACAACGTCGCATTCGGCATCAGCGTCGTCCAAATCATCTTCTGCATCCTGCTTGGGGCTCGTGGGCATGGCGTTGCGGCCGTCGCCGTCGCTGGGGGGGATCCCGTCGCTCCCAAAACACATGCCGTCGCCGTCGCCGCCATCGTTTACCGTTTGTACGGCACCATATTCATCCTTTCCATCATCCCCGCCGTTCACGAATACGACATCCTCATCTTCAGGGTTGTCGTACAATAAGGCCACTTCACCGCCGCCGTCGCCGTCGCTGCTGCCGCCACCACAGCTACAATCATCACCTTGGTAGTGGTCGCTGTCGGGTCCCATTACTGCCATGTCTTCAGTCGCTTCCGAGGGCCTTCCCAGGCGTCCTTCGGCATGTCTCCCCCGGTGCCCTTCTCTCGCGGCAGATAGCGCCGCTGTTGCCGCCGCCACCTCCACCGCTGCAGCTGCAGTTGCTGAAGCCACAACCGCCGCCGTTTCCCCACCCACCGCCGTTCTGCCCCCTGCCGTACTAACTCCGCTAGTACCTTCCCAAGCCGGACGTCGCAGCTGACGTGGCGACTTAAAGGCTGTAGCTAGCAGCGGAGTGGCCGCCGCCGGCGCCGCTGCTGCTGCGGGGCTAGGGTGCTGCCAGATACTGCCGCCGCCGCCGCTGCCGCCGCCACTGCCACCGCCCCTACTTGTGACGTCACGGCCGTTGCCGCTGCCTGCGCCCCAATGGCCACCGCTTGCACACGTGCCCGTACCGTAGGATGTATTGTACGGCAGTCCAGATGGCGCTGGCAGAGCACAAGGAAGCGGCGATGGCATGGTGCTGTAGGAACCGCGCGGGTCGGTGGGTCGCGGACCCACGCTGTGTCCTAACTGAACCTGAGCAGCAGCGGCGGCGGCTGCCGCCGCTTGCCAGCCTCCGAAACCGGGTACGACTCTTCCTAGCGGCGTCGTCGCCGCCGGTGCCGTACAAACCGACGCTGGCGGCGCCGCCGCCGGCTGCCGTACGGGCTCCCGTACATCCGTATCTAAGAACGTCACCGCGACGGCGTCCTCGTCATCGTCCTCCATTCCATCCGCTATGCCGCCGCCGACGGCGGAGGCGTTACCGCCCCAAGTGTTCCTTGCGTACGGGTACGGCGATACTCTCGTACCGCCGTACGGACCCACCGCCGCCGCCGTCGCCGCTGTCGTTGGATGCGGTCGCCAGCCACCAGTATGCACGCCGCCAGCGGCGGATGCGGCGGCGCCACCGCCGCTTTCAAGCAGCAGATCAGCCGCCGTACGATAGCTGTACGGATCTCCCGGCAGCCCTCCGCCAGCTGATGCTCCTGCCGTCGCCGCCGTCGCTGTCGCCCTGGGAGGCATTGGGGCACCAGTGGGCCCTACACTCGGAGCTCCCGCCGCCGCAGCAGCGGCCTTGCTATTCGTGCCCATGCGACAGGCCGCCGGCTTTGACGCCGCCGCCTCCACTGCCCTGTCTAGCGCGTCCCAAAACGCGTCGTCGTACTCCTCGTCGTCATCATCATCATTGCCGCCGTTACCGTTACCGTTACCGTTAGTTGCAACGGTGACGGCGGCGCTGGCGCCCGCAGCAGCCCCTCCTGCCATTGGAGTGACAGTGGCACCTGTGCGGTTCAGAGGAGCTTCATCTTGTCTTATATGCGGCGGCGGCGGTGGCGATGGGGGCGGCGGTGGTGGCGGCGGCGGGGGCCATGGCGGCAGCGCACCCAGCAGTCCGGCTGGCACTAAGGCGGAGAGCAGCTGCCGAGCCGCGCTCAGGGCGGCACTGACCCGTGGGTCACTGGAGGGTTGAACCCCTGTAGCATCTGCAATGCGGCGTAGTCCTTCAGCGCAGCGGGGATCAGGTCGGGGGTGAAGCAGCAGCTCGGGGTTGTGGACCGGACGGCATCTGAGGGGTTCAATGTGGCAGGGAAACGGTGTCAGGAGGATACATGAACAGAGCACCTGTGACCGCACACCGATATAGGAAGCCTTCGCATGCTTCTGTCTCCGCCTAAGCGCGAAGCAGCCCTTTCATTATTGCATTCATTCCCCCAACCCCACTGGAAGCCCCCAAGTCGCACGCTCGCACCGTATCTTGGCGTTCCATCCAGAAGACTGCAGCACCGCTGCCGGCGCCGCCGCCCTCAGCTCCGCCTCCGACATGCCGTACGAAGGAGACGGCCGTACGACGTACTTCACCCTCCTTAGCGGCGCCGTACCTGGCTCCGCCGCCGCCGGCGCCCTCCTGGCCTGTACGGCGCCGTCGGCGTTACTGCCATCGTCGGCGTCGGCGGCGACGCGGCGGCGGCCCAAGCGAGGCACCACACGCGGCGGCGGCGGCGCCGCCGCCGCCGCCACAGCTGCTACTGTCCCAGTCCCTTGCTGGGTTAAGGGTTGGGTATGCTGTCGACGGCCCGGTCCTCTCGCCGCAGCCTCTTCCTCCGCTTCCTCCTCTTCCTCTTCCTCTTCTTCCACTGCTTCCTCTGAACTATCGCCACCGCTGCCGCCAACCTCGGCAGCAGCAGTAGCATGGCCACCATGCCGTACAGCCAGCGGCTGCCCGCCGCCACCGCGACGACGAGCGAACTCCGGCCTGCGCAACCTCCGCTCCTGCTGCTCTTGCTCCCTCTCCGCCTCCTCCTCCTCCTGCTGCTGCTGCTCCGGACCATTACCCGCCCCCTCCACCTCCCTTTCCTCCTTCCCCACCTCATCCTCCAAGTCCTCCACGAAATCTCCTTCATCGCTGTCCTCACCCGCGCCCGCACCCGCACCCGCTCCCTTCCCAGTATCGCCATGCAGCCCCGCTCCAGCTGCACCCCTGCTGCCCCCCGGGGCTCCAAGCGGCTGCGTCAGCACGGGTGGCGCACCTCCCGGCAGCTGACTTGCTAAACCACCTGGGCCGGCGGGCCCCTGACGCAGCCGCCGCCTGCCCAGCACCACGGGTACGACACCCCGTGGCACCGCCTGGCTGCCGCCGCCGCCACCGCCGCCAGCACCTTGACTAGGTGCCGTACGTACGCCGGCGACAGCGGCGGCGGCGGCATCGTCCTTGCGGATGTCGGCGTCGTCGTCGCCGTTACCGTCGTTGTCGCTCTCAATGGCATCATCCTCGTCCTCATCATCATGAACTCCGCCGCCTTGAGCCCGTCCTGCCGCCGCCGCCGCCGCTGTGACCAACGCGCCGCTGACACCGCCACCGCCGCCGCCGTCACGGCGCTTCCGGCCCACCACCGTCGCCGCAGCAGTAGGAGCCGCCGCTGCAGCAGTAGCAGCCGCCGCATTTCCGCCGCCTCCTTCCTTGTCCTGCTCCTCCCCCTCTTCCCGCTGCGCTCGAGGCTCCTGCTCATTCTCCTGCTGATGCTCGGGCTGCTCCGTCCGTATCCACTTCTGAGCTGCTGCTGCCCCCGCCGCAAGCCTGTACTTTGCAGCCCTGCGGTTGGTCAGCTTGGATACCGCCGGTGCCCGACCCTTCGGAGCGGCTGCTGTTGCTGTTGCTGCCAGGACTGTTGTTGCTGTTGCTGCACAGCCGGCACCGGGGGATACTGCCGTCGGTACAGCAGCAGTGGTCTCACCGTCCCCTGTTGTGCCGGTAGCTGAGCCGTACTGCTGCTCGGTTCCCGCTGCAGCTGCTGCAACGGCTGCTGCGGCGGCGGCAGCAGCGGCGGCGGCAACTTCCGAATGGCTTGCAGCTGCTGCTGCTGCAGCGATGTTTGACGTTGTCGTTCCGTACATAGGCGCTGCTTGGTCCTCGTCCGGTGTCTCAGCCACCATCGCTACCTGATCGTCAGCATCTGTGTCTGTGACAACAGCAGTGGCAGCGGCATTTACGTCAAGGTGACCCACGGGTCGTCGCGCTGGCTGCTGCTGCTCCCACTCCTCATCTGCCATAATCAGGTTCACGATCTCCTGCTCTTCTTCATCATAGTCGTACCCACCATCATCACTACCGCCATTGCCGACAAGCGGAGCCCCTTTGCTCCCTTCGCCACCACTGCCGTACAACCCGTCGTGGCCTTGGTCACCAACCGCCGCTGCTATCTCCGCTACAGTCTGCCGTACACGCCCTGCAGCCGAATCAACGGCTCCAAAGGCTTTCAGGAAAGCAGATCCGCCAAGCCGCTGCTCAGCTGTCTTTCCTGCAGCGCCGCTAGCACCCCCGCCGCCGCCACTCCTTGCATGACGCTCCGCTGGTCGCTCGGCCGCCGCCTCCGCTGCCTCCGTCCATACCACCACCTCCGCAATATCCTCATCTCTCAGCTCCAGATCTGAAGTGTTGACCCTGCCGCTGGCACCAAACCCGCGCCCCAGCCCACGGCCGCTGGCAACCAGTGGGACCCGTCCCCGGCCCCAGCCTCTATCATGACTCCCGCGACCTCCTGCTCCTCCTCCTGCTGCTGCTGCTGCTGCAATACCGGTGGCTTGACCCCATGGATCCAATGACTTGGAAAGCCGCAAGCCAACTGTGGCCACTGTCCCTGCTGCCGTTGCTATTCCTTCAAGCGCTTGAGTCACCGTACATGCGTGGACTCCCTCTTCCTGCTCCTCTTGCTGCTGCTGCTGCAGCTTGTGCAGGCCCACCTCTGCTACCACGGCTTCAGGACCAGTGGACACATGCAGCTCCGGCTGTTCCCGCTGCTGCTGTTGTCGTTCATTAGGATTCTGCCCCTGCTGCTCCTGGTGTTGTTGCGGGATTACAGACGGGCGCAGCGATGGCAATTGCCTGCCAGGCGTCGCTGCGTGTCGTTGCTGCCAGGAGCTGCTGGGGGCAGGCTGCGTGTGTAGAGGTGCAGGGGGGACGGCAGCAGGTGGTGCGGCTGTGTGTTGTTGGCTGGGCTGGGTGGTTTGCAGGTCCCTGTCTTGGAAAGGGCCTTGCTGCTGTTGCTGGCCCTGCTGCTGCTCTCGCCACTGCCCCTGCTGCTGCTGTCGCGTAGGGTGATGGTGCTGTCTCTTAGCAGGCAGGAGGGCAGCAGGCCGGCGAGGGGCTGCGGGGTCGTACAGGTAGTACGGAAGTGCCACCTGGCAGTGGGGGCAGTTGCAGTGGGGGGGAGTGAATTGGGAAAGAAAGGGAGGGATGGTTGAGGGCATAGGGAGAAAGCAGTCCAGGGTGAAGCAAGAGGGCAGGTAAGCGATTACTGATACCGCTGTTCCCGAACATGGCAATGACTTCTTCTTTTCCCTCCTTTTCCCATGTCCCTTCACCTCGTCCGCCATGCCGCCCCTCTTACATCATCCAAGCCGAGACCCTCGCACATGTCCACATCCCCCTCCTCCTGCTCCTCCTCCTCCTCCAGCTCATCATCGGGCTGCAACAGGTCCGGCGCGTCCTCTCCGGGCATCGCACGTAGCAGCCGACCCAAATGGGAACATCCGCGACCTCCTCCGCCTCCGGCTGCTTCCCCTGCTCCTCCACCTCGCCCCGCATCTTTGCTGCTTCTGTCGTCGCCTTCTCCTTCTCCTGCGTCGGAGGGGTCCAACGTAGCGGCTGCGGCGATGTCCGGGGCGGCGGCATCTGGGGCTGAGGCTGGGGCTGCGGGTGTGGGTGTGGGTCCGGGTGCGGCGCAGATGAGCGCTGCGAGGCTGGGTGGTAGGACGGCTGCGGGGCCGCGAACATCCCTGAGGGCGGCAGGGGCAACATGTCACGTGTGGGTAAAGAAGGCGAAGCTGGTACCGGTAGGTTATTGCGGGGTGCGCATGGGTAGACGACAAGAGGTGCAGGGGAACGAGGCTGTGGCGCGGGGTGATGAGGCAGCATGAGGGAGTGAGTAAGACACGTGGCGCGCGCGACCCACCCCTCCCAGTCCCACTCCCAGGCCGAGGGGGGCGATGCGGTGGCAACACCTCGGATGCCGCTAGCGGCTGGGCTGGGTGCCGGTGCTGCTGTTACTGTTGCTGTTGCCACCGCCGGTGCTGCTGCTGCTGCCAGGGAGGTTGCAGCGGCGGCGGCGCTCAGGAGGTGCCGCTGCACGGAGGCAACCTGGTGCAGAGGCAGGCAGGCAGGCAGGCAGAGGGATTACCGGGTAGTAATGATAGAAGGGAGGAGGCGGGAATGTGTGTTTCTGCTAGTGTGCGCATACCGTGGCCAACAAAGGCCGCCAATCTTTGCCTCACCAGGGGCCCCACGTGCAGGCTCGCCTCCCCCGCCAGCACCGCCATGCAGCCCTCCACCAGCGGCTGCAGCGCTGCGGCCCGCCGGGCGTCATCAGCAGCAGCGTCGCCGGCGTTGTCACCACCGCCATCGCCTGGTTAGCCCGCATGGCCCGGCAAGCCAACAGGGCCCCGAGTGGGATGTAAGAAGGGGTGAGCCCGCATGGCCTGGCAAGCCAAAAAGATAAGGATGAGATGTGCGCAGGGAGGGGCCCGCATGGGACATGGCCTGACCAGCCAACAGAGCCCCGAGACGATGTGTGAAGTGGCTCGCAACAACGCCCCGAGAGGGATGTGAGAAGGGGTGGGCCCGCATGGTCTAGTAACGGGGATGCAACGGTACAATCAGACACCTTGCATCTTGACCCATGGAAGGATAGCTTACGGTTGTATAAAGTGATGATAACCAGCAACTTCAACAGCATGTCAATAGCACACCCACCAATTCCATCTGGGTCGGCCTCGCCCCCCTCCCCGGCCGCTGCTGCGGCTGCTGCTGCCTGCATGCCCGCCCCTGCGCCCCCGCCGCGTTGTGGCTGCTGCTGCAGCGGCGGCGCCTTGCCGATCAGCTTGACCGCATCCGTGGTCTGCTTCAGCAGCGCAGTCTTCATGCTCTTGATCAGCTGCAGGAGGGGTGAGCGGTGGAAGTGGGGGGGGAGGGCAGGGCCGGCGGGGGGGCATGCATGTAGCGGTAGGGAGGCGTGTGAGGGGTTGAGTACGGTACCGTTTGAGGTAAGGAGGGATTCGACGGAGGTAGGGGCGCTGCGCAAGGCCCAGACGTCTTGTTAAGGAACGATTTCTGAGGCTTGCGTGCCCTAACGGAACGCTACGTGGCATACCGGCATGTCGTACCTCCAGACGGGCGTGGATTTGGGCTGCTGCCGATGCAACAGCATGCGCCTGCGCCTGAACCTCCTGCCCGTCGTCAGCTTCATCATCACCAGCGGCATCCTGGTCGCTGTCGCCTTCGTGGTTACTGTCGTTTAGAAGGTTGTTGTGCCGCGGTTTTCTGTTTTGGGGGTCTGGGCCTGCGCTGGTTGGCCGTGTTTGCTGGAGGCATGCGAGGGCCTGCGGCTGGCGCGACCGCAGCTGCGAGGCCGGCGGTAGCGGCTGCCGTTGCTGCTGTTGCTGCTGAGCCTGCACCACAAAGGTAGTAACGTTGATGCTGAACATGACAATGCTAGCTACAACGCTGGCGACAAAGAGGCCGAGGAGAAGCCCTACCGTCGCGCTTGGGGCCCAGCCAGATAAGCAGAAGGCTACATATCGCTCGTCCCATGGATTCTTCTTATGGCGTTTGCGTTCTACATCATCAAGCGCTTCTTCTAGGATACTCGGGCCTCCGTCCATACTGATTCCTGAGGAAGTAGTAAGCCTTAGCAAAGCTCCCTAGCCCATAATGGGTCCCCTGCAAGGATCACAATTTTTAACACCTCGTACCTGTAAAGTGGTTGGCGATAGGCTTGTAAGCTGTCGGAACTTTGGAGGCAATCCCGCGCATACCAACCGCTCCGAACCATGCTCCGGAACTCCCTCGACGACCCTTCATCGCAGATCGCTCGCAACTCCGAGCGTTCTGCATAGTTGTATCAGTACGGGGCCCACCATGGACACTGCTGCCCTTGCTCAGGTTGCTGTTGAGCGGCATATCCGCGACGAAGTAGAGAACTTGAAGAATGAGGAACGAAGAGCACAAGCGATGGCAGGTTTATGTATATTACTCACTCAACTCCAGGAGCCATCGGTGCCGGAGGAACTCGTCAGCGCGATACCTTCCTTCTTCGCGATGATGGAGGCAACTGGCGACCCTGCGGATCCTGGCATGCAGGTATGATTACGTCGGCTTTCATGCAAAACCCCTTTTATTATTACCTCATTGGTTCGTTGTAACAAGTCCGGCATACCCAAGTTCGGTCGGCAACCTGCGATGGGCTGGGTGTCAACCATCAGCCGACCCACATCACGATCTTAACCCCTTTCCATTACCTTGGGCCCCAGGCCAACGCATGCGCAGTGCTCTCGGGCCTGATGGCCGTTACGGACGAGCTGCAAGCGCGGATAGTGGGTGATGGCGTTGTGCAGCGGCTGCAGCGGCTGCTGGAAGCCACTGCTGACTCTGAGGAGCGGACGCTGCAGCTAAACGCGCTAGCCTGCTTGAGCGAAGCGTTGCGGGGCCAGGAGGCACAGGTGGAGGCCCTTGTAGCTGCTGGAGGTGGGTTGGGAAGACACACGCAAGCTACTCGGCTAGGCATGGATTACGCCAATTACACCAACCATACCCGGGTTGGGTATGGGGCGCCGTTAGCACGGAAGGGTAGCTGTCTAGGGAACAACATCTACCCTACCTTCACCCGGTTCCTACAATCCTACATTCCCTGCATTCTAACATATACCATCAAGTCTACCGTAACTCGAAGTCCCGCCGGATACCCTCCGCACTCTGCCCTCTCCCAGGCCTGGCCCCGGTGTTGCGGCTGTGCGACCCCGCCCTGCCGGAACGGCTGCAGGAGGCGGCAGCGGACGTGGTGTGCGCGGCGGGCTGCGTTGAGAGCACCCGGGGCCAGCTGTCGGAGCAGGTGCGGGGGGCTGGGTGGCAAAAGGGAAGACTACGGTAGCTATGTCTCCTTGTGACAAGGCCCCACCATGGGTGGATGGGTGCGCGGTGGGATGGGTGCCCTGGGTGCAATGGCAGGACTGGGTGCGGCTGGGCGGGTCGTGTTGCGGCAGAAGGTCTTGGCGGGTGGCGGAGGGATCTCGGGGGCAGGGCGAGGGTGACGGGCGGGATTGGGGGGTGCAGCACACAGGTACAAAAGGAGGGATGGAGGGGAAGCGGCGGCGCTTGGGAACGTTGCGGCCCGTACCGCTGTCTTACTCCATCCAGCCGTCACAACTCACAATTGGCGTAACCCCGTTTTGATGGCCTGCAGGGTGCGGTGGGGCGGCTAGCGGCGCTGCTTGCAACACCAAACCATGACGTGCGGTGAGGCGAGGTGTGGCAGGAGTGGCATGAAAGCCACGGCTTTCTGAACGGTTGTGGCAGTGTGCTGGCTGGTCCGTCGCCGGCAACACCGGTGACACACCCTTTTGCCTGGGTCTTGCCAGCTAGGATGCCAGGCTAAGGGGGCCTTACCGTTGGTGCCTGCCGGTATCAGCTTCAGATGATCAGACCATCAGCTTTTGCGACTGCCTGCTGGCGTTACTTATCTTCCTGTTCCCGATCCCGTACAGGATACGAGCGCTGATGGGGCTCGGCATGCTGCTTGCCAAGAGCCCTGCCAACCAGCTGCAGCTGGCTAGCAACACGACCGCAGTTGCAAACCTGCTGGTGAGTCGGGTTTGCCGCCCCCAATCCACCGACCCAAATCGCTTGCAACTGTGCAAGTTGTGTGGAGGCGGCCATCAGTGGGGATGGCGGCTAAGGAATGACAGCTGGTTGTGCCAGGCCTTTTGTAAGGTGTAACTGGAAAGCTGCTAACAACTTGCAGGCGGCTATGCGGCAACAAGAGGACCAGGATTGCAAGGTGGTGGCCCGAGATCTGTTTGCTGGACTGGTGAGTGATCTGGGACGGTGGAGCAGCGGGGAGTGGGGGGTATTGCATTGAAGGTATTGCAGTTTCAACAACTGTGAACCCGTCTACTGCATGCGTGCAGGCGGCCAACGCCGACTGCAAGGAGTTGATTGCCCAAGCGATGCGCGCTTGATTGGTTTGACCCGTACGACAGTCCGCTCTTCTTCTTATGCCTGCAAGAGTGTCCGCTGTTATTCAATGTGATCACTGTAGTAAATTGTACTGGGTTCTCGCTTACATGACCCACATCATAGGATTGCCCATAGACGCTTAAGCGAAGGGGCTTCGCGAACATCGCGGTTGGCTGCCTTTATTCCATTAAGTTCAACTTGAATGTTGCTTAGATAGCTTTTGTAGCATCGAACTACTTGCGCTTTACGCGCGACTTATTCGGGCAAGGACAGCGTGTCACAGAATGTCAGCCTTTGGCAGTAAATTCGCGTCGGCGCTGCTGTTGCTTGGTTGTGTAGCTGGGATATATGCTTCGTACCTGACACAAGGCGTTGTCAACGAGCATCTTGCGATTAAACGATATGGTGGCGAGGAGCGATTCAGAAACTTGGAGGCCCTAAATGGAGCACAAGCGCTAACATGCTTCCTGTGGGCTGGGCTGATCCTCAAGGTCATGCTCTTCACCGGACGTGTGTCTAGCGGGGACCTGGCGGAGTGGCATTCGTACTGGCGGGCAGGCATCTCGAACAGCATCGGGCCAGCCTGCGGCATGTACGCCCTGAAGAACATCACCTACTCAGCTCAGGTCCTGGCAAAGTCTTGCAAGATGGTTCCCGTCATGCTGATGGGCGTGTTCCTTCACGGCAAGCGGTACTCCTTCCTCGAGTACATCTGCATGTCGCTCATCGGCCTGGGCGTGGCGGGCTTTGCCCAGAAGGGCAGCAGCAAGGTGTCGCAGCGTCTAGCAGCTCCCGACCCGATGTTGGGCTACTCGCTGTGCTTTATCAACCTGGCGTTGGACGGCTACACCAACGCAGCACAGGACCACATCAACGAGCGGCACCGAAAGAACAGCCCCATCCACATGATGTGCTGGATGAACTTCTGGACCGCGCTGTACTACGGTCTGTACATGTTCGTACTAACGGGTTCCGGAATGGAGCTCGTGGCGTTCTGCTCTCGCCATCCGGACGCTCTATTGGACATCGTGCTGTTCTGTCTGTGCGGCGCAGTTGGGCAGCTGTTCATCTTCTTCACGATCAAGAGGTTCGGCGCGCTGGTGACGACGCTGGTGTGCACAACGCGGAAGTTCTTCAACATCCTGTTGTCCGTGGTGTGGAACGGGAACCCGCTGCTGGTAAACCAGTGGATGGGTGTAGGCATGGTGTTCACAGGGTTACTAGTGCAGGGCTGGATGAAGTCCAGAAGGCCGGCAAAGAAGAAGACTGCGTGATAAGCTTTGTTGCCGTAGTGGTGAGTGGTTGTGCTGCAGTGGGTAAGCGTCCGTAGCAGGCTTGTGTTTAGCTGGGTTGCGGTGACCCTTGGGTCGCTGTGCATGTGAGAGGCTTTATCCATGTAACCGTGTGGTTGTAGATGCCGATAAAGACCATAAACATTGTACCAAGAAGCTGTCATACAGCGCATAACCGGGCTCCAGCGTATTTCGGATGCTTGAACTGGCGCATTCGGTCAGCCGTCTGAACTACGCCTCGGATTTCCCTCGGGCTCATCGCCCGCACGGGCCCCAATGGACCACACCCGCACCGTGTGATCATTTGCACCGCTATACAGCTCATGTAAAGCAGGGTTGTACGCGCAACAATTAATCGACTCGCTATGCCCGCCAGACATGTCCGCAAGCAACCGACCCGACTCAACCTCGTACACATTGATCGACGACCCGGTAGGATAAAACACCGCCCTCGCGTCGTCCGTAACCGCAAGCTGCCTCGCCCGTAGCGCCCTGTTGTGTGTTCTGTCGTAACCGACCAGCTTGTTGTACCTCCGCTGCGCATCCCACAACCTCAGCTGGCCATCGGTGCCCGCAGACAACAGGCTCACTGCGTCCGGACACGGCAGCACGCAGGTGACCGCGCCGCTGTGCGCCCGCAGAGCGCTCTCCTTCATGCGGGCTGTGGCCGCTGCTGCGGACACGGAGCCCAGTCGCGCAGGCGCGGATGCGGACGTGTGCATGGAACCTGTGCACGGGGTTTGGAGCAGGTCCATGAACGTGCATTTGCATCGGTACATACTGGCACGGCATGAAGGGGGGGGTGATAGACGGCACTAATGTGGGCAGGAGCAGAGGTAGGACCCCTGATTCCCTGAAAAGCAACGGCAGCACCCGTCTCCCTTCCCCGCCCCTACCTGTTCCGCCACCTCGCCGCGCCCTCTTGGCCGGCGAGCCCCCCATCGGCGGCTCCTCCTCGCTGGCTGGCCGCGGGGGCCGCTGCTGCGTGTTGTGCTGGTCCAGCACGTCCCGGCAGCCCGCCCGCCGCATGTCCCACACGCGGATCTGGCCGCCGCCGTCGCCCGACAGCACCTCGTACTCGCTGTATGTGGACCAGGAGACACACCACACGGGGCGCCTGCACACATACAGCACGCATGCGACGTCGGTGTGCGATGTACTCTCGAAGTTTCGCGGGATAAACTATTACCCGTGTCAAACCGTAAAGACACGAGTTGTCGACTTGGAGAGCCCACGTGCGCATCCGTGCCAGCCTCGCACTGCCCGCCCCTCGCCGGCTCGCAAACCCTACAGCAAGTCCTTGGAAATGAACCAAGCCCCCCCACAATGCACGCACGCATTCACACACCCATGCTGCCGTACGCGCCGTACCTGTGTCCCGCAAACACATGCGTCACCGCGCCCGAGGTGGGGTCGCACAGTCGCAGCTGCGTGTCCTCGCAGCCGGCTGCCACCAGGCTGTGACCCACTGCGACCAGCGACATGGCCACCGCGGAGACCTTCTTGGGCAGCTGGAAGCTCACCACCTCCTCCACACTGAGGAGCGAGGGAGGAGGGCAGTCGGAGGAAGGAGGAGCGAGGGAGAAGGAGCGCAGCAAGGGAGGAGGGCGGTAGGAGGAGGAGCGCAGAGCAGGGCAAATGTACAAGGAGCAGCAGCTGGACTAGGGCGGGCGGATGCTAGTCGAGCGGAGCCGGAGTGGTCTGAGTGTGAGCAGTGGCTTTGTGTGTAGCGATAGACAACGCGCGGTTATACCGGTTGCACTTACGCGTTGGTATCCCAGACCTTGACCGAGCAGTCATGAGAGCCGGTGACAAAGAGGCCGGTGTCGACTGCAAGGGAGTAAACAGACGAACACATCAGAACATGGTTGGCCGCAGCAGCGACCGTCGCGGCATGTGGTGTAAACAGCTTGGCAAAGACACGAGGAGAGTATAACATTAGTGTCGCGGCGAAGTGCGTGAGAGGTCTAATCCATCCCAAGGACCGGCATTCCGCGCGCCCTTCCCATTCCTCCCTCCCGCACAACGCCAACGCTTGCGCCAAAGCATCGCCAATACCGGGCGCAAAGTTCCTGCATGCCAAACCGCATGCGCCCCCTGAGGCTCCCATGCGCCCTGCACGGCTCACCGGGGTACCAAGCCACGGAGCTAATCATGAACTTGTGCGCTTGGGGGTGCGTTTGGCGCCTTAGGGAGAAGACGGGCTGCATGGTGGTAACCGCCTGGGGTAACGCACGGGAGCAGGTGACGGAATGTACAGGAAGTTCAGGATTAACCGCGCCACTGAGGTTTGTTGGAGTCACGGCACGTGGAAGGCGCGCTAGTTGTAAACGCATGCTCCCAGGATACTTTAGGCACCAAGCGCAGTGGAAGTTGAAATGGACAGATGACATTTGGCCAACCGGTATCGGCAGGAGCAGCGCCAGGCCTACGCCCCGGCAGTGAACAATATAGGTACTCAGTAAACAATATAGAAGCCATGCATGCGCTGGCATATGCACTGCGGTGGTGCGAATAGGTCAGAAAGCTTCAGCTACCCTGACCCATGGAGCACCAACAGGCCAAGGGAAAGGAACCGCCTTAAATTATTCCTAGTACCTTTTCAGAGCCTGTGTGGGTATCAAAGAGTGCCAAAGTTGTATCAGCTGCGCCGGCCAGAAGGAAGCGGTCCTCGGTTTTGTCGAGATCCATGCACACGACGCCACCGCCAAAAGCGTTTGCAAAGTGGCGCGCTTCACTCGGCCCCAGTTGCGCCATTCTACGATATGCTTGTAAAGGCGTGAGGGCGTGGCAAACTCTGAGAGGCACGGTTGGCGTGTAACATCCCTCTGCTGGCTTACCTACGCAGGTGCATCCACGACCGAAAATCCTTCGGAGTAAGCCCATCCTGGCGAAGCAGAATTCCCAGACATTCATTCTTCTGCCTATCCCAGCTTAACTGGTGCAGGGGTAACGAGCGTCTCTGGGTTCCTTGCCGAGGCATAAAATGATCTGCCATTTTGCATACAGCAAGTTTGTAGGTAAGAAGTATGACATGTTGCAGTTAGCAGGGCTTGACACACACTGTACGACAGAGCCCCGCTCCTCTGCGTCTATCGGGTCGTAATGCATCGACCAAGTGTTCATTGTATGCATGCTACGTACTAGCTGTTACCCTTGCGTCGTTTATTCCTATGTAAGAGCGATCTTGCCGTTGACTTATACGTAGGACTTGGCCCATGAACTTCGGCTTACGCGAGTGTTGCAACAGAAGAACCCAAAATGGCGATGGAAATTATTAAAGTCGTGGAAGAGGCACACGAATCGCCTGTTAGCAGCATCGCATACAACCGCGTGCTGAAGGAGCTATATAGTTCTGCGGACGGAGATAAAGTTATTCGAGTAAGTTGTATTATAAAGATATGTATTAACTCTGTGTATGCTAAGATATCATGAACTGCAGGTGTGGGACGCCAAGACCGGAGCGTTGCTGCGTACACAGCATGGGCACAAAGGGGCTGTAACATGCCTTGCGTATTCCAGCACGTGCAAACTGCTGTTCTCGTCATCGATCGACAACACAATAGGGATATGGACAGACAAGGGCGTGAACTTGCAGGCAAGTACGGGGCCGACGACGGTGTTGCGCAGAAGTGTCGGAGCGAAGCTTGGACCAGAACAGCGTTTCACGTGCGTGTCTGCACCTTTCAACTCTCCCCACCTCACCCACTTCACAACCTCTGCAGATGGCGTCAGCCGACATCGGGCCGCTGTTCTCGCTGGCGTGGGACAGCAAACACCGGTACCTGGCTGTCGGTGGCAACGCGGTGGTCTTGCTGTTTAAAGTTGACTTGCTGGAAGCACGCAAGACGACGCAGCAGCAGCGGTCGGTGGCATCCGGTCTGAAGGACACGACGGTGGCGCTTGACCCGCCCCAAATCCTGAAGCGGCTACACCCTCCCTTCCGCGGCCCCGACTTCTGCCACACGGATGTGGTGTCCTGCATGATCATCACAGAAACCGGGAAGATCGTAACGGGCGGGTGAGCAGTCCAGCCTCATATCTTCATAGGGACGGGCTTACCTGGTTCATGCTTACCTAGTTGAGTTCCGTCTAAGGCTTCGGATAGGGGCTAAGGAACATAGCAAGCCGTGACCGGGAGGGCATGCACTTGGATGATACCTGCACGATCTGGGTCGGACATCAGGTGCAGCAGGCCAGGCAACCCGCTTACCCTCTCGCCCTGCACGTCCCGTTACCGGCACGCCCACCGCGCCGTGTTGACACCACCTCACCTGACCCTTTGCCATCCTTCCCAACCTCCTTGCCCGCTCTCCTCGCCTCCCGTGTGATACGTACGGCAGGTACGACAAGTGCATCTGCATGTACGAGTACGACAAACTGGACAAGCCCAAGGAGGCCTTCCAGCGCGTGCGCAAGTGCCACACCGCCGCCATCGTGTCCATGGCTTACGACACGTACACCAACTCCATCCTTACGGGCTCCATAGATGGCTCCATGAAGGTCTGGAGCATGGAGGGCAGGTGGGTCGGTTCTCGCGCGTGTACCGTACGCGTGACTTTGTGCATTTCCTCCTACTGCCACTGCCACTAGCGGCACACTCCTCAGTCCTTGACATTCTCCTGCTCCTCAGCCCGAGCTTACCCTTGTGATCTTCAACCTTCCCCACAATAGTATCCCGCATCCTCCATCTCTCTACTTTCCCCACACCTAACTTCCTACCTCCATACCTTTGCCCTCCGTATCTTCGCCTCCCCAACCCCTCCCAGGCTGCTAGACAAGTTCGAGTCCATCAATGACCAGCCGGTGGCGGTGGCCTACGTGCCCTCCACCAACATGTACTGGGCCAGCGGCCGCTTCGGCCGCCTGGTGGCGTACGACCCGCGGGCGCCAGCCAACGTGACGCAGTACGTGCAGGTGCGCCCGGGTGGGGGGGGTGGGGGGGGGCTGGACGGCTGGCTGGCTGGCCTCCCGGAGGAGCCTGGCTGGCTGGGGCTGGCTGGTAGGCCTCGGCGGGGGCTGGCTGGCTGGGGCTGCTGGGCATAAAACATCCAGTTGGAGGTCAGTTCATGGTCCGCAGTGTAAACTGGGACTGGAGAAATGGACAACGTCAGCAGTGCTGTACCTAGAACGGCTAGAAGATTGGGGCGGTTGACATGCGGAGGCGTGGGTCCAGGGTCGCGCTTACCTGGAATCCTTGTTGATTGAATGGGTTGCTAGCAGCTACCTGGCCCAATGGTTCAGACGTTGGAAAATAGGGCATCGGCTGGTGCATGGGCATGGCAAACATGCACAGCGCTAACCTAGTCAAGTGCCACAAGCCCAGAACTCCAGATACGCCCAGCGTCGACCCACATCCATGCGCGCTTGGTACTGCACACATACTGGCCTTGGTACGTTCCTACTACCGGTTCCGCCAGCCCCTTCCTTCACTTTCCTCGCCCTTCCCTTCCCCCAGGAGAGCAGCGGTCTGGACCGGTACAACGTGGAGTACATGTACGCGCCCATGGGCACCGACATGCTGCTGGGCGCCTCCAAGCAGCGGCAGCTCATCATGTGGCAGTACAACCACATGGGCGCGTACAGGTGGGGGAGGAGGTGAACTGAGCTGCGAGGACACACTTACCGTGACCATAGAGATGGTGGTGTGAGGCGGGGTGGGGGGCTGGGGAGGGGTGGAGATGGGATGCGTGCGCATGGGAGTGCGGGAGATGAGCACCGATGTGGGTCTGCTGAGGCCGGTGGATGCTGACCACGCCTGCAAGTAATGCTCTTCTGGGCCCCTGTTTCTCAACCCAAAGTCGTTTCTATAACCACCGGGACCCAACCGGTCCGCCGCCAACCTTTTCTCCTAACACCAACACCAGGACGTTCCGCAAGCACGAGGACTGGGTGGAGGGCGTCATCGTGGTGACCCCCTCCAAGGAGCAGCCGGATGACGAGGACGAGGAGACACCGCCGGACGAGATCTTCTCATGCGGCGCGGACGGCAAGGTACGGCATGCCCGGAGACTCTCAGGGTAATCAACGAGTTTGGCAATGCACGGATACAGCGCATGATGACTTGGGTTGACTGATCTGGTCAGTGCACTGGCGTCAAAGAGTGGGGTGTCTTGGCAAACGACTCACAGGACTGCACCATCTATTCCGGTATCTTAATGCATGTTTACCCCCCCCCCCCCTTCCGCTCCGCCAGGTCCTCCGCTGGCAGCTGGACGCGGAGCAGAACTGCGACGTGTACGTGTGCATGGAGGAGTGGCAGCTGCACACCCGCAACATCTACTGCATGGTCTACTCGCCCGCGCTCAACTGCCTCATCACCGGGAGCGAGGACACCACCATCCACCTGCACTACCTGCACAGTGAGTACCGGTGGTGTACCGGTGGTGTGCGCTACCTCTGCACGCGTAGGGGTTAGGGGCATGGACCGCAGGGGGGGGGGGCAAGGGAACTTGGGGGGAGAGGGGGGGCTTGGGAAGAAGGGCGCACCGTGTCATGCCGCGTGACAGGGCCTACAACTGTCAGTTTGAAGGCGAAATGTTTAAATTTACAAAGCTCCGTGAGCTCCCGCGGACCAGGGAGTGAAACCTTGCTTTCCTTCAGCCATGCCTTCCTAAGCGCTACCTTGGGTATAATTACAGCTATCGGTGCTTAACGGTACTACTCCCTCCCCGCTGCCTAACCTTCCCCTTCCCTGCCCCAACCCAACCCACCCTGTCCCTGCCCGGCCCCACCAGACGAGGTGCCCACCTACAACGACGTGCCGCTGCCCACCGACTTCACCGACCACGAGGCGCGCATCTCGGGCCTGGCGCTGCTGCGCAACAACCTGCTCGCGTCCGCCTCCTTCGACAAGACGCTGCGCATCTGGGACCTCACCACCATGAAGCCCGTGGCGGTGAGAGGGATGGAGGGGGCGGGGCGGGGCCCTGAAGGGACTCTGGGATGGCAGCAGCAGTGCGGAGGGACGCGCATGAACGCAGGCGATGTCACGTGCACGCATGACTGCATTACTACCGAGGCTCTGTCGTTGCTGTCAACTGTCTGCTTACCTTGTTGTTGTCCCTATCCGAAGCCTTACTCTCTCCTCGCCCCCCACCCTCCCTGGCTGCCCTCCATGGCTTCGGTTCTGGCCGCCGGCTTGTGTCCCCCCCGCCCCCCGCCCCTCAGTGCGTGTTCAACGCGCACGACACGCCGCTGCAGTGCCTGGAGTACTCGGAGGAGCGCGAGGAGCTGGCCACGTGCGGCATGGGCAACAAGGTCAAGATCTGGAACGTCAAGCGGCCAGCGCAGGTGGGCGGCACGATGGGGGGGGGCCCTGGTCGGCCTGGGGAGCATGTGGTGCGTGGCAGAACACCAGTTACAGGGTGATTGCGTGTTGCAGGGTCATGCGTGACGAAAGACTTCCTGCCCCGTTCATGCCACCCTGGTTTCATGCATGAAACCCTTTCTCGTACTCCCAGCCTCGTCCCGCTTAGCTACGTAACAATACTCAACACGCTTCCCCCTTCCCCCTTCCTCCACTCCCACGACCGCTCAGGTAAAGCACGTGCTGAGCCTGGACCACGCAGACGGCCCAGACGCCACCGGCGACGAGGACGGCCCTCCCTCCCGCTCCGGCGCCCGCACCAACATGAACTGGCTGACCAAGTCGGATGTGCCCGGGGTGCCGTCCGCCACGGGCATCGTGCTGGAGACCATCCAGCAGGCCAACAGGGACGTGCCGGAGGTCACGCAGGTGGGTGCTACCGGTACCTCCCTACCCTTCCTACCTTTTGAAGGACAGGGGTGGGAAGGCTGTGCAGCTGCGGGAGGGGAACCAAGGAAGAGTGAGCTGGAAGACACGTGTTGAACGCTATATGCAGGCACGGCATTGCCTTCCCAACGTACCCAGAGTACCCTATGCAATGCGTCTGCATGAGTGGCCGGAGCCGTTTGGTGTGCCTGCAGGTGCGGTGGGTGCAGTTCCGACACTGCTGGGTGACTGCTGCCGACGACGACACCATCCGGCTGTGGAGCCCCGAGGGTCACAAGCTGCAGCAGTTTACCTACACGGGAGGCAGCGTGCAGTGCATCTACGTGGACAACACCAACCGCCTGCTGGTGGCGGCAATGCTCAATCGTACGGCATTCGTGTACGACCTAGACGACCCCATGCCGCTGGCGAGGTACGGCAGTGGCATGTGGCTACCGGTATTATGTGGTTGGGTGTATCTCTTGTCCGTATAACAAGGGGAGCACGGGCCCCACATGCCGAGGTCGTAGCACAGTTACACCAATCCGTAGGATACTTCTCCGAAACCACTGCTTCCCTGCTCCCCCTCGGGTCCTCTGCGTCCTCATGCACTGACCTGTACGCTCCTTGCCGCTCTTGATCCTTGCCGCTCTTCCATACACCCAATGCCGCGCTCCAACCACCCTCCCCTCTCTCTCCCTTCCCTGCCCACAGGTACGCAGGCCACACGGACGTCATCCGCGGCATCGCCTACGTCAAGGACTGCGACTCCTACGTCACGGCCTCCTGGGACAAGTCGCTGCGCCTGTGGTTCCGCCCTAAAGACCGCAAGGCTGGCGGCATCGGCGGCCCGGGCGCGGACGACGGCGAGGGCGGTACGGCACCCAACATGCTGCTGCTGGAGTACGACGATGACGAGGAGCACTTCGTGTCGGAGTACGAGAGAGCGCACCCACTGGAGATGCCCAAGGCGCTTACGGATGTAAGTTTAGTTCGTTGTGGGATCTTGACAATATAAGCATGGGGACTACATGGTTTATCACGCCCACAAGCCTCGGCTTCATGCAAGGAGGAGACGTCCTTTCTTCCTCTTTCCTCCTTCTTAACGTCTTCCCGTTCTCCTCTTCACGCTCCTCGCAGATCAACCCCATGAAGCTGCTGCAAGGCATGGGGGTGTACGACGACGAGGACGACGCGCCCGCCGGCGGCCGCAAGAAGGGCCGCCGCGGCCACAAGCTCCTGGCGGAGGCGGACCTAGGACTCGAGGCCGCACCTCCCGACCCGCCTGGCTCGCTGGGCGCCAAGCTGGACGACCTGGGTCGTACATTGCTCAACGAGATCAACGTGATTGCGCACAAGGCTGCTGCGCGCGCAGCAGCCGGCGCCGGAGGGGCGCTTGGGGATTTGGACGAGCGCGGGTCGACGAGGAGTAGCCAGGTGCCGGCGGCGGCGCAGCAGGCGGCGCATGGGCGGGGGACGACACGGCCAGTGGGAGGTACGGGCGGGGCGGCGGCGGCGGGGCGAGGGACGACGGGCGTGGGGCGAGGGCTGGGCAAGTAAGGGTGGAGGGTGAGGTGTGTATTAGGCAGGTTGGCATGGGCCGTATGGGGTAGGTGTAGGCAGGGTGTGTTGAGGAAACTAGCCGCGAGTAGGTAGGTGTTTATGTGTACATATGGCAATGGTGAGGGCGGGGTGCTTGGGGGGCGGGAAAGAATCAGGAAGCGGACGGCGGCCCGGCGGGTTAAATGGTGCACTGGACTGTGAACTAGAATTCAGCTGTCCTACCGCTCGCGCTGTGAGTTTTAACACGCAGCTGCATGGGTCGGGTAGGGGTGCAACGCTGGTCGGGTAGGGGTAAAATATATGCGACGCTGCGGCCCTCTTGTGTGCGATTAGCCGCGCGAACGTACGACATTCATCTTGCACTTGCATGGCTCCCAAAGTGGGGCCACACGCAGGTCGTACTCGTGTGCACGGACATGTCGACTAAGTGCATAACGAGTTTACAGCTTTATGTAGTGGCTAGAGAGGTGGATTGGGGTGGTGCTTGCACTGGATTCAGCGACCGGTCTGAGCTACGTGACTTGAGCTTGCTGAACAGTGGAGACGACTGCGCTTTATTACGTTCTTGTGGTACACTGGTACATGCAATGGACGCTGTACAGCTGCTGCGCTGTGACGCTGCATGGAAGGAAGCTGCCGTGTTCACCTGCATTGGACACTAAACAATCCCGCCTATGCGTCGTTACAGAAAGATATATCACACCCATTCCAGGATTGCAACGGACAGTAGAGCGTAGCGCATCTGTGTGCTGTGTCTCGTTTCCGGCGCCATGCACTTAACTAAGCCCTTATGCAGTTATGCTGCTATCCTAATGCGCCTTTGCGGCGTATCGTCCCAATGGCAGGCGCAGCAGCGCTGTGCACTCGGCTGGAACGCAACAGGAACAACATATTCATTCTCCATGCATTGCTCTGGGCGGCAATCAAAACACGCCTGCCGTGTACTCGAATGTAGTATAAACTATCCAGGACTTAGGGCTCGGAAGCGGTGCCTCCAGACGTGTTGCAGTCATCAACTATCTACTAAGCGCCCCGTGCATGATTCGCAGAGCCTCCGCCGCCTTGGCTTGCTTAGCGAATAATCTTGCCCATGTGCTGGATACGCGTGGGCTCGCTGCGAAGAGGGGAAAACCATAGCATGGGCAGTGATATACGTCAGTGCCAAGAAGGCATTCACTAATTACCGAACGTCTGCCCCATGCGCGCTAAGCACCCTGCTGTATGTGTGGCCCAGGGAGGCTGGTGTCGTTATATATCCTGGAATGATTGCCGGAACAGACTCCCGCCGCATTCCTATAGCAGTGCGTACTTAAGAAGTAGCCAACACGTGGTAACTAGCCGCAAGCAAAGGCGCTTCCCAGGCCGTTGAATGAGCCACCTGACCCACGGGTCGCTGAGAAAAGCCTCCGCAGCACTCCACACGATAGCCCGCACGCTAAAACCTCACCTGGTCGGGCCCTTGCCTCGTGCCTCAGCTTCCCGGCCAGCCTGCTTCCTGTTCGGGGAAGGGAATGAGCAGCAAAGGTGGCAACATTGGCGTCTTCGCAACAGCTGCAACAGCTACATCGTTCGCGTAACGCGCGACTCGGGCGTGCGCTAGTTACAGAGCAACCAGTCCACAATTGTGTCCATAGCACAAAACGTCACCGACAAAAGTGCCTTACTAATGATACAAATAATGAGTACTGAGCCACGTCTACGGTAACAATTATGGGGTTAGTTCCGAGGTTCCGAGAGGAAGCAGCAGCAGGCGGCGGCGCAACGTGATCTAGCCCTGGCGCGCCATTCCTCAAAGCCCACGACCACGAAAATAACAACGTTACCCAGCAAAACAAGCATGGCGGGCACACCGCAACGCACATCATTGGTCAGATCAGGGATGTCGGAAAAGCGCTCACCTCGCGGCTCCGATCACGGCGCCCTTCTCGTCGGGCTTGAGGGAATCGAAGCTACGTCCCATCATCATGCGCGCCAGATCCTCCTTGGTCTCATCGCTCACGTAGCCGCCAGTCATGGTGCAGGACTTGCTTGGACTGAAAGCAACAGCGAAAAACAGGACTGGGGTTCTTGACTGCTGGCGTTGCTCCTGATAAGCCTCCTTCAGTGGTAGGTAAGTGTAGGGCTCCAATGCTGTTTCACACGAAACGTTCAGCTTTTGCAATCTTTATATAGTATGACGACGAGCTATTTCGTAGGGCCTACGTACGGCACAAAATCGCCAATACTCGACAGTCGTGCACGGATTTCTACCAAGCGAGATTCCCAACTGAGCACTGTAATGTAGCATGCGTTTGGCTGGGAGAGCGACGCATTCCTGCATTGCATTGCTGCGTTGCATTCCTGCATTGCACTGCTTTCGGAATTCGGATGCGGCTTGTGGTGGCTGTTCCGAGAAATGGTGAGATTCCGCACACGCGCTTTGACTTGCCTTAGTTCGTTGCTTTGCGGCCTTTGTTTTATGTCACATTGCACTTTCCTATTGTCTTGTGGGCGAAGGAAGACTGAGGCGGCCGGATTCAGATGCTGCTGCGACGGCTGAAACGCTGTCAACGCATGTATAGCATTTGTTATACCCCGCGGCGAGCATGCATGAAGACACATGGGCTCTGCAATGCAACGTTATATATGTCGGTGGAATGCTGCGAAACTTGCTGAGTTTGCACAACAAGGGGGGGGGTAACACTCCTATAAATGGCGGGTGGTTGCCGTTGCGGGTGCAGTTATGGGAGGGTGGGCCTGGCGTTTGTTTCGCTCAGGTTATCGTGCGTTACTTGTAAAAGCTCGGGGTAATGACCCGTGGGTCAGTCCGTGCTGGGAGTCCGCCTGGATGTTCGATCAGAAGCTGCGGCTGTCCCTGCCGCGTCGCATACGCTTTCCTTGTTTTAATGAAGCTTTCCCTGCACATTGTGCGCTTACTGCCGGGAAAGGCCGACATCGTTCTAAGGCGCGAGTGTCTCGAGGTCGGGTGCATCCCGCCGCTTGCTGAACGTTGCCGCGTCCTGTCGTGCCAGGTTATCGCCAACAGCGTGCTCGCAAGTGCAATTGCTTGCTGTACGGCAAGCGCTGCGTTGCCCAAAGCTCTGAATGCCAGGAGTTCCCATTATGGACTAGACGTTGCCTTAGTGAAGTGTTATATGCGTTTTAGTCCTTGGAACACAGCTCAGCGCTACACAACCCGCGGACCTTCATTTGTTGTCTGAAGCGCCTTTTGGCTTTCCGACCAAGACCTGGTCTCATAACTTCCTCCTCTGCACCTGATTCGACATACGCTAGTTTGCGAGTAGTGTTCCCAAGATGAGGAGCTTTCCAGGTTGCTAAAGAGGAGGTCCGGGAAGAAACGGTGCGTCTCGTAAGCTCTGGTGCAGCCTTGCTGAAAATCAGCAGGCCTGACGAAAGCTCCTGGCCCCATGACACCCAAGCTTGTTCTAAGCTTTACTCGTATCATACATACAGGGCTTTTACATCATCGGAGCCCTGCAATCGAGACGGTGCCCGGAGAGAACACTTGGCGCCATTTTCACGTCTTGGCAAGATGACCAGGCGACGACTGCCGGGGCCAGGCAGTAGTCAACAAGCAGCAGCAGGCACAAGCAACAATAGCAGTAGCAGCCGGAATGTGCCCGACAGCAGCCGCAGAAGTCGTGCGCAAGACCTGCTGCCAGCCGCTATCAGGGCCAGCATGCATCGCGTGCAGGCTGCAACCCCGGTGCTGCTTTCCTTCCGCCCTAGTTGTAGCAACAACGCCCAAGCGCGGTCGTCAGCTGCCAGAGCAACGGGCGCTGCTGTTATGGCTGACCTTTGCGAAGTGCATTTGCTCATTACTGGGTTAGAAGGCTCGGGTGCGCTCAGCCGCCCTGGAGCCAGCAGCGCCTCCCCACAAGCGGCCGCAGCTGTGGCGGAAATTCTCGCGGATGCGCCCTTCCGCACGTCACTGCTGCTGCTACTGTCGGCTGGACTGCGGCTGGCACCGGAGGAGCTTCTGAGGTTAGGAGAACGCCCGCCGGGGCATGCAGAAATGGAGCGTCACCCCGTCGTGGGCGTGTTTCGAACCGTCGTGCTGTGTGTCTCACGTATGCTGGAGGTGGGGTCCGGATGCCCTATCAGCGTCCCGCTCCCAGCGCACGTGCTTGGCTTTGCATGCCAGGTGCTGCGCATGCAGAGCCTGCAGGCGCTCAGCCGCCAGATGGCTGCGGTGGCGGAGATCCTCCCGCAGCTCGACGACGACGACGACGACAAGAACAGCAGCAGCAGCAGCAGCAACAACAACACGACTGGAGCGCCTAGTGACCAGCCGCAAGGGCAGCTGCAGCAGCGGCGACAGGGGGAGGTCAGGGCTAGGGCAGCCGCGCTCATGTGTGGCTTACGCGAAGCACACTCAGCCACGCAGCTGCTGCACGGCATGCTGCGCTTTGCCATGGGTGATGACAGCGACAAGTGCCAGCCGCTGTTGTGTCAGCATCGACGCCAGAAAAAGACCTACCGCGCCGAGTTTGCGGCCGCCCTGCACGACAGCTGCGTTCTGGAGCACGCCGCGAAACTGCTGCTGCGTGTGGAGGCGGCGGTGACGGCGGCCGCGGCAGCGGCTGGAGGGGGACAGCAGCAGCGGCAGCAGCAGCAGTTGGAGCCTGAGCAGCGTGAGGCGCTGCGTCAAACCGTGAACAGCTTTGTCTACACCTACGCCGGCCTCATCCTTGTAGCTGAATGCCTCCCCGCCGATTCCGCTGGCGCCACCCAGCTCCTCGCGGTGCTGTCCGGCCGTTGCGCCCAACACGCAGTTGTCGTACACGGTCTCGTGGAGCTTTGTACGGCAGATGGGGGATCCACGTACGGCCTGCCGCCGGAGGTACAGAGGGGCGCTACCAACCCGGAGGCCACTGATAAGCGCAGCCGCGGCATGCCGCTTCTGAAGCCCGGTTCCGTCTCTGCTGTACTGTCTACGTTTCATCCCCTGATTCGTACGGCGCCGCCAGGCAGACGTACGGCAAGGTTGCTGGCGCTGCGGATAGGCCGCCTGGCGGCTGAGTCCGCCCGGATGTGGACGGAGATGCATGCGGCGACGGCGGCGGCGGCGGCGGCAGCGGCGGCGGCGGCGGCGGCAGCGGCAGCGAGAGGCAGAGGGGTCGCTGTCTCCGACCCGCCGAAGACGTCGCTGCGTGCTTTGCTGGCGGATGTCGACGTAGCGGGGACAGCCGTTAACGCGGTTCGGCGCGCCCGGCAGCTGTCACGGCTGCCACCTGCTGCCGCCGGCGCCGCTGCCCCGACCTCAAGTGCTGCTGCTGCTGCGGCGGCGGCGGCGCCGTTGGCGGCGCCGGCGGCATGTGCGGAGGTGTGGGTGGCGGAGGAGGCGGAATGGTGGCGGCTGGTGGCTGAGGTGGTACGGCATGTGTTGCCTACGATGGGAGATGAGCCGCAAAACGCAACGCAGCTAGCGATGGAGATCTCGATGCAGCTGCTGCTGCTGTCGAGCGGTGAGGCAGACGAGGAGGAGCGGGTTCGGCGGCAGAGGATGGAAGGTGGGCAATGGAAGTGAGGACTGCGACCATATGGCCATGGATGGTCACGTGACCATCCGACATGCAACCCTAGAGCCCCAAACACAACACGCTAGCATTCCTCTGCAAGCGGGCGCTTCTTGCACAGGTGCAGATGTGTCCTCGTGAAACAGCCTGGAGGCGGACACAGCGGCGACAGCCACCGTTGCTTAGCTGTACAACTCTATACCTGTCATAAGCTGTATCAACCTATCGTGAGCGCGGTTCGTACTTTACGCTATCATCCCCGCTTTTC